AAAAAGTCAGGTACCCCTAAAGTGACCCTTTTGACATAGGAAAAGTGCCCCTTTTACTTCAGATAAGTGCCCCTTTTTATTTCTAATAGTTGTCCGTTCCACATTCTTACGAGTACCTCTTACCACCTCTGATAATGAAGTGCCCCTTCACTTATGATAATTGCCCCTATTTGAATATGAGAGGTGCTCATTTTACTTTAACAAGTGCCCTCTTCTTTTGTAATAAATGCCAATTCTCACCTCTGATAAGTGCACTTTTTTTATTTTGACACAGGCCTCCTTTTTCTTTAAATAAATGCCCCTTTCCTTTTTAAATAAGATCCACTTCCCCTTGTCATAAAAGACACTTCCAACACCTTCGATAGATGCCTCTATTAAAATCTCATAGATGCCCATTTTCCTTTGTAATAAGTGCCCCTTTCAATTCATACAAGTGCTCCTATTCATCTCAGGTGAGTACCCCTTCCTATCTTTGATAATAAGCCAGTTTACGGTTGCAGTCTGAGCATGAGCAGATAAAGGTCATTGCAGAACAAATTTTGAAATACACGGAGACGAAATACTGGATACGTGTTCATGAAAGTTATGTAACATTATTCATTTATGCACATTCAGTGCCATCCATGATACACAGGTGGAAGTATTCTTTGAAAAGGGGAAACAAAGACTATTTATATAGCACCTCCATCGCTGTAGGAGTGATTATTTCAAAATGTAAAAAGTGGGACCTCTTCATGTTTTTAAGATCTGTGGATATTCGGGGTCATTGCAGTAATGTGCTAACCGTGAACTGGTCTATTGCCTCCTTCCAAATCTAAGAGGTCTCCCTTATATTTTGACAAACGCGTTTTTTCCTTTGTATGCCCCATTTAACTCTGTAACAAGTGCCCCTTTCCATCTCTGATAAGTGCCCCTTTTTCACACGTGCCCCCTTATCCTTTCCAATTAGTGCCATTTTCCTTTTGAAAATTTGCTCTTTTTGTTGTTGTTGTAATAAGTGCTCCTTAAAGCCCCACTGTACTACTTGTAGCTACTTAATCGGTGACTATTGGTCCCCCATGATCCTCTTTTTCTTATGTTAATTGAGAGCTGAGTTGATGAGATAGCCACCTGTCAGTGAGCACCTTGGGTGGTCTAATCCCTCCTAGCCAAACTAGTACAGACGGCCTTTAAGACGACTAACCTGGTGTGACTCAACTAAAGAATGACAACTGAAACATTTTTGAGAAAGCATCACAAAACTTTATTTGGAAAACAATTCAAGAAGTGGTGGACGGAAGTAAAGAATACAATGTACTTTGGTTCCTTTGCATGGCTGGAAGGCATGAATACAAATATCAGATATATAGTGGAAGTTTCCATGAGGCATAATTTTGTTCAATTTGAAAGCTCTATACAGTGTACGTATCTCATCTGTAAGTTTAAAAAGTACAATAATGTACAAACATCTCACATATGATACAGGTGGGCAAATTAGCAAAATTCACATTTCAACATTTCATAAAGCACATATATATTTATACAGTCAATATCTTACATAAAAACATGTTCATCACTGCAAAAAGAAACAGAATGCCACAAATCCTGTTAAATTAAAATGTCACATCATATATATATATATATATATATATATATCCCTCTTCAAACTTTACATGCATATTTACATATCAAACTTATAATGCATTATATTTCTGTAAGTCCATTGTAAATGAAAAGTGCAATCTAAATTATAAATAAATAAATCTTTTTCGGTAACTAAAACATCATCACATTCATATATGTCCTCAGATTTGATAAAGCTATTTCCAAATATTCTTTGTATCTGCATACATTATTTCTCAAAGAAATGATGTTCTGTGCAAAGCTAAGTGCCTGTATATGAATTTGTCTCTGATTTCTATTGAAACTGTACAATTCTCAATGTAAATCATGTGTGTTAATGCTCGTCCAGATATACTGCAGTAAACCTTGGCGCTCACACAACAAATATAGCGTTTTCAAAAACATGTATATATATATTGGTGGTTATTTTTTTTTTACCTGACTGCTATTAAGAATGCATAAATGCTTGTTAGTAAGCAACCAGAGGACCAAAGGCTTAAGGTCCTCTATGAGGGATCAACCTGGTAATGAGGATTAAAGCCTTAACAAAGGGCACAAGCGTATCGACTTGGTTTCTAAGCCCGGGTTGCCGGATTACAAGACCACTGAGCTCTGTGCTATAACATACAGCAATGTGAAACATATTAACTTTATATCATCGTTTTTTGTTTAAACTGCTGCATATCTGAACAAGGTTTTACTTATAATAGTACAAGATAAAAGACAATTACATTCTATCTGTTCCATATTGAAAAGAACAGTATAAGGTAATGAAAGAGTTAGTACCTAAATATTCTGATCAACTCAACCCCATTTGGAATGTTCATTTTTCATCATCAGCAAATAAATTGGTTAAATGGTACTGATACCGACTGGGCCCTCCATCCCATTGCATGCTCTTATCTTCACCTAGACTCTGTGTGCACATTGCAGTAACACACCTACCAACATTTCGCAGCAACAATTTAGAATCTCTCAAGGCAAAATAAGGAATACAGTTTACTTTGTATACATTTTTACATAGAATTTTTCAGAAAGACAATAACATTAGTTTGGAAGCAAACAAAGAGAAATCATTCCTCTCATTCAATTCACCTCAGGGCACTTTGTCACATGGAAATTCGTTCAGTAACGATGATACACACCTTGTATATGTATATCAATCAGTTGGCCCTTGTAAGAAAGCCCTGCATCGAATGTACCACAATAACAATGTTAAGAATACTCAAACTGCTCTAGAGCACCCTTAACAGTAATTGTACTCATATTGATATAGAATGTAGGCACTCTATACTCTAGTTTAAATCGTTTGCAGATACTTTGACAGGTTGTATAAAGATAGGCCTAGAAATAATACATTTAAGAGACATGGACCTCAACTCATTTTGGGTATTCAAGTTGTTCAGAATGATAGTACTAGATACTGAAAGATGATTTCAAAAGCAGCATAGAACATTCACGAGCATTTGAAGTTTTGAAACTAGTGTCCTCTCTTGTAAAGAGCTGTGATTGTTGTGATTGCTCCACATTTATTATAAACAATCACAACTTACAAAATCAAATCACTTTATTAACAGTTTCTGTAACTGATATCATGTTGTGATCAATTTGAGTAAGTCGCAGCTCTTTATAAAAACCGGGCCCAGGTTTCTCTGAAATCTGGGGAGTACATACATGTACCATTGTGTTGAAATGACAGTTTTCCACTTATCACAACACACATGAATCTACATTAACTTTTTGTTTAAAGGTGGTCCGGATCATACTTTATACAGTCTGTATGCATAAGCCCTAAGTAAAGGATTTCAATTTTTATCGGGGTCCAGACTTTTTTTTTTCTCTTTAACCTCAATCAGAGGAACTTTATTATTCAAATTGACATTCCTTTTTGTTTCTTTTCCTTCAAATAAACAAATTCAACTCATATACAATCATAAACAAATAAAATATTGCAACGTCCCATTAGTTTGTTCATGAGTACATCTGTTTTCGTTGTCTACAGCATCTCAATTAATTTCTGTACCATATTGTTATTTTCTCTTTTAATACTTTTACAGTTCAAATAAAATGTCAACTCATATTTAAGACTACGATATAGAGTTCTCGCATGTGTTCTATTAAATGATTGTAAATTCTTTATGTGGTTTCTATATATTACATACTCAGCAAAATTTATTATTAAATTTACTAAATGACAAATTGAGTTTTCAACTTCATAACCAAGTATTAAAATCTGTTCAGTCATCTGAATATTTAGACCACATAAATTGAAGATTACACCTGAAACAATTCTCCAAAACAATCTTACGTTTTCACACTCCAACATCATATGCTTAGTGGTTTCTAGCGTATTACATATCTCACATGTATTATAATCTAAGATCTTCCATTTGCATAAATTGTATCGTGATGGTAAAATCATATGCAAAAGTTTAAAGTTAAATTCTCTGATTTTATTATTCCGTACAACATGAAATTTAAACTGTAGAACAGATGACCAATTAAAATCCGCATGTAAGTGTAGTCGTTGTTGCCATGCGTTTAAAATATATGGTTTTTTCTTATTTTTTTGCACAATCAGTGAATATATTATTTTCGTATTAAGTTTTGACAAATCTATCATATCCCCTGTCGAAATCTCAATGGTCTGTAAATCAATTACTTCATCACGTTCTACATCCTGTGATTTACGCAACCATACCAAGGGGAAAGCCTTTTTCAACATAGCAAACTTAAAAGCAAATAACATTTTGGGTAACCCATATCTTTGGGCAGTTTCGTCAGAGTTTTTCCATCGACCGTCATTAAGAACATGGTGTACTCTTTTTATTCCTCCTCTCTCCCACACCTTAAAATGAAGCATTCGGTTCCTTATTTTAATATTACTATTATTCCATAGTATCGTTCTCATTATGTTATTCGTCCCCTCAATATTTACATATTTTAGTTCAGACCATATACAAAGCAAATCAAAGTAAAAATATGGCAAATTTGCTGTTTTACATAATTTTTCCATGTCTTTCTTGTGACAGTTAAATTCTAAACTTAAGGGTATTCCCCCAACCTTGTCAATCCAATAGGAAAACAATGTTTTCCATGAGGTATTTTGACAGTTCAAATATTTCATTATCCATGAAAGACGCAATGCACTAACTCTAGCTTCCAGATCAATCATTCCCAACCCCCCACTTGTAACATCATTAATACAAATATTTCTTCTTATTTTTTCTGTTTTTGAGCGCCACAAAAAGAATCGGGGTCCAGACTTAGATTTTTCGCACCCATGTGTCCTGGGCACCTGTCGTTGTCGAGCCCTAGGATGTGTGTATGTAAGTATGTTGAAAGATTCCTCAATTTCAAGGAATAATCTACAATACAGTTAACTCTGCATAACTCTAAGTCGATTAAGCTAAACTTTCCCTCAGTTGAATCAATTTTGTAACGAACCTATGCAAAAATAATATGATATTTCAACATCCTTACTCCAATTTTGCATAAGACTAGGCATCTTTTGCGGTCCCAACAGATTTTAGTAATGCAGAGTGAACCCTGTACTTCACGGAGCCACTTAACAACGTTTGCTAATAGGGCCTGATGGTGGCTGCCAAGCCTCGCAACGCCCACTTGGACGCAGACACATTATCGTGCTTCACGTCCAGGAGGAACACCGGTGACCTAGCGCAGATCCTGGTGGGGTACACGGGACACAGGTACATCTCACTGGTGCGCTGCTCATTGTACGCAGGCTTCTCACTGTAAGGCATGGTGGTGATGTGGATGATGGGTAGCAGGGTGGCGCCGTGGCGGGGAGGGGAGTCCTGGAGTTCACCGGTCGTCTTCTCCCAGGAGCAGCCCCAGACGTACACACCGTACACAAACATGCCTTCCTGAGGGGGGTCACGAACCTGTAGTTACACAAAGAAAACAAAATATGCAACTTCAAATTCAAGTTTTATTTGTTCCGTATGTTACAAAAAATATAGACATACAGGTGTACATATAAATTTAAAATTATACAATTCATGTATTATGTATGAGCACGTCTCAATGATTCTCAATTCATAAAATAGATTAAGTAGACTGTGAGGAACCTATTGAAAAGCAGTGCTTGTATATTATAGGTTCCTGGTAAAATAAGTATTGTAAATGTAACAACCGTAGCAGTAGAGAAAGACGTAATTTAGAGGGTAGAATTTAAAACACTATGGAATAAGGAAATTTGTATACAAAATAATGCATTATCCCCAATACCAATTAATACTTGTTACCCTGTCTGAGTTAACTGACAACCCCCTCCTCAAACAACCGAAACACAGATTTTAGAGCAGACTACAGCTACAAAACTTACATGATCTTTAATTGATTTGATTTCTGTCTCGAGGACTAAGGCCCCTATTTTTACTCAAATTTTTAATCAGATTCTGGGTTCAACCTTTTGTCTAAAATGGGGTTTCCGTAAGATGTTTGTCTATGGTTTCGTTTTCCTTTTGTCACACATGATCTTAGAGCAAGGGTTGTATCTAACTGAATTATTAGAAAATTCTACTCTCTATGAAGCGGTCCCTTCTCGATTCTAACTAATTTTCAAACTGAGAGGGGCTTCCTCACTGAGAGTGGGGGATTCCTCCTTTTCTTTAATAATCATTGTTTATCAATATCCAAGAACTTATTGAAACACTGGATTCAGAATGTTACTTGTTTAATTTTTTTTTTTTTTTTTTTTTTTTTTTTTTTTTTTTTTTTTTTTTTCTCTTTCAATGATACAATGATTATATTAATTGAACCTGGAACAATGGTCCACATTGATAGCTTCATATCCACATTATGCCACTCTTCTTAAATGATAACACCATAGGCCCTACTCAATATTTTGTGAATGATTATCAATCCTAATGCTTATTGCACCTTTAATTTCTGCAAAAATTGTACATTATTGTGGTACATGACGTTTTATAATTTCCTTGACTGTATAGCCCAAAACAATATTTACGCTCTATTCATATGTATATTTTTGTTATATACAAGAAATTGCTGGTCAGATTTACCTTGAACAATTACACATCTCTTCTTTTTTCTTTTTAATTAGAATTTCTTTGAATGAGACACCGTTGGATCAATTGAATAATGACGATTTATGTTAATTGTGTTCTGGTTATTTTAAGTTTTAAGTTTTTTCTGCATACAAATCTTAAAGCACTCTATTCATTGCAGCTTCATATCCTCTTAATGCATTTATCGAAATTTAATTTAATCATGATTTTCTGAATGATTGTTTGTAATTATTTTGTATACTTATATAATGTGAACCTTGCAATATATTCTATTATGTCTCGGAATGGCATGTGAGGGTGCACATGCCCCCGGGCAACAGGGAAGAATTTCGCTTTTGTGCACCCTGACCCACATGCTATTCCTTCTTTATCTTACTTTGTATTTTTCCTATTTCACTCTGTATACACCTATATACACTGTACATGCTGAATGTGTTTTTATGGTCGAATAAATAATAATAATAATAATAATAATATACCTATGGGTTCAAACTGTGACTAAGAAGATTGACCACTTGTTTAATCCCCCCCCCCCCCCTTCCTCTAACCAAGAACTAACCCACAGATTAAAGTGAAGATTATAGCTATGAAAAACAGTCACAAGAACTTCATCTGTATCGATCATCTTCATCCCTAGCTATAATTTCTGTCTGGGTAGACCACAGGTCCATGGTCAACCCCTGCATCTAAGTAGACTGACCAGCCCCCCTCCCCCTCCCAACAACACACACAATACAAGAATATAAATAAATCATTGATTAGAATCATAACATGGAGAATAATTCCCAATTTTTTTTTAAAACAAATAAACAATAACAACTATAAAATTGTAGAATCAAGAGGACAGTTGACAAAGATGATTGTGAGCATATGTCAAAAGTACAAGTATGACCCCCCCCCCCCCAAAAAAAAAAAAAAAAAAAAAAAAAACCAAAAAAAAAAAAAAATTATAAATAAATAAATAAATAAAAATAGTGAAATGACTTACATGGTCTTTATCCCTAGCCGTGATCTCCGTCTGGAAGACTACCGGCTCAGATTGTGAGATGTTATGTCCATACGCCCTAATGGCATCTTGTTTGAGTAGGGCTAGTAGAGCTCGGGGATGGAAGAATGCTCCAAGCCAGTAGGCAGGGAACTTGTCCTTACCCTGGTGGAGACACAAAGGAGAAATGTAGAAATAGGTTATATAATTTTGCTGCCTCACAAAAGACCTATTCCCAACCGTACAAAGTTTACTTTGGATTGGTACATGTTATTGATGTTGATGTTGATGTTTATGATATATGAATAATTTGGCTATGATATATATCATGGTTTAGAAAAAAATCTCTTTTGTTCTTTTGTTCTTGTTAAAGTGGAGTTGATTTCTTTTCATTTATTCTTGGCATTAACAACAACAAAATTTAAATATACATGTGCATCAAATTGATGATACATATACAATTCTTAGAGAGTTGTCTTGAAAACAAGTTATTTTCAAGGTGTAAACTTTCACCAGTTGCCTATGACAACCATTTTCTTGGCCAGAAATGTTCTTTATGGGAAAAATTGAAGACAAAAAAGCCTTGTTATTTCAGAGCAATCTAGAAACGCCTTATACTTAAAGAACATATCATGAGAATCCCCATGCATTACCTGTACTATAATCCTCTCTAGGTGTTGGCATCGATGACTCAGATCTGACATCCACTGAGCTAGGAACCAGTTAGGAGGTGGGGCGGAGTCACCGCACAACCCAGCCCAGACGGAAGGGATTCGATGATGGAAGAGATCATCGGCGATGTCTATCAGTCGTTCTGACATCTGATCACCGAACGTCTCGTTGGGATTCTCACAGAGGTGTTTCAGTTTCTGTCGGGCATAGAGGATTTTGAAATAAAGTTTAAATATCTGAATAGATTCTAGAGAATAACAGTTATGATAATAATATTCAGTTTTTTTAAAATAAAAGCGCTTCATTTATCTACAATGTCTCTTTAAAGCGCTTTACAGAGATATTATTACCCCAGTCATTGAATTCAGGATTTCCTGCACACAACATATGTACACTCTCCACTCCCTAGGGAGCTTTCCTGCCAGGTGCCATTGTACAGTTGCTCATATTGCAGAACACACTACAATGAATTTTGCATCCTACTAGGTCCCCGTTAATTTATTAAGCATTTACTTATTCATTAATTAACATCAAATCTAACGAGTCAATAGATTTGGCAAGTATTAGTGATTGTGCGCTTCTGTCGGCAACATGAAAAATTGTCTACAAATAGGTATTCTGTTATTCTACATATTATCTATCACAGGATAACTATTTTTATTTGGAATTAAATATTGGCCCAACTTTATCTACATGTTGGTTTAACCTAACAACTTTAATATGAAATTCAACGGGAGGAAACCCACAGGATGCATCAAATCTTTGCTAAACGACTGACATGAGATTTGACTCAAGGTAAATCTCAATAAACATCAAACTTACATTGTAAAAGAAAGCGATAAATAATGAAAACATGAACAAACCACTATACAGCCAAAGGTTACCCGAAAATTTTATATCATCTTTCTCTCATGGATGTTTTCATTATTTATTGCTTTCTTCTCAAGTATTCCATCAACTAATGCAGGACACTCTAATATACTCACGTTGAAGTAGCTTTGAGATCAGCTATGAGTCTGATCATTAAGTCAATCTCTCTCAGAACAAAGCGATTGAAAGGAGTATCCCCACCAATCTTATACTCACATTGAATGTAGCTTTGAGATCAGCTATGAGTCTGATCATCAAGTCAATCTCTCTCAGAACAAAGCGATTGAAAGGAGTATCACCACCGATCTTACGAACACGCTCTGTGATGTAATCCTGTGGAACAAGAAGCAGAATTTTAACAATACGGTACTTGAATGTATAATGAAATGTCCAACATCCAATCTTTCAAGAATTTATTAATTGAAAAAAATACTTTTTTACAACAGGTATTGTCTTTGAGTACTCTTCTGTCATCACCATTTTGGCTGTGTTACAGACTATGAATCTTTGATATGTGATCGATACATAATGAAATTGCTGCCAAGAGGATCATCCATCTTCAAACAAATAATAATATAATAATAAAAATACATTTATAGAGCGCAGAAACTATCCAACATTAAGTATATATTCTACTGCGCTACAAAAATTTATTTCAAGTTTTAAGAACATTATTAGGGGAGATTCCATACAATGTGTTCTGTACAACTTTATCAATATTTGTCTTTGTTTTTATTATTATTATTATCATTATTATCCCAAAATGAAAAGTCTCTTGACATGACCACTGCCTATTAGTAGTGATACTAAAAGAACCATTTTGATGATTTTTGATAAATTGATAAAAGTCATACGTTGTAATGGACAAAATGCACAGTATCACTCTCAGTCTTTTACTACAGTCAAACCTGCCTATAGCGACCACTCAAGGGAAACACAAAAAGTGGTCTTAGTAGACAGGTGGTCTTTGTAGAAAGGTTCCTTTAGTTCATGTTTCAATGAGAAACCATTTTCAAGGGAAACAAAAAGGTGGTCTTTGTAGAGAGGTGGTCTTTGTTGACAGGTAGTCACTAAAGCAGGTTTGACTGTATATGCAACCTTGAAATCACTTTCAAAGGGAACTTACCCTGTTCCATCCTTTGGGGATTTTGCTGACTATGTTATGACATATCTCCCAGATCTCTGTCTCTCGCTTGCTCTTGATGAATGAATGGCTAGCGCTGGCATAGACCCCCATGTCAGCCACGTTGGGCTGGAGGGCTGTACCATTCACAGAGGCAACGGAAGGACCTTGAGGTTGTGGGAGTAAGAGAGAAGAGAGAGGAGATGTTTAAAGATAAAGACTGGTAGTGGTAAAATTGTGGTTCAAGGGTTTTGGGTGCAAAATATCCATTCCATATTGTTTAAATATTGCCTTCAGAGGTTTACATGGCAATACTTCAACTTAAATTCGCAAAACAGCAGAAATGTATGCCCAAATGTTCAACGTTGAAGTGCATTCGCGATATCTATCCATGATAATTTACCAAATATATCAATTATAGTAGGCGGTTTCCCTGTAAAATTTGTACAATCACGTATTAGTCAAAACATATTCTTTCACATGATTGGTAGTAAGAGCTTCCATTTCATTTTTGAGAGGGGGGCATTTCCAAAACTGGTCTTTGCCTTTAATTGCAGGTAAAATACTTACTACTAATATCATTCACTCAATGGCAGCCCATTGTTAAAGAACATTACATGATATTATGCTACCCCCAATATTTTGAGAGGTGCCCTGACAAAAAAGGTGCTTATAAAGGATAAAAAGCTTGATTTATTATATATTTGTAACACAACAAATTGGAAATTTGTCCATGAATACGTCGCAATGTAGTGACCAAACTACCGACTTGCGATACGCATAGACTTAGTGATCTCATATTTCAAACACTCATAACTTTCTTATTTTTGGTCCGATTTATTTCAAACTTTCGCTATTCTGTTTCTCTTATATTTCTGCTTTCATACAAATGAAATGTTTCCAAGGGTTGGATTGCCCTTGAACTCTCTTCTGGCTCTAAGCCGACCAGGGGGATGTTTCACAAAACTTGTCATCAGTGACAAATGACAGTTTTTGTTATAAGCTACTGAAATCCTTGCTTCTGATTGGTTATCAGCAGATTTGTCACTGATTTTTATCATTCGTCGTTGAAAAAAGGCTTTGTGAAACACCCCCAGGTACTCACCATGGAAAGGTGTGGCTGGTCTGGGCTGCAGGACGTGGCTCAGGGTCTTAGTGGACGGCATCGCATCTAGGACTTGGTTGAGTCTTGTGAAGACATACTGGTCATCTCCTAAGACAGTCTGTATATACAGGTTGGTGATATACAACAAGATGAATTATGAAAATGGAGGATTTTCTTTAACAAAATACAAACCAGAATTCTGCAGTACAATGAATTAATATTGAAAACAATAGCATTATATTCCACATCAAATATGCCCTTGGCCTAAGTGAATGACTTTAGTTTGTTTTTAGCAAATCAAGTCAAATAATTCATAGTGCATCTTTGCGCTGATAGCCATTGCTTATTTTCATTCAAAGTTTTGTTTACAATACAGCTATTTTCAAGCAACAAATGTTATTTGTAATTAAAAGAAAGGCTTTTATTTTACCAAATATTAAATTAATAGATATTGAAGACAATCTCGATATTACAAAGTTTTTGGTGGTAAATATTGAATTAATGAACAGGATAAAATACTGAATCACTTAATTCACTCTGCGCTGTGTATTGTACCACCAATGTAAAATGTTAGTAAATTAGTCAAGTCTGCATGTATCAAAGGTTATGAAAGTTGTGCATTAGTGCCTGTGATATCCCAATGAATTTCACACTGTTAAAAATATCTATTTTTGCATCCCCGTTCTTTGCTCTTCATTTTGTTTATCGCCTTCCATCATTCCTGCACCTGTCTCCTTGAATTCCTACTCTGCCAATTAGTATCTCCTTATAGGCTCTTAATGCTTAAAACTCACAGCAAAACATACAATATTTACGTTTCTGCCAGTTTCCTACATTCATAATTGAGCTGTTAAAATAATGATAACCATAGCTTCTGATTTGCCGATATTTACTTTAACCCAAAATTATTATTGCATTCTACATATCTCACAAATCTTGAGTAGATGTAGACATATCAGTACAGTAACACACATGCACAAAGTTTACAAAAAGTAATTCTTATTCATAGTTACATTCGCTATTACCTCCAAGAAGAAGAACATCATCTCTGATGTGTTGTGAGATTGATTCGTCAGATTTCAAATACATGTACTGCCCATATTAAATAATTGTACATTACTTGTTAAGATTGAGATTAAATTACTATTAAGATTTCTTAAAATTACCCACTGAGGTTGAGCTGATCTGGGGAAAACACACATTTTTGAAATTCTCTGTCCTAAGTTACATTACATGTATCTCTCACACTGACTAACCTGACGATGACTAACATATAGTATGGAATTGCTTGAAATTTACTGATACCCATTACAACCTAATGAAAATTGGTAAAATTTAAACCTAGCCCACAGAAACCAATCAGAACAGAGCACATTAAAGTACACAAAATTACCCGAGCACCCAACTGCACATACAGTAGTAATAAGATATCCAATAAAAGACAGAGGAAGTTTAGAGAACCTTACTTTCCCTTTTCAGAATATGACACACGAAAAGCGTAAAGCACAGAGTACTAATAATCCAGTGAAAGATAAAATCCCATATCTTGAGAGAATTTAAGTATCAGCAATAATTTTCAACGTGGAGATACTGAATTGAAGGTACATTTTTCAGGGTTACACAGTGTAATTTGAATAAGAGCCCTGAAAACAGCTGGTGAGTTCCGCTAAGAGCCTTTGGTTCTCAACGTTTTGATCAGTATGCTCTGATTGTCTTCTTGAGAATCAGAGAGATCTTAGGAGAGCTCACCAGTACTCTTTGGGGCTCTTATTCCTTTGAAAGGATTACATGGTGTAACCCTAAAGACTGTACAACATCCTAAGGGAAGTTTAGGAGAGAGTGGCACAACTGGATCAACCATGAGAAACATTGGATCAATGAAGTTCACAAGACAGAGTGATAGAGATATAATCCATTACAGAGGGGTACAGGCCTGCCAATCTACTGAACATTGGTGTCCACAAGACTGATTCAAGCACATAAATGCAAGCTCTACACCAAATACATGAATTTAAACATTAAAGATACTTTCAGCTAATAATACTCACATCGATTGCTGCCAAACTCTGATATATTGCATTGTTTTTCGATAAAAATGCCATACATGGCAAATATGGATAAATAAATGAAAATTAAGTACCGTAGATAAAAATGGCTAATTTTGTTATTTCTTAGGAATGTTGTCAAGAATATTTTATGCCATTTATTGATTGAATTATCAGACATACCCACAAGTTTGTCCCAACACAAAACAGAGAATTTCTCCTTTCTCTACCCCCCTCCCCCAACCATACAAACAAATCATTATGGTCTTTCTTGTAATCCTTCTACTAGTAACACATTTGACACATTTATCTTAATTTTTAATGACTTTCAAATAGGTTTAATTAAGATATATCAAACATGGTTTTCAAAAGCTTTATAATAAAATCAAATTCTTAGAGATTATAATGATGGAGTGTGACCGAGAACTCTTTAATGCATCATTCATGTTTGCCATGACACAGAGATGTCTGTAAGTTCTTTTTTATTTCCTTTCCTCTAATGCTATTGGAAGAGGTCTACCGTCTCTCACACATTAAGATATATCAAATCAAATATCAACTTCTTACAGTAGGTACACAGTTACCATGTATTTGATACTAGATGCACAATCGTTGCAATTGCATATTCATTTCATGACTGGAACATTATGCGAAAAAATAGAGATGAATCTTGCTCTTTTTTTAATCACAAATTATGAAACATATTTCAAATTTCATGTAAAAAGGGAACTTTCTGACCATACACAGCAATCTGATTCCCAAAGATACCATAAAATTCCATTGCAATGAGTGCAGAATGGGATGAATCAGTCAAGAAATAATAGTTTCCCAAGAGAAAAGATGGGAAGGAGAGTTAAACAATTTATGCAAGTGAACATAGAGTTGCATGCAAACAGCCAGAGTATGGCTATTGTTTGAGCCTCAGCAGTCACTTCAATGCGATCCTCCTGTCCATACCAAAATTCCAGAGAATTCCAAGAGTGCATTAGAAGATCGAGTCCATGTTCCCTGGAGTTTGACCAAACACAGACACTTACAAATCAGTCTACCTTTGACAATGTAAAACTGAAGACAATACAGAACTGACAAACTCAATACACAGATTCCATCTTAATAATCAACACATAAATGTAACTCACTTCAAGTAAAATCATAAAAGAACACCAGAAAGGCAAGTACCCCAAAATGCAATTATAGACAAGGGCTAAGTTCCCACAAAAGGAAACCAGTGCTGAGTTCCAACAGCCAAAGTTTACAGCAGAAATTGTAACAAGATATTGATAAATGATTATCAATACTTAATTTTTCTCAAAGAGAAAACAAACAAGAGAGAGCGAGAGGGGGGAATCGAGAGATAGAAGATAGACAGGGGAGAGGAGAAAGAAAAGAGGTGCATAAATATACACATACGCAAAACAGAAAAGAAATCAAATTAAAGAGGCCAAGGGGAGGAGGCAGAAGGGGAAAGAGTCAAATAAACAAAGACAAAGAGATACAATGACATATTCATTCAGAAACAAAAGTTGTAACAAATAGATATTTATAAAGTAGAAAGAAAGATGCAATCAGGAAGAACAGAAAAAGTAAGTAAAACTATCAAAGAAAAAAAAATATCCAGAAGGTCATATAAAGAGGTAATTCCTATGCAGAGAGAGAGAGGTACAGTATAGATAAAAAGAAAAGAAAAGGCGTAAATATAATAAAGAAATATATAAAATGAGGTAGACATCCCTCCCCCCCAGAAAAAAGAAAAGAAAGAGATAAAATGAAAAACCTTTAAGCAAAAAATTTGAAAACGTGGCCAATTTGAATAGAAAAGCAATGCTTTTTAACTTCTCAATGTGTTGCCAATTTCAGGGTTTGAAAGCTTATTTTCCTTTTTTTTAATTCCAAGCATCAAACGCAGTCATACAACAACCTTCACCCAATGAGTGTAGACATGTTTGCCTTTTGGACTCATGTATTGGGTATATTTATATTGCTCAGAATCAAAAGTTATTGAGCTATCGTGAAAAGGAAAACAGAAAGAGAGATAATGAGAAAAGATGGATAGTGAAGATTGAAAACCCACAAGTCAAATGCCTTTCGTTCCCAGATTTTAAAACATCAGACATTCTTACCTTCTGAACTTGATTTCCAGCCATCTTAGGCAAAACAGGATCAAGTTTATAAATCAGTTAGAAATGATGCAAACTAAACATTTTACAAAACAAAAGATCTTTCAAGGGACCACAGACATCTTACAAATAAAGTAGTCATTAGACAGAACACCAATATCTAAACATAAGATTATTTTCGAACTGATGTACTAACATCTGTGTTTAAAATCTCAAAAGGCATTTATGTGTGAGGCTTCACCCTTTATGCCTCTGAGCCCCCCCCCCCCCCCCCCCCACCCTCCATCCCTCTGCAAGCAGATATCAAAGGGATTGGGTATCTTTGTCTCAGATTCTGAAACAAAATCCAGGATTTAGCTCATGCTGAAATTATAATTATACACCCTTAGGTCAGTCAGGAACCAAATGACTTTTTCAAGCCTATGTGTTATCAGTGTCTTTGATATGGTGTAATATTAAAGCCCCCTGTTTGATCATCAAGATATTTATGATTGGAAATCGAAATTTCAAAAAATAATTATTTAAAATACTACATTCTATTGGGGAAAATGAGTATGGTAAAACCGGTCACTCAAAGACTTTTTAATGTTTTGAGGCACTTCATGATCCTTTTGAAGCGCGATTGTTGTAGGGGCTTCAATATCACATCATATCAAAGACACTGCTAACACGTAGGATCATGTATCTCAGATTTAACATCGTTAAACAATGCCTTTAAGAAAAATAACTGGCAAAAACACATCATTTTCATGTACAAGTTAGTTCTATTTCTATTCTCACAATGCCACTCCCTTGTTAATGTCTTATTCAGACGTAAATATAAACACACTTGTTATTGTACAAATTACAAAACATTAAATATGTTGCAATAAAAAAAAAAAAATAACTGCACAACATTATAAACAATATCACGGGTTAGTCACAGATAATATATTTCCATGTATAAAATTGTATATCAAAGCAACAAATATGATAATAACAGTACTAGTAAATTAGTTCGTACAAATATTGTTAACTGCTGTAATCATGACGTATACATGCATGTACACAAATTAAGACTGGTTTAGCGATATTGAAAAGACAACCACTCCGCAAACTGCAGCCATGTTATATCACATTTTCAGCACTCAATTTTGCTTACCACAATACGCCATTCGTCCTATTAAGAAGGTTAGATTGAAAGAAGGTAAGGAGGGAAAATCATGGAAAATTAAAGGATAGATTTTCTTTTAACAGCTGAAAGAGGTTTTGTTTAACTGAATACAACAATAAAGTTCATGCAACATTGCTCATGCATCATGCATACATTGATCACTCCATGCAGGTTAAATAAATAGACTCTGTACTCTTGTGCATAAGCATAAGTTTGGCTATTATATTGCAATATATACCAATATATATGTTCAAGTGCATGCTTAAGCTGGGTATACATTTTATGAAGATTTAGTCTGAAAAAAAATGCTGTAGTAAAAACAGAAGAAAATTATTTCTACAAAGAAGCACAATTATTCACAATACATGTATAGCAGAAATTATGAGCTGTAAAGGCCAACGAAAATGTTTCTCATTTCTTATTCATGCATCTATGGATGTAATGGTCATAATGGTGGAAATTCAGGTATGAGGTTTTCATACAAATAAATAAAAGTAATATTGAATGGCCTGAAGGAGGATACAAAGGTACATTACATTCGCTTTGAGAATATTTTACTCATTATGCCTGTTTCATCAGCTCGAGTTTGCCAAATATCCCGCTATTTTCAGACTCTGAATATTGTCCCGAAGCTCAAAATCGCGTCTTCACCAGACCGATACACTCATCACAAACTAGCTCGGATGGATGCAAATTATCCCGCTATTTCGGAAATAGCGGATATTTTGGAAACAAGACCAAGATTTTTCAGGATATTTTCTCGACCAAATATCCCACTAATTGCAACTGCGGTCTGATGGAGACGCCAATTAACTGGCTTATTTGCGATCTGGATAGGTAAAATAGCAGGCTTTTTGGCAAACTTGGGCTGATGAGGACAGGCCTATTGTGCTGACTCATGAAATACGCTCTTCAGATTGTGCGATATACCTTGAATCCCATTCAAGGCCATTCAACATTATACAGTGCGTCCCAGAAAAAAACGAAACCGAGAACTATCAATGATTTATCATAACTTAATCACAATTATAATTAATAAATGACACAAGACTTTTTGGTTTCCTCTCTTCAAATTGCTTTTAATCACTCATGCGTGAGATATGAATCATATGAGTTGCATCAAATGAAAGAGGAGGATCTAACCTTTTTCAATATGTATCATATATTAATTATAATTGTGATTTAGTTATGATAAAACATCAATAATTCTCGGTTTCGTTTTTTCTGGGACGCACTGTATAAAGTGATTCCTGCATGTTATCACCCGTCCTTGGGGGGGGGGGGAGTGCAGATAGGAGATGAACAAGAAATGAGAATATAAACTTGGCCATTTAATCTTTTTTTAAATACAGTAATGCATGCAAGGCTGTGTGAGGAAAGAGACCATGTTTACATCACCATCGACTATCTACATACTATATACACCACATTTAGTACATTAGAGGTAATAATTTGGATTTGAGAATCTATTTATTCTCTTTTTCCCACATTTTCCAGGAAATCACCTCGTGTATCTTATCAATAGTAACAAACAACGAGTCTTCTGCACCGGTCTGTGGAATAATGGGCGATGAGATGGGAGAAAACAGGTGCAAAATTACGTACTTTTGAAAATACTTTCTTTCACTATACAAGTACCGGTACCTTCTATAGAGTACCGAAGCTGTGACGTCATAAAAATCTATTTTTAGAATTTCTCAATTTTTTTTCTTCATTTTCCGAAAGAACATCAAAAATAATGTCCAAATGTCGAAAAACCAATTGAATATGTTAAATATTGGCTGAGATATGACCATCTGAATAAAGATACTCTCCATAGGAACTCAGTGTTATATGCTCTGGCTCCTAATGGTTAGGAGCCAGAGCATATAACACTGAGTTCCCATAGGACATATATTCATTCAGATGGTCATATCTCAGCCAATATTTAACATATTCAATTGGTTTTCTACATTTGGACATTATTTTGGGTGTTCTTTCGGAATATGAAGAAAAAATTGAGAAATTCTAAAAATAGATTTTTGATGACGTCACACTTCACCACTCTATGTGGATTAAAGCTCTAGCACACATCTATCTTATCATCTACTCCTTTCAAAATGGTTTTGAATTTTGTGATGACGTAAATCAGACGTAAACAAGAATTCAATATGAATTCATTCAGGATATGCCAAAATCTTACAATAAAACATGGTTATATATCCATTTTTAAACACAGTTATAATCACTCTTGGTTATAAAAAATCATATAAGACTGGCAAATATAAAATATGCTGTATATGCTTGTATATTAGATAGTGTCTACATGGGAATCTAAATGCTGAAAGAGTCCAATGTGATGCCAACTACATGTATATTATATGATACAAAATGTATAATATATGCAGAAGTAGCTTATATAGACGCTCTTGATAATGATAAACCTGTACTCGTATACTGTACAGAAGGCCTTCACTAACTATGTAAATTGAAATAAGGTCCGCTGTAGCATCAATTATTCGTAGAGATCAAGAAAACTATGATGTAGAAGATCTTTACTATAATGCTGCATGTATATATTTTCCCAAACAAACTTCATCTTGAAATGGTGTACAGTACATGATGCTACTTCAAACATAGCAAATTTAGAAGACTTTTTAAGACAAATTTCAGATTTTTTAGCCTTCCTCAACAATTACAGGGTTGTCAAAATGTTATGCCAGCAATTTCCAACAATGAAGATTTCTACATAATTGATGCTTCCTACTACAGAAAACAAAAATGTGTAAGATAATGGTTAGAATCTGAGATATGAGCTAAGAAACAAGTAAAGAAGTCTACGATGAGATGTTGCCAATTCAAGCATGCATTGTGTAAAAATTCAGAATAGTGATCATTACCTCGTACGATGTATGCATACCACAGGCCTCTGGGACATCAAGAAAGTGGTTTGGCAAGGCTTCTATGGACTGAGTCAGAGAACTGACTCTCACATAGTTGCTGAAGAAAGCTGGCGGGATGCGGAATTTCACTGTAGTATTCATAGGAGAGAATAATAATAATAATAATAACAACATTTATAATGCGCACATATCCACCCCAAGAGAAAGAGGATAACAAATGACTAGCAGGTGCATTTGTAACACAAAAAGAAGCTGACCACTTTTTGGTAGAAATCTAGTCAGCCATTTTCAGAAACTAATATTGATAAGAGCAACATGCCCCAGTATTTAATTACATGGACATTCGTTCTCATGTGTCGGTTGATAAAAAGATTGCAAGGACTGAACAATCAATGAACAATACTTGGGGGTATAATAAAGGGATAGAGTGCCCATATCTGCAAGTGCATGTGTGACTATGCGATTCTAATAAAACAAAACACGCAACAAACACAAAATCTTCATTATATCTATTATACCAATAGGTATTCTTCCAAAAGTGAGTAAAAACTCATGAGAAAAGTCTAATATAGATCTAATTTTATACTAAAGCTTTGAATGCTATCTTTTATGTTAAGAATTCTAAAGTGCTTGTAAAATAAATCAGAGAGTAGAAATGGCAATCTTTTTTTTGCAAAGTCAAAATGATTTGTCCCCCTTTATTACTGAATTATGACAATTATTTTTCGGACACTTCCTCTTTAGAATATGAGGATTAATATCAGAGTAAGTATTAGAGGAATAAAATAAAAAGTTCTTGTCAATTTAGGTGCGTAGACATACAGTGTAGGGCTCTCCAAAATAATTGATATTATGTAAGACGGAATATCTAAACTTGTGTAGCAATATCAAATAAAAAGACATACACTTGGTAGCTTCAAACTCCCTCTTGGTTGCGTTGGGTCCAATCCAATAATCTACCATGGCCGATAGATTGGTCCTGTCGTAGTCATCGTTGATGTAGCTACCGTAGATGATCTCAGTCAGGATGTACCTCAGTCCCATCCAGGAAATACCCTTCAAAGACTCATTCTCTGAGGGGCTATCACTGAACACCATCCTGGCGATGTTGAATGCCTCCTGAGGGTTAAAGTTAAGATTACAAAAGAATCAGAGTAACTTGTTTCTTGAAGGTGTCTTTGTTAGAATGCTACTTAGTCTCTTCTATTAGATACCCTTCAAAGACCCACAATATTGCATTCCTCCTGCACTAATGTAGGTCACAGAAAGGGCAGATGATAACAAATTAGTTATACAAATCAAAATTCCTTTTGTTTTCTAAGAACCGTTTGTATCAGAGAGCCCCCCCCCCCTTCCATTAATATTTTCATGCACTTCATTACTCTGCTGTAACTGTCAGGTTGCTTAATAAGTATCTTGATGGAACAGTTACATCTTTAAAATTATGCAATTCAACATTAATGTGGAGCTCCGGATTATCATCTTGGCAAGTCAGGTTTTTAGGAGTAAAAAATACCGGGTACTGTACTACTGCTTTTTTTTGCAGGCAGGTGATGAAACAACAGTGTTGTGTATTTGTGTGACAGGCTATAGAATAAACATGTACATCTATACAGTCATGAAGCATTACCAATACATTGTGCAATGACATTGTTCAAATATGGAGTTTTTGTGACAAGTACATTGTTTGTCATCAAATAAGGTAAAGGTAAAGGTACTCACACTAAGCTCATTATGGGAGAAATCCATGACGTCTGGGTAATTCCACCCAGCGAGACCATAGCGCCCTCGCAGTCTGACGGTGGCATGAACCATGGCAATGTTATGAAGTAGAGGGACCCACTCGGACCGGGAGCTAGCCTTGAGCTGCTCTGGTTCAAAGGAGCTGACTGCTCGAAGGAGAGATTCTTTGACAATCTGTGAAGAGGAAAAGCAACGGGATGAAAGGGTTACTGCTTCGATGTTTTGATGTAAACATTTATTCATTTTTATAAATATTTTCCCATTTGCTATGTTTTCTTTATATATATATATATATATATATATATATATATAAATGTTTTTGAATGCTTTTATATATATATATATATATATATATATATGATTGTATGTTTGATGTAAACTTGCATTTTTAGTCTTTTGACTTTTTGACAAGTCTTGAATAAAACCTCATTTGAATTAAATTGAATTGAAAAGTACTACTTGTTGACACCAAAGATATTATCAAGGTGCTTGCACTAACTTAAATTTGTCTAATGATATTACATAATAGATAGAAACACTGTACTCAACCTCAATAGGGCAAGCACATGTAAATAAAATCATTATTATCCTCATCATCATCATCACCACTTTTAACATCACGTCATCATCATTACCATTGTCACAATAGGCAGCAGAAACAATGTCATATAATGTTAAAGATCATCTTCTCATTTTAATGAGTTAGATAACTTCAGAGCAATGTTTATAGCATCCATTATGTCTTCATTACATCATCATCATCATCCCATTCAGCAGCGTCGTCGTCGTCGTCGTCGTCGTTGCCGCCGCCGCCGCCACCACCACCATCACCATCATCAACTGCATCACCACCAGCACCACCATCATCACCACCACTACCACCACCAACACCACCACCATGATAATCATCATCACCATCACCACCACCACCACCACCACCACCACCACCACCACCACCACCACCACCACCACCACCACCACCACCACCACCACCACCACCACCACCACCACCACCATCATCACTACTACTACCACCACTACCACCACCACCACCACCACCACCACCACCACCACCACCACCACCACCATCATCACCACCACCACCACCATATTCATCATCATTCTGCTCTCCATCATCATCACCATGACAACCTCTTCCATGTTCTCCTTACCTTAGGTGTATCAATGACGACCTTGACCCCATACTGCAGGAGCCTGACTGGTATATTCCTGCTGACCTGTGCTGAGATCCACACTCTGAAGGGGCTTTCCCCGCCCTGTTTGTTATCATTCTCTTGGAGTAGAGTCTCTAGTGAGTTCAGTAGATGGGTGGCATTGTGAGCACTCTTCAGCATCACCCACGTACCCTGTGTAGAAGAACGGTCTGTTAATATCTGCATTCTTCATCTTTTAATTGTTTATTTTTTAACAAACATAAACACTTTATTTAATTCCCATTTAATACATACTACTGTTGTTGTTGTTGTTGTTGTTGTTGTTGCTCTTTATTCTTCTACATGTACTCGTAATGCTCTTACTAATAAAATTACATACATGTTTATATATATTTAGTTGTTTACAATTTGATTGTGAAATTCTTTGCGGCCTGAGGGCCAAATTGCAGATTCTTTTGTAATTATAAAAAAAAATATGATAATACATTGTAAAAAGATTAAAGAAATTCCAGCCATTATGAGGTTTGTAAAATACTACAAGAGCAATAATATTTTTAAATAAATTCATCTGATTGTGAGAGAAAAAGAGGAAGAGAGAAAGGGAGAGAGATAGAGAAAGAGAGAGAGAGAGAGAGAGAGAGAGAGAGAGAGAGAGAGAGCTTCCAAAAATGGTAACAACTTCAGCTTTACAGAGCCAGTGTCTAAACATTTAGATATCTCTAGTCATTCACAGAAGGCTTTCAATCCATGCAATTTATAGACTTTGGGATGACAAAGAACAAAGAAGAAGCTCTATCTTTAATTTTTGTGGTCAACATTTTCAAACAAATGGATTTAAGGGTACTTTTTTGACAATTATATATAGCACATATTGAAAGAGGCTTATAGAGTTTTCTTACTTCTTGCATTGCGTGCTGTACTGCTTTCCTGGCTCGTCTCTCCTCGTTGTGTTCAGCATTGCTGAGGTTGACCACGGTGCCTTGGACCTGTTTCTTGGCTGAGAACTCATGGAAGATCTTCTCTGCCACATCCCCCTCCCGGGTGTAGAGAAGCAGAACGGGGATGACGGGAGAGGTCTGCCTCAGGATCACGTTGGGATCAATGGCTACATCATTGGTATACCTGTATGATACAGAAGATTAGGATAATAATGATAATAATGATATTCTGGGTATCTTTGGCGGTTATTCATCAATGTCTCTATAAAGCGCTTTAAAGAATATACTTTTACCCCGATAATCGGATATAAGCTTGCCAACACACAATGCTTATACATTCTCCATTCCCTGGGGAGCATTCCAAGTCAAGTGCTATTTTTACGTACACTCACAATGCTCAGCAAATTGATCATGCATACTTATTCATATTTATATGGAATTACATGTGTCATTTCATACCTTTATTTGCTTATTAGATTCAAATTCAAATTATGAAGAACGAGCTAACTTTCCTATGGGGATCTGTACTTAAAGGCATCGTTTAATAATGTGAACAATATCTGAGATGCATGGCCCTCAGTGTCTGTGATATGATGCAATATTGAAACCCTAAAAAAATTGCCTTTCAAAATGATTATGAAGTGCCTCAAAAAAGTAATAATCTTTGAGTGACCGATTTTAACATACTCATTTCGCCCAATAGACTGTAGTGTTATAAAACTGTTAGGAAAACAAAAAATAAATTTTGATTTCCAATCATAAATATCTTGATAATCAGACAGACAATCGGCTTATAAAAGTCATTCCTGACTGACCTAAAGGTTTGTAATTATCATTGCAGCATGAGCTAAATCCAGAATTTTGTTCCAGAATCTGAAGCAATGTTACTGAGTCATTTTAATATGCTATGCTACAGGCTTGTCCTACGGCACTAAGCATACCTTACCTCTATTAAACCACTACTTACTTCTTGCCAAGTGACTTTCCTACAAACACAGTGGCGGCTTGCATGATCCTATCCGGTCTGAACGCTCGTATGACCATGAGCCTCTGCATGGGATTGTAGTTATCATCCATCTTCTCTGGTAGCGGATGAAGCTCTGGGTTCTCATGCTCGCCTAGGGTACGCCACTGGGTCTCTCTACCGTCCTTAGGCATCCTCTCAAACATGTCCTGGAACCACTCAAAATTGATGGCGAGGGACTGAGGAGAGGGGGGGGGGGCACGAGAATGGAACAGGGTTAGTATTGTAATCGGTATCTGTAATTCAATTATTAGGTATCCCGGGAAGTGTTTCACAAAGACATACTTTAAGTTGGCCTTAACTATGGCAGGCCATTCATGCCACTGTTTGCTCTCACCATTATGATCTTTAGATACGAAAATTCGTTCAATAATAAATTATAAAAAAAGAGTAAATTCTATAGATATGTGACAACGATTTGTACGTTCCTTGAGAGACCAATGCCAGTAATTGGTGAGAGCAAACAGTAGCATGAACTGCCTGCCATAGTTAGTCCAACTTAAAGTTAATCTTAGTCTTTGTGAAACATTCCCCAGATGTGACGAGGGGCAAATAAGCTACAGCTTTATGTCTCTACACCCAAGCAAATAAAAAAGTAAAACCAAAACCTGAATTCTATTTGGGATTGCTTAAAGGAGGGATTGGCTTTGGTAAGCATGAAATGTGTGGATGGTAGTCTCTTAAAAATCAGGACGCAAACATTACATGAGACCTGATTGTCAGTAGTAAAAATCTTAGATTACATGCTCTTCAGCAGAAAAATGAGAGAAACAATTTAGTGAAAGCAAATATCAAATAAAAATAGAAAAGTTATGAAGTTTTGAAGTTTTGAAGTTTTTAATAGTGAAACACAAATTTGCAACACTGTGATCATCTTGCCAGCTCCTCGCCAATTTGCTCATCCAGAAAATTTCATGAAGTTTCATTTTCTTAGTTATTGATGACGGAATTTTTCTTTTTTTCATACAGGGGTTGTATATAAACATATTTGCAACAACTATATATCGAGGGGTCAGTGACACAAAGACGTAACTCCATATTTTGCCAAAATGGGTATTTGATATAAAAATGTTCAGAAAAATGTGGGCTTTCCAGGAAACACAAAGACCTAACTCCACCCAACAACCCATTGAAGTCAATGGCTAATAGTAAAACATAGACTTAACTCCTTAAGGCCCAAGTGGAGATACGTCTTTGTGTCACTGACCCCTCGATATAAAGGGTGAATGAATGATTGAAAATATTCACCTGTAAGGAATGGAACTGATCATCCAGCATCCAATCGAAGGGTTTCCTGATCTGACAGACCCTGTGGTCTGAGGGAGCAGACAGACCCAAGCCACTCATAGTAGCAGAGCCAAGCTGAGGGGAGATCACATACTCGCGCTCACCATATCCTACGTTACCGATCGAATCTTCCACCTGTAATGTAAGATAGTAATTTATAACATTTTAACTTGAAAATAAGTTCAAAATTACATATTTCTATAAGCTTTTACATGCCGTGCTGCAAACTTCCACTTGATTGATTTCAAACAGGTTTATTCAACAGAACTTCAAAGCATAATGATTTAATTTTTTTCCCTTCAAAACAGGTACAAGCTACAATTAATGAATATTATACAACTCACTCCTATATCCTAATCAAATGATTGGTCAAATGTGATCACGTGTGATTCATTTACTGAGACTATCCCACTTTTTTCATGAAAAAGTGTGCAATAGTGTCTAGTACTATCCAAATGATGCATGTTCTCATTTGTTCATTACAGGATCTAGCTACTCTTGTTGAGGCTCTTTGTGCATCTATCATACTCGTACTGTATACTGCATACAGCCTCAACTCAAGTGCGGATAGATCGTGTAATAAACTCATTCGCATGCATCATTAGTGAATTAATTGATGTGTGCTTCTTGAAGAGATGAATGTATTGTCTATTTAACCCCTTGCCTACTGGAACCGAGTAGTCCCTGTATAAAGCCTATGGAAATGAGAGAATTTAGAAGTCAACAGGTCAAACATACCTCCATAGCTAGGAAGACAGAGTAGATATGTCTATCTCTCTCCAGCAGTGAGCGAGCTGTAGCCTGGAAGGCATTGTATGTCAACCGCTCAACGACAGCCTTGACTGCAGCTCTGAAGGAGACAAGATAGCATTTCAGTGGATGAAATTCAATAAATACTTTGTTGCAGGAGTTATCAACTTACTCACGGTGTACAGTACATGAAAGCTTGCAAAAATAAATATGTATTCAAACAAAAAGGTTCAATAAAGACTCAATCATTTAGGTACAAGCAAAAAGGCAAAGACAACTTTTAACACTGTTCGTTGTAGCACACGGCTTTTAGTCCAGTATCAAAGCGATTCTTGAGAAAGACCACCTACTAGCCACTCACAACAAGTATCACTTTTTGTTATCACTCATTTAGTTTGTATTTGATGTTGCTGCAATGAGCTGCCTTTAAATGACAATCAAATCTTTGTGGTACGCTCATTTGTAGGAAAGCAGACAAATCTGAGCATGAATATATATGATTATACAACGTGATGGACATGTGCGCTATATAAGAAGCCGCCATTATTATTATTATTATTATCATTATTATCATTATTATTAAACCTGGTTTTTAAATTGAGACACTATTTTCACTTTATGGACTGATAGCTTCAAATTGACCTGTTTCACATCGCCTTATATTAAAAGGAACTTCATTATACAGGGCTGATTTACTGTAGGTAAACATATATTCATTCATTTCAGCAAGAAGATGGTAACACATAAAATGAGCAGCACTGTCTAGATCATACACAATTTAGATCCAGAACTTAAGTAAAAGGCAAAGACAGCTCATAATGAAATTTATATAAATTAGGGAATGATTCAAATAATTTAGAATGAAAAATATAACACAATTTCACTTCAAGACCTTACTTTATTTGTTTCATCCCCATCACCTCAACATAAACAGGGCAGAGATTTTTAAACTGACAAATACTGAAATTGTTCAAAGAAAAGCCCATTAAATGAATATCCAACAAATGCATTCACCGCACAAATTTTCACAGTAAATCATTTTTCAATTTGCAAACAATAACTTATTTGAAAACCTTCATTTGGACGTCATTGTTTCTGTACCAAAAGTATGAAAACACTTTTGAGTGGGGCCAGAAAATACACACACGCACAGACAGAAAATGACTTTGTGAAATTCACCCATCACTTAATACAAATACACCCCTAGACATCCCTTCACTCAAGGAGAGAAACTTCACAGAGCATCAATTCAATAAAATTTTAGATGGAGTTGAAAAATGGGGCAGTATACTGAAAACTATGTTGTAGAAAGAAGAAGTCAATTGTCATAACAAACAAATTGAAATTGCGCTGACTAAACACTTATCACTGGTGCCTGCGCTGATGCCTCCCATCTTTGTGCACAAACTTTAATAACCGATGACTTAATTGACCTATTCTGGATTTGATTTTACAACTAACATCTTTTTACAAACATAAAAGTTAACATAGTTTTTACATTACCACCCATAGTAGAAACATATCACCACTGTTTCTTCTCCATTGATGATATATCATTCATAGGTATTTTGTTATAACTTTAAATGATGTTTTAGTGAACATATTACATTGTGTAATTTATGTCAGTGCTGAAATTTCAAAGTGCGTTGATGATATAATGCTACTAATCAGACTATTATTCTGCTAAGATTTATGTTAGAACTCAATGAAATACACATGTACTTGCCAAATTGCTTGATTTGTGCCTAAAATTACGATATGTACATGTAAGTCTTCAGTTAGGTAAATATTTTACACCTTCCTGTTAGTAATCAAAAGCATTAGAAAGGATGAAAGTAGATCAACTAAATTTTCATAATTATCTTTAAATACATGAATGAATCAATTCAAAGTGCAATTCTTTATCCAATAAAGATTTATGTATGTACACAATATGCAGATAGCATGAATATTTAATTTCCATGATATTAATGTGGGGTGATTTTTTTTCTTCCCCTTATTCTAGTGTGCAAAACTTCAAACATGTTATGGTTAAATGAAAGTGAGGTATTTCAAAAGAATGAAGGAAAGTGTGTGTCAGAAAAAACTTACGATCTGTGGCCATGCATGAACAAGCAGGAGGATTAAAAGATTGATTAAAATGATTATCCATGCAAGTAAAAGTCAACTAAATACAGAACAGAAATTAAAAGTAAAATATGAAATTATAAAGCATTAAAAACGAAATTATACAAGTAAAATTAATGAGGAATTGTAATGTAGTAGACATGTCAGATATGAAAATTTGAAAAAGAGGAAAAGAATATCTTAAATGCAAACATAAAAGAAACTAAGACTAATTGCTTGCCATTCCTGTACATGTACATGTGCATATGACTGTCTGAACTATTTCATCAGGAATTTATAGCTCCTGCATTTTCAAACTTCTCATGATCGTGATAAACTAGACTATGTATTCAATAAATTGATTGGGAAACTTTACACACATAATACAAAATGCCTTTCAGATATACATGTAGGATGTTAGATCTTAAAACAGATTGCATAATGGTGCTTTTTTTTTTTTTACATTATGGTTTTAAAATTATAGATTGCCAATATAAAGTAGAATGGTATTAGAAACAGTGTCTTAATTAAACGGAAGAACAAATACATTATGGAAAGAATTAAATGGATCATGCATAACACAAATTAGCTTTGGTAAAACTTATTACAAGCAGTTATAAAGATTGGTTATAAAGAAGAATGATTCATGCAATTTAACTTCTAACATTGATTCATGCAATCACTAATGAAAGCATACTACATTTCTTCTGCAAAGCAAAGATATAGGAATTAAACAGATCTTTTTCTTCGAATTGCTTTCTGCAACCTGATTCGCAATTCAATTCTAGTTATTCAACTTGAAGAATGATGTGCAAGAAGGTTGTGTATAAGTTTACTTTTTCTTTGTCTATTCATATCCAGTGTATAGTGATAGAATATTTAGTTAATATTTAGAAAGAGATTTCAATGGGCATGGATAGGAAAATGGGAGAGAATGAGTAAGAGATGTGGGGGTCATTTGCCCATTTTGTCTGTAATTGCTGTGCCAATAAAAAAATTGTTCTTATACACATCTCTTTAAATGCTATATGTGGGACTATCAAGAAGTATTCTCACCTCTCTGAATGCTTGATGGAGATGTCAAAGGTCTCTAAGAATTGTTGCCATGACGTCTGATAGATGAAGTTGACCTCTGACATCCCTCGAGAGACGTCAAAGCAGACCGCTCCTCTACGGGCGATGGAACGGTAGCCCTCCCTCGCATTGTGAATGGCATTCTCTGAGATCTGAACACGTTCTTGGCTACAAGGGAAATCAATATCAAAACATTCATCTTGACAAAAGCACAGTAAAAGCTTTTCAATCTTGGTACTTGGTAGGATTCCTCCAAAAGATGCAGTAAAGGTGTTTAAACTGGAGGTGTGTTGTCATGTGCGGCCACCAACTTAAGGTGCTGGTTTAAGCGCAGATTTCAAAGTATTTAAGGAAGGTTGGGCTACAATTAAGGGAGAAAGACTGTTCCAGTCCTTAACTGTCCTTGGGAAGAATGAGTATGCATGTGCATCCGTCCTGACTTGGTTGATATAGAATTGTTGGTCATGGCCCGTCTTGTTCGTTGTACCTCTGGTGAGATGTAATTGTTGTAGTTGATGTTCATCAAATGTAGATCAACAAGTATGATCAAGTATTTTTGTTGTACTATGCAAATACCTTTTACCTAAATCAATCAATCTTTGAAAGCCATGACAGCATCAAATACTGACCCTGTGTTCAGAATACTAATATTCATTGCATAGGTTCACAAGAAACATATCCTTATATGAAGTAATTAAATTTTTCTTCAGTTGTTTGAACATCATAAAGAAACGTATAACGAAATGTATGTTTCAGTACTGTTTCAAACAAAAAGTTGAAAATGAATCATGGTTCCCTTTCTCGTCTAAGCGTTATGGTATGAAAATCATATAACAGAGCGCACGCTGATGACTGCACGGCTAGTTGTCATGTCCATTTAACTCCTTACAAAATTTAGTGTCTTCATACTGGTACAAACCTTATACATATTCATGTATGTTAATGATTCGCATGAGTAGATGTGAAGATCTGATTTGTTATTATAACCTACGACCGTGTTTGTCACAGGTACTTTATTATTTTGTTTTGTATTAATATTGCTTTTGATGTGTTGTGAATGATTGTAGAATGTAATGTCAACTTGTTGTGACAATAATCTGTTGTTTTCTAGTCTGATAATGCTCCTTTCACTATACAAAGATCTTTTATTCTACATTTCTTTATACAATGTACGTCTAAATTTCCTATAGTCAAAACAGGCTATGGTATCCAACATTAAATTACATGTTATCTATAGAACTTCCTTTCTTTCCATTTTTGTTACAGACTCTGAACTTGCTAGTCTTACCTCTCAACTGTTTCATCGTAATGTTTCTTCATGTCAGCTAGTTTCTTTGTAGTAGCTAGATCATTGAGGAGTCTGTTGTCGGAGGCTAAGCATTCCAGCATCTGGTCTTCAAGTTGATCAAGCTGCTTCATGTTAGAGATCCTCTCCTGGAAATGAAATAACACATAAAAATATTATTATCAACTCCTATCTTCCACTTCTTCTTTTAATTGTTTTGTCATCCCTAAAGTGACCATGCTCTCCTCTTTAATAAAACTTTGATATTCATCTATAGCTCCTAAATCCTTTCTTGATGGACTACATGTAAGATATTTCAAGTTGTCCACCAAAGATTCGCTGAAATACAACAATTCCTTGATTATTGATCGATATATTCCATTCGACCATTTCTCTGCAACAGAGTTCCACAGATAATTATAACTTTTCTCCTCTTATTATGTTCTACTATTTAACCAACAAAAACAAGTTTTTTTAGAAATGTAAATCGTTATATTGATCCTTTTCAAGAACCAAGGGGAGCATAAAGACATGGAAAGGACTGACACTGTAAGAGTGTTCTAGAATGGCAGATAACAGAGATGTGTGGAAAAATGTTGCAATCAAACTGGGAGAAGATACCTGGGCCCGTCTTACAAAGAGTTACGATTGATCTGAATCAATCGTAAGTCCTCTAATTAATCACAAGTTTGCAGTCTCCTATCTTTTGTGTACATAGTTACGATTGATATCAATCGCAAATAAGTTGCGATCAATTTCAACTCTTTATATCAATCACAATTTTGCAGTTCCTATCTCTTATGTACTGTTACAATCGATAACAATTTCAACTCCTTTTAAGACGAGGCCCAGGATAGAAAGACTTTGCAAAGATCTTGAGTGAAGAGCTTACCTTGAGAGCAGTGATCCTATCCTCCTCAAGTCGAGCCTTCTCCAGGGTCATGAACCGATCAAGAAGCTCTTCTTCACAGTCTTCCCTCGTCTGATAGAAGTACATCACGCTGGTGTAAGCAGCCAGCTCATCAGGGACGCAGTGTGGCTGGCAGGTGGTATGAAGGTAGAGACGGAAGCCTGGATGACACTCAACCTCATGGTCAGCAACCTGTTAATGGAAGTCAAGGAACAAGGAGATGGTGTGACATAAATGCTGTTTTTTGGTAACAATGTCATCACTAGCAACACTGCTACCACATCCAGGAGAATCATACTCATCAATTATACTGATTTGCTTTTTTTAAAATTTATTGGAGTTGCTCTTATTGTCAATTAGCAATCATCTATGTCCTATTAGGAATCATTATCATCATCGCCATCAGCTTCATATTCATTATCATCATCATCATCATCATCATCATCACCGCAAAGAATCATCAAAATATAGATCTCAAATAATCTCCTCTGGTTCCTCTTCTCTCCTCCTCTTATCATCATCAATATCATCACCAGTATCATCATCATTATCATCATCATCATCACCACCACCAGCACCACCAGCACCACCAGCACTACCAGCATCATCATCATCATCAACATCATTAATATCATCACCATTATCACCATCATCACCATCAACACCACAATCAATATCATCATCATCAATGTCATCATCATCATCATCATCATCATCAACACCACCATCATCACCACAACAATCATCATCAACACCACCATCATCACCACCACCAACATCATCACCACCATTATCATCACCATCATCACCACAACCATCATCACCACCACCATCATCACCACCACCACCACCAACTTACCATCATCTTGAAGTTGCTCTTGCCATTGATGAACGCTAGTCTACTTCTCAGCAGCCGATAGAATCTTGGATCCTCAGCCAGCTTGTCTACGTCACAGTCCATCAGGACGAGGGGAGTCCCCTCAGTCAGGCACGTCTCAAGCTGGGCTCTAAGCTCCTACATGTCAAGGCATTATGAAAATCATTTAAAAGTGTCAAAGATTTTAAAAATCAAATTAAAGGTGCTATATATAAAAAAATGAACAACGAAAACAAATGAACAAAACACACACTAGGACAAGGATAATCCCCTTATTCAGTCAAATTTTAAGCAAGGCTTTCGGCTCAGAGTTCAGAAGTAGATAAAGCGCGTGTACAAGTAATTGTTGGAAAAAAATTATAGAAATAAACATACAGATATAAAGACCAAAGGAATCCCAATGGTCAGATAAGTCTCAAACTGGATTTTAAGCTCCTACAAAAATAAAAAAATCATGAATTTGAAGGTGTGGGGAAATTCTGGTCAATTTTATACAAAAGATTTCAGAATATCCAAAGTCTCTTTTAATGATGTTTCTTTCCCACCTTTACTATAATACATGTACTCCCTTTAATGTATTTAATCCACTTACAATTTAATTGACAAGATCTTTGGATATAAACAAATTGATCGGATATTGCAGACTTACATGGAACTTGATAACAACGAGCTGGCCGTTGAGATAAGATTTGATCCAGTCTAGGATCCGGCTAGTAGGATCACACAGAAGTGACCAGGCTGTAGCGCTATGTTCTTGCATGACAAAGCAAGCATTGTCCTGGGAATTAGGTGTACTAGGTAGCTTCAATGTCTTCAGCGATTCAATCTCAAACTGGTTATGAATGAAGAGTCAGGAAAATAAATGAATGACATTTCACTGCGAAACCTGGACAAAATTCTTGTATTTGATAATCACCCTTTAGCAACCCTCCCAACCATTCAACATTCAAAGCTAGACTTAGGAATGTCTATGATTCAAAAGTAGGAATATGGTTTACGGTGTGTTGGCTCAGTCAGTAGAGCGTATGCCTCACAACCGGGAATTCAAACCCCGGGATTCGAACCCCGGCCGAATTTCCATTTTCGTTTTAACTTAATAAAATTTGATTTGATTATTATTATTTTCAGGAATCCTCAATCCTCCCTCTCTCTCACATGGTGCACCCGCAAGCTTACTGTATATTATTATTATTATTATTTATAGGACAATCTGCAGACTTTCCTTATTACAAATTAATAATTATTGCAAAATACAGTGCACATTCTCGACTCCCTGGGGAGCCTTCCAGCTAGTGGTACACATACCAATCCAACCACAATGACTTTCACATCATAATGGGTACCCATACAACACTTTGGTGGAGAAAAGCAATGTAGATAAAAATGGCTTGTTCAAGGGACATTTGTAACAACATGGGCTAGATAAAATGCCTTGTTCAAGGGACATTTGTAACAACACGGGCTAGATAAAATGCCTTGTTCATGGGACATTTGTAACATGGGCTTTTTTTTTTTACTTACCGGAGTGTAGAGGAACTGTATGAGGGAGACATCTTTCAGAACTCGTCGTTTCGGGATGGGGAACCCCGTATCCACGCACACTTGGTTGATGTATTCTCCCATGCGCTGACGGGAATCTGACGTCATACCACCGCAGTACGTCAGGAAGGCGGCCGCTGTCATGCAGTTGCTAAGCAACCATTCGTTGTCTGCGTTCTCATCGACGTATGTCTGCCATCGCTCTTTCTCCTGCTGTAAGCTGCAGATATACAATGGTACATGTATATAACTCATACGTATAATCAATATGGTTATCAAAAAAAATATTGAACTTCAGGCAGTACAACTCTTAACTTAAAGCCCCAATACGTATAGTTACGTACACCCTCTTTATAACAAACAATGCATAATCGATGACCATCGGTCCCCCATGATCCTCTTTTTCTTATGCTAATTGAGAGTAGATTTGATGAGATAACCACCTGTCCAGCGACCTTGCAGGGTGATCTAATCCCTCCTGTACACTAGTACAGATGAGCTTTAATATGTCATCTACCTGACAATCATATTGGTGGCTGCCCTCAGTCTCTCATTGCTAGCAGACAGTTCGATCTCCAGAGAGTGCTTCCCAACGACAGAGGCATCAAGCTACACCCATCAAAATCCTAATCCCAATCCTAATCCCAGTCCTAATCCCAACCTAATATCCTTCAATCATGAACTTCATGACCAAAGGTCAGGGTTCACTATTATTAAGTTACCTGACAATCATTTTGGTGGCTGCCCTCAGTCTCTCATTGCTAGCAGACAGTTCGATCTCCAGGGAGTGCTTCCCAACAACAGAGGCATCAAGCTACACCCATCAAAATCTTAATCCCAATCCTATTCCCAGTCTTAATCCCAACCCAATATCCTTCAATCATGTATTGAGTTACCTGACAATCATATTGGTGGCTGCCCTCAGTCTCTCATTGCTAGCAGACAGTTCTATCTCCAGGGAGTGCTTCTCAACGACGGAGGCATCAAACTGTCGCTGGAGTTCAGTGACCTCCTCCTGGAGAATAGGGATGTCAGCCTCGGTGTACTCCTTCTCGGGCTCCGGGGCGGGCTCCACCTCCTTGCTGGCCTCCTTGGCATCCTGGAATCGTACATCAAATGAAACCAAGTATGGAGCTTATCAGAAACATTTAAGAAAAAATAATAAAAACAACAACAATAACTATAAAAGTTACAACAAAAACAAAAATAATACTATTAATACTACTACTAATAATAATAACAATAACAGTAATAACAATAACAGTAACAACAACAAAAATAATATTATTAATAATAACAATAATAATAACAATAATAATACAAATAATAGTGGATTCTTGTAAAGCACTCATGTCAGTCAAACTTGATACTCCTGGGTCCTGTTGCATAAAACTTATGATTGATGGTAACTTTGTCATCAATGGTAACTATCATGGTATTATTGCTCAACAGCCAATCAAAATCAAGTATTCCATGGAAGTTACTATTGATGGCAATTAAAGTTACCATCGATGATAAGTTTTATGCAACAGGACCCTGGCGCTCCATAATACTTTTATCAACTGAGGAAATCATCAGACCTGTTTACTAATGTTGTCCTATTTACATGGATGTTTCTCTCCAGAACCCTTGATTATTATCGACACTATTTCTGCTTAGCATAATGGCATCTCTAGAGATGTAATACGCTTTGCATACAATAGATGTTGTTATGTCTGGCAAGCCTCTGGCAAGCTTTTGAATTGTCACAATATATCTTTGGTACTTCTTTCTACGTGTGGGCAGAAATATATTCATACAGCTTTCTTTGCTGTACATAAAAAGTCATATGGAATGGGTTACTTTTGCATTCAAACAGACTGATGCAATCTTTGTATAGTAAGGTGATGTCAGTATACTTTGAATTCTAGTACATGGTCCCTGAGAAAAAATGATTTTGCCAGATGTTACTCTAAATCAGATACCCAGTACTGTCACAATGTTATTGAGTAGGTACATGTAGACAAAGAGTCAATACTGAGACAAATTAGTAAATAAAGAACAAGGCATGATCGAGGATTACATGCAAGCATAGGTTAGAATTCTAAAAGAGATTTTAATAATCAAAGCAACATCTTTATCTGATTGACATATTTAGCGCAATTTGGATCAAGATATATATATTCATGTATATATTTTTCCCCCAACGTCAAATGCAAAGGTTTTATATATAGTTTTTAAAGCAGGCTTTGTTGAATTAAATGTACATGTCTCATATATGGTTACATATTCTTTTTTAAATGAATATACGATATGAAATACAGCAATATCTTGCGCAATGTTTCTCTCTTTTTCAAATTCACTACATGTATCCCTTTTAAACAGCTACATGTAAGAAAGTTTAAAGATTAGTGCAGAATCATGAACAATGTTGGTCTTTGTTATTCTTTTTGTTTAAGGCTCGATCATCTGAAGTTATCACTTGATTCAATTGTACTCTGAAACCATGCAGAATTGCCATGAGGGTATAAATGGTATTTAGTATACTATATATTTGACAAATACCACCGGTAAACGTAATTATTATTATTTTTTTTTTGCATTTCAAAGCCATGCAATCAAAATCACTTGCAAAAACAATTCAACATCATGCAAGAAAACCAACAAGACTGAGAATTCAAACATCAATAATAAGATAAAATCAAAACAACAACAAAGATGTGCCTTCTCTGATAGATTCCAAATTAAAAAAAGTATTCCTGGAGAATGCATGAAAGACAGAAGCTAAGTTTTATGGCAATAATTTAATTTTCTTTTCTTCAGAGATCTGAGATCACTGTATAGTTCTGATTACATACAGTGTAATGTTGGCTAATAATGCTTCATGCAAATTGAATACAAACAGAATGAAAGGGGGGGGGGGAAGAAACCGAAGAAAGAGAAAAATGCTCTCAAGAAAAAACTTTTCATGGATTTGAACATTTCATGTCATATATGCTTTCAAATTTCAAATAAACAATTCCCATGAGAAACAAGAACAGGGTTATAAAAACGAGAAAAGAAATACAAAAGTAAGACCAAAATAGATGCAATCGAAAGATGCTAAAACTAGCTAAAACTACTTCTTTTTTTCAGAGCATGCATCGATCCTTACCACTTTATCAAGGATATCCTGTGCATTGATACATAACATGCAATTTAGAAAAAGAGAGAGAGAGTAAGAACAAAATGGTTTTATTTTCACAATCATACTTGGATGTTCAGCAAGAGATAAAGCAAACACACAAAGAGGAAGAAAAAAGCATGCTGGCTATTCCTTTTTTGAAAGAAAAACTGAGGGAACAACATCCCCTTGGGAGGACCCGGGTTCGAAACCAAGTAGATATGCTTGTGCCCTTTGGTATGGCATTAATCCTTATTCAAGTCTCTAGGAGAGGTCTTAAAGCTATCAGTCCCCTGGTTGCTGAATTATGAGCATACACATGCTTTTTATTAATAGCATCAATTAAAATCAAATATCAAATAATTTAATAATAATCATATCAATAACTATATTAATAATAAAAAGTCATATCTGTATAGCGCTTAATACTATATTCTATGAAGCGCTTTATATTGCTATCATTATTACCCCGGTTATTGGATCCAATTAAAATTCTGCACATCATAAGTGCACACACTGCGCTCCCTGGGGAGTATTCTGGCTCTAGTCACCAATTTACCAGTGCAAATGTGTGAATCCAACCACATTATTATTTGCAGCCTACCAGTTACCTATTGAAAACCTGGGTGGAGAGAAGCAACATGGATAAAATGCCTTGCTTAAGCCAGGGAACACATCTCCAGTCTTCTCCAGTCAAGTGTTTAACCACTCAACTACGATACATGTACATCTCTACACCGCCGCAGCACTTATGTCCTTTGGCAAGACATTGATCTACATTTGCCACACTCAACCCAGGTGATGTAAATGGGTACCTGGCAGGAATTAATTCTTTGGAAAGCTAGAGCGCCGTGATGACAGCACAGCTAAGGCCGGGGTAATAATCTCCAAGTTTGGAAGCGCTTAGTGATTGTAATAAGCGCTATATAAAAACTGAGAATTATTATTATTATCATTACACCTCCATTGATAAAACTTACCCTTTCATCTTTCTCCTTCTGGAGCCTCTCGGTCTCCCTCTGTTGCTCCTCCAGCTCCTTGACCTGCTTCAGAAGATTCTGGAGGGGTCCACAGGAGTGTGTGTACTCCACCATGGCACAGATGTAAGCCACCAGGTTACCCGCATCCTCCGAGCTGTAACGGGTGGCAGCGATGGTGATGTTGGGGGCGCCGTCACCGGGTGAGGGGCTACGCCGCGATGAGGGGGGCAGCTTAGGCCCACCTGGAAGGAGAAACGTGGGATATATAGTGTTGTTGTAGTAGTTCTAGTGGTGGTCATTTTACCTGACTGCTAAGAAAGCATAACTGCTTGTTAGTAAGCAACTAGAGGACCGATAGCTTTAGGTCCTCTCCAAGAGACCTGGTAAAGAGTATTAATGCCTTACCAAAGGGCACTAGCGCATCACCTTGGTTTCGGACCCGGGTCGCCGAGACCACTGCTCTACCAACTGAGCTATCGCTCCTCCGAATAACAAATGTTACAATTCTAAGGCAAGGAGAAGCATCTTCAGGCTGGATTGACAAACGATCAGTTGCAATTCATTTCAATCATATGGTGAAATAATTGATACTAATGTTAACATTCATTTCACCATACTGTTTTAGTGCAACTATACATGGCTTAAAGTCATATCCGAGGGACGAAGTAATTGAGAATATAAAAGGGTGTTAGAATATCAACTTAGCTTTGAAACAAGGTTTTATTGGATGTAAGATCACTGACTGTTCAATTTACTCATCCCCGAAGCATTCTTCATGTTAATGGTCATCATTTAGACAAGTAAATCTCCATTCAAAGTTTGTTAACAGAAACATATAAAAATTGATTCCAACTGATATGTTTACCCGGTATTTCTAGAAGTGAGCCCTCTCCAGTCACGCCATCGCCATCCTTGTTCTTACTGGGAAGGTAGTACTCTATGTTCGCCAGGATGTTACGATGGAGACCATTCTGCCAAGACACCCCATGGAGCATGTCAACAAACTTGACAGAGTCCTGGAGGAGTACTGCGATCTGTTTCCAGCGCTGCTTGTCTGAGGCTTGGTCTTTGCCCTCTGTCAAGGTTGGATGAAAAGAAGATAGAATAATGTACAATTAATGAATTATTCAAAATTGCTTTTGATGATTAGCTTACTCTGTTTACATTGATGTATATTTCATATGTATTGTAATTTGTAGGTTTGCTTACATTATTTTTTGTTTTGTATTTATATGTAATTGTTTGTCATTGTATTTTGTTTCTTATAGCGCTTAGAGACTTTGGTGGTAAGCACTTTATAAGCACTGTTTGTATTAATATTATTGTTATGATCTTCTATTAGCACCTGAGACAAGTTTGGTGATACATGTTTCTATCATAGCTAGGCTAAAAATGTAAGTTTTTAGTTTTGCATGCTTATTCCACAACATAAAGGTGGCAGAAAGAATAAAAAGAACAACACTACAGGATGTTCTCCTCTTAGAGTGTTCAAGTTAACATTGCATTTGATTGCAAATCATTGTCCTCTTCTACCTGTTGACAATTTTATAGAGAGTACATGGATATGTATTGATTTATTTCCATTTTAGGTGGGATGCATGTATAAACAGTGGTGATTGTTAAGATAAAGAAAAGTATCTGTATAGCCACTTTGGAAAAGGGAAACTAATCCATTCTGTGAAATTAAGATTTCTTTGTCTTCAATTGATTGAGTTATTTATGATTTAACTAGAAATCTATAAAAAGGACATTTCATTGAACCTTTATGTAGAATTTGAAGCATAATTTCAGCCCCATCAGGATTAACAAATTATAAGATCATGCTGAGTATATTCCAGCTTACTATATACGTGTTTCAAACTATAGCCTAAAAATGACAAAGGAAAGTTTGATCCAATTTAACTACCAAGCAGGAAAAAAAAGCTTCCTTGAAAGAATAAACTACAGGCATTTAAAAAAAAAAAATGTAGTTAAAGCAAAATATTTTGACACTAATTTTACTGGAATTTCTACTGCAAGCAAGCATAAAACAATCAAAAACTTGAAAATAAAAAAGATGAAAAATAAAATGCTTCACTCAAGCAACTTCAAAAAAGCATATTAATGTTCCAAAGAAACCCACTTAAAAAATGTCATGCATGTCTCAATGCAACATGAACATACAAAAGAGAGAAAGTTTTGTCAAGTAGAAGAGACAGAGAGACCCATCAGAAATGCCTGGGAAAGTATTTATACATAAAGACAAAATATTGTTACCATTAATCAAAAGTGACATACATGTAGACTGTAATTTCATTATATTAGGAAATATTAAGCATTTCACATCTCCTGCTTACACTTACTCACTCGCTCCCTCCCCCTCTACCCAACCATCACTCCCTCCCTCCCTCACCATCACTCACTCTCTCTCTCTCCCAGCCACCAACTCTCCCTCCCTCACTCCCTTCCTCTCCCACCCATCCATCAACTCTCCCTCTCTTCCAACCACCAATTAACTATCTCTCCCTCCCTCCCTTCCTCTCCCACCTACCAACTCTCCCTCCCTTCCTCTCTCTCTCTCTCCCACTCACCCACCAACTCTCCCACCCACCAACTCTCCCTCCCTTCCTCTCTCTCTCTCCCACTCACCCACCAACTCTCCCCCCTTCCTCTCTCTCTCCCACCCACCCACCAACTCTCCCTTCCTATCTCTCTCCCACTCACCCACCAACTCTCCCACCAACTCTCCCACCCACCCACCAACTCTACCTCCCTTCCCCTCTCTCTCCCACCCACCCACCAACTCTCCCTTCCTCTCTCTCTCTCCCACCCACCCACCAACGCTCCCTCCCTTCCTCTCTCTCTCTCCCACCCACCCACCAACTCTCCCTTCCTCTCTCTCTCCCACCCACCCACCAACTCTCCCTCCCTTCCCCTCTCTCTCCCACCCACCCACCAACTCTCCCTTCCTCTCTCTCTCCCACCCACCCACCAACTCTCCCTCCCTTCCTCTCTCTCTCTCCCACTCATCCACCAACTCTCCCCCCTTCCTCTCTCTCTCCCACCCACCCACCAACTCTCCCCCTTCCTCTCTCTCTCCCACTCACCCACCAACTCTCCCCCCTTCCTCTCTCTCTCCCACTCACCCACCAACTCTCCCACCCACCCACCAACTCTCCCTCCCTTCCCCTCTCTCTCCCACTCACCCACCAACTCTCCCACCCACCCACCAACTCTCCCTCCCTTCCTCTCCTACTCACCAACTCTCCCTCCATCCCTCCCTCTCTCCCAACCACCCACCCACCAACTCTCCCTCCTTTCCTCTCCCACTCACTCACCCACCCACCAACTCTTCTTCCCTCCCTCCCTCCCTCCCCCTCCATTCTTCCCTCTCTCTCCTGCTATAAGAATAATGTTCAAAGAGATGGATATTTTTGCTTACAATGGATCTTCCGGCACAAGCTACATCTAATGAATGATCATAGTACTATGTACAAACAAAACTATACAAACTTTATCACTAAAATCTATGAAAGCTGTCATAAAAAAATAATCACAAATATATCTAGTTGGGCAAAAACATCAACAATAAACAAATATTATGTCTAGATAAGTGTAAGCGTTTCGTATTACTGACTTTGTTATATTTTTTTTAAAAATTAATTCATAGCCTGCTACATGTTCATGTAATTCTGGAAAAACTCTTCCCCTATCATCATATTTTGATTAACATTTATTTAAAAATTAATACGCTAATAGTCAATGTCACAGATAAATTCATCCCTATTTTCACGAAGTGACGGTAGTGAGGACAATCGTCACGCAAATTGAATGAGATTTTCCTCACTACCGTCACTTCGTGAAAATAGGAACGAATTGTGTCAAATGTAGTGCATGCTGACAGTCCAGAGAACTTCCAGGGACTACTCCTGAGGTATCCAATGTCCTTATCCTTCTAAAAAAAATTGTTTGTCTTCCTCACACCACTTCTAATCTTTAGTTCATTCTTTGTGGATTGAAGATTACCAAAAGAAGAAGAAGAACTGGAAAACAATTTCTATAAACATACATAAAAGCTACAGGTGAATGGTGTGAACATGCTAGTACAACTACATGTGCGTGAAGAACTGCAAACTTTGGGTTTCTTTCACACTCTCTCATACCTACCTGACTGATTAGTGCTAGTATCTTTGGGCATTTCACCGGTTAGTAAGGGTGCTGTTTATTGAAAGTTAAAAACTAGGAGTAAAGTTAGTGTCAACCATTTCAACGACACCTGGAATTTAGCGACTTTGGTATGAAAAATGAGCCATCAAAATATAGAAATGAATCATGGGTACAAAATTTTCATCAAACATAAGCAAAGAAAATACAGTTGACTTCAAACATTTCAAATTTCATACTACAAGTAAATTAATTCAATGCCTTTTGTTTTCTTTTGCACAAGCTGCGCCTTGAGCATTTGACTGTCAAGTCGATTTGGTGCCTTATAAATCATATGAATTATTATTTATTATTATTAAAACAGGAGGAGGTATAGGATTTCTTTATCATTAATTTTGCTTGCTTCAAAAGAGAGATACCACATTTGACTGAAATTAGGACAATTGTATTGATTATACATACAGAACTTTGGGGAAAAAAATCATTTGGTTAAGAGCACATCCCTATTGTTATGAGGAAGAAAACAAATTAACTTTGAATATGCAATTTCTTGCAATTTCCTGATATTTTTTGTGCGCCTTTCGTGCCATTATAGGCAGATATGTGCACTAAAGAACTCTACACCGGTAACTATTATTATCATCACCATGTTATTATGCCTTTAGATTTAATTTCCAATGTATATAAAAATCGAAATCAGAGTATGGCATCTTGATTTTTCTTTGCAAATCGTATCAGAAATTTAGGTTTACACACTATCCGAGGGAGAAAAAGGAACAAAACATGTTAGTGCAACAAAGTCCCGTCACAAATACAAGTTTAATAGAGTTTAGTACATGTAGGTAAACACTGGGGGACGGGGGGGGGGGGGGGGGGGGGGGACGGGGGATTCAAACTTAAACAAAACCGACAATACAAAATATAACTGGATCAAGCCAATATTCAATTCAAGTTCAATCCATTATTTTTAGAAAAAGACTTACTTGACTTGGACCCAGTATCTCCTATGCAACGTGAAAGTGTGCGCATTAAAACAATAGGAGAGAGATCAAGGATCACGCAGAGTGTGCATTAAGATATAAAATATCTTGACTGTGTTATTCAGAAGAGTGTGCGATATGAATCAATAAATTCAGTCCTGTTTTGATAATCTGAAGCCTATATGCTTATCAATTTTAGCACTTTATATTTACGAAGTTTGAAACTCTAGATGGATCTTTATGTTAATGATCTGAAGATATGCAGAGATACAAATTGTAGGCTTCCAAAAAGACATATCAATTTTTGTTTGATATTTCTGAGTACACAGACTGCACTAAGAGTATGTGCATAGTGATTGCAAGTTGAAAGGAAATCACATAAAAAACGTTGAACTTTTTTGGACAAAAGTAAACACTATCACCACAAATATAAACACAACTCAAAACATAAAACTTCTTTTGCAAGTAGTCATTCTCGGTGAAGATGCGTAGAACATCCTTCAAAAACCTGTACTTGTTTACGAAATCAATGAACATTAACGATGCAATGCAAACAAAGACAGACACAAAGACTTAAAAGCACACAAAAAACATTCACATCATGAGACTCATTATCTGCAATTGAACTGTAAACCATTTGAAATCAGCCATGTCCATATATTTCCATACATTTCCATATATATCGAGATATATCCATGATTTCCATTATTTTCATTATCCCCATATATTTCCATAAATTTGCATATATTTCCATATATTTCCATATATAGATGTACTGTATCTGTAAAGTGCTTAGAGACGCTCTGAATGTACTCAGTGCTACATTTATATTTATCCAAAATATTATTATCATAATTTATGCCTACCGGTACAACATTTTCTACTTTGTATGAAAATTACAACAGAATTAAGAACAACACTTACAGCTTGCCTATAAGCACACATAGTGACAGGTATATTAGAACATTTTGCAAGAAGCAGATAACATATAATAATCAATTGCCCACCACCAATCGTAAAATACGTATTTTACTTGGTTGGCAAGCTAGCATTAGGGCTTCTGATTGGGCGTGGGCCCCATTTCACAAAACTCGTCATCAGTGACAATGACAGTTTTTGTTATAAGCTAGTGAAATGATTGCTTCTGATTGGTTATCAGCAGATTTGTCACTGATTTTTGTTATTTGTCATTGAAAAAAGGCTTTGTGAAACAGGTCCCAGGTGTTGAAGCCTGTCTGTACTAGTTTAGCCAGGGGGATTAGACCTCCCTGCAAGGTCATTGACAGGTGGTTATCTCATCAAATCAGCTCCAATTAACATAAGAAAAAGAGGATCATGGGGGACCAACAGGCACCGATTAGGCTTTATTTGCTATATAGAGGGCGCAAGTAGCTAGAAGTAGTGCAGTGGGGCTTTAAGAAAGAATGTACTTACTTTGCTTCCACTTGGAAGGGCTCTTCATCCCACCGCTGGACGATGTAGACTGTCGTCCAGACATCATGGAGGCCTCTTCGTTGGATGGTAGATGAAGAGACTTGTCTCCTTGGTAGTTTCCGACGGGTTTGTTCTTCCCTAGGAGGGCCATCACCATCTCCATCACTTGGAGGACGATGGGAGGTGGGTTGGTGAACGACTTGAGACGCTCGATGCATGGACGGTCCACCTTCTCTTTCCATTGCATTACCTGGTCAGTCACGCAAGGATTTCACGTTAATGTCCAATTTAAATATACATCCATTGTCTTATGCCTCAGTCACACCTTTGCGTATTTGGCTGGCGTATTGCTGCATTTTTATGGCAAGCCGCTTTAACATTTATTCCTATTTCTTGATATCAAGAATTACCATTGCTTTACAACAGAAAATCATTTTTTGATATCAAGAATTCATTTCCTGATTTCAAGAAATAGGAATAAATGTTAAAACGGCTTGTCATAAATATGCAGCAATACGCAAGCCAAATACGCAAAGGTGTGATTAAGGCATAAGTCATTGCATAATTTGAAAGTGTATTCACACACCTTTTTATGCGTTCACGCATGCCAAAGCATGAGATATTGAAACAATATTGTAGTCATCCAGGTATTCTTTTTAAAAACAAACTATGAAACATTGTTTTCAAAGTTGCAAGGTCATCCAGGTGCCATAGCGCAAAGCATGAAATACACCAGTTTTCCTGGTCAGCAAAAGCCTTCACACAAATAATACTAGTGATTGACAATCATCCTCATCCACCAACTATATCTGCATCACGTGCAGTTTAAGGAAACACTTTAAAACTGTTGAATAGTAAGCTGAAGATAACTTGGCCTAGCTTCACAGGGAATGCGTGTCTTAGGCCAATGAAACACGATTGCAAGTTTCCTGTCACATTATTTTCAGCTAATAATGAGGCAACTATTTCATTATTCGTTATTTGCAAGATTCCTTTGTGTTAATATATTTTTAATTGTTTTCATAACAAACAGACTGAAAGTGTGATAAAAACAATGTTTTATGAAATTTTTCAAAATAATGAATTATTTTCAGATTTTCAATCAGAAACGTGGGCAAAAAATCATAATGCAGCCGGGCAACGGGAAACTCAATATTGAGTTATAAGGGCCTTCTCTAATGGATTAAGTAGGTTTAGGATCCTACCTGATCATGTATTTTCTGTAGAGTGGCTCTGCATTCATCCATTTTCCTCCTGACGGTGGCGAGTTCTTCCTCTATAGCGACCTTCCTGGACTTGAGATTCTCCTCTCTCATACGATCAAACTCTCGATCATACTCATCCCTCTCATCTGAAAGTAAAGAGAAGTTTGGAGATCATTATGTATGATATTTTTCCGGTGACAAGCCTGTGATAGGCCTTTGTTTGTCCCTCCACATATTGTTATGTTTGTTGTTATTTTGGTCTGTCGCAATGTTGTACTACACCTTAAATTGTTGTTGAATTTCTTTATTACTAGATGGTTATGTTTATAGGTGGTTTTGTATGTTCGTATTCTCATATTTATCGAATTATGGACAGAATGAATTAAATTGAATTGAAAGTTTGGGTATTGTTAGAAACAAACAAGGAAACTTATTATACTAACAATAAAAAGTAATGGTCTATACATGCACATGCCTTATGAAATAGAATGAGCGAGAGATAGAGAAAGGAAAGATTTAGAAGAGGAGGAGGATATGATACTATGCTATATACAAAAAGTATACAAAGGAAATCAAAAGAAGTATAAATGGAGAATGGACGATCTGAAGTTATTTTGTTGCTTATAAAGTGGTACCAACATTACAAGATTCAATCGGACGTATACAACACTGTGCCCTGTTTCGGTACACTGTCTTCAATCATGCATACATGTAGATCTACCAAGGACTAGATAAATGCCAGGATTAGTGACTGTCTGCAGTTTTCAAAAACTGTCATTTGTAGCCGGATTTGATACTTTTTCACCATAATTTTACTACTCTTGAGGTATGATATCAATTTCCAGAGCAAAAATAATTGAACTGATGGGATGAAGTGAAGATGAAGAATCTATTAACTTAATGATTTGGCACCAGTCAACTTTTCTTTTGACTACTCTACATACAAAAGTAAAATCTCCCAATTATGAGCCCATGGGCCCGTTGCATAAAACTTACCATTGATTGTATCTTTGCCATCAATGGCAACTACCATGGTAACAGGGCTCAGCAGCCAATCAAAATCAAGGTTTCCATGGTAGTTACCATTGATGGCAAAGTTACCATAAATGGTACGTTTTGTGCTACGGGCCCAGTGCACCGTTTCCACTACTGTACTCTGTTCTGTAAAGCGCATATAGACATGCAATTATGCTTATGTGTTATACGCTATACAAACTAGATGGAACTTAGACTGCGCGCAGTCGAAAATGATGCCTCCGTCATAGAGCAATTACAAACCAAAACACAAGAAATTTTTCAAATTCAAGTTTCATTGCAATCCACTAACAGGTTCTCAGAATATCGTGATTACAAGTAATTTCTCATATACATATATGACCCTTTGATATTTGACCTCATGACCCTAAAATCTACTCAGTTCATTGGCTCTGCAAGATGTCCTGAGTTAAATAGTAATCCATCTTTCCCTAATGTAGTACCAGCACCAGCTTCAAGATCTTTTGCTCCAGGCCCTCGTCATGAACTCTCTGATTTCTGCCTTGTATCCCTCTCACAAGTCAGGAAGCTCATCACTTCACTTCCTTCTAAACACTGCAAGCTAGATCCGATTCCTACCTGGCTTCTAAAGGAAGTCCTCGATGAACTCCTTCCTCACATAACCAAACTGTTCAATCTCTCGTTATCATCCGGAATAGTTCCAGAGTCTTTTAAGACTTCTCTGCTTCTTCCCCTCCTAAAGAAGCCGAGTCTCGACACGAATGGACTTAAGAACTACAGGCCCATCGCAAACCTGCCATTCCTTGGGAAGGTTTTGGAACGTATTGTGTTACTACAGCTGAAAGCCCACATTGACAATCTCGGTTTGTTTCCAATCCACCAATCTGCCTATCGGAATCATCATTCTACTGAGACTGCAACTGTCAAGGTCCTAAATGACCTACTTCTAGCTGTAGATAAGGGTAATGAAGCTGTCCTCATCTTGCTTGATTACACTGCCGCATTTGACACTATCAACCACGACCTGTTACTCCATCGCTTAGAGAACGACTTCTCCATCACCGGCACCGTACTTCAATGGATTCGCTCCTATCTCATGCACCGAACTCAGAAGGTGATCATCAATGACACCAACTCGGAATCATTTCCCCTCATCTGCGGCGTTCCTCAGGGTTCCGTGGTCGGCCCCCTCCTGTTTATTCTTTACACCAGCCCTCTCTCAAATGTTATTAACCTTCATCAGAATATTCAACACACTATGTATGCAGACGACACCCAGATTTATGTAACTCTTCACCCAAACAGCAGGACAGTAGCCGCGAACAAACTCACCAGTTGCCTCAATGAAATCAAAACCTGGTCTTTTCAAAACTGTCTCTGCCTTAATGATTCAAAATCTGAAATGATTCATATTACTTCTAAATTTCGGAACTCAGACCCCTTTCCTGATCTTGTTATGAGTGATGGCTCTCTCAGTTGTTGTGCTTCTGTGCGTGACCTTGGTTTAAATATTGACAGCAATCTTACTTTCAAACAACACATTAGTAATATTTGTAAGTCTGCTTCCTTTGGTATATATAAGATCAGTAGAATCAGGAGGCTACTTGACCGACCCACAACTTCAAAATTAGTCCATGCTTTTGTCTCGACCCATATCGATTACTGTAATTCTTCTCTTTCTGGCCTCCCTCAGTCACATCTAGTCCCACTTCAAAGGGTACAGAATAGCGCTGCTCGGCTTGTGACTCTCTCGCGTAAATCAGAGCACATAACTCCAATATTGAACTCACTACATTGGCTTAAAATTCACCACCGCATATCCTTCAAAATTCTTCTCCTGTGCTATAAAGCTATCAATGGCTTAGCCCCCTCTTACCTTTCCGATCTCATATCCTTACGTTCCCGTACGTCGTCACGAACACTTCGTTCATCTTCCACATTACTGTTAACACCTGGACCCCGCACTAACACCCGGTATGGTGACCGCGCCTTTTCAGTTATTGCCCCCGCTCTCTGGAACAAACTGCCCGCCTTTATTCACTGCGCCCCCTCTGTATCTCAATTCAAATCTCTACTCAAAACCTATCTTTTCAAATTGTAAATTGCAGTTGTGCGTCGGTCAATGGAGGTGCGCACCATATTTGTATTTGTCTTTATTTAGTTGATTGCCACTGTTTTTCTTACCTTATCTATGTTACTTTTGTATTTTTGCTTTTTCTTCTAATTTAATTCTACGGGTTATAGTCTTCTCTTAATCAGAACACTGTGCGCTTAGAAACATCAGTATTAAGCGCCTAATAAATGTTATGTATTATTATTATTATTAGTTCTAATGAGAATGCGTTCACAAGCTATTTTTGCATACATAATGAGCCCATGACATTTGACCTTTGACCTCATGACCCAAGAATCTACTCAATTCATTGGCTCTGCAAGATACGTACATGATCTAAGTTTAGCAGGAATCCATCAATCTGTTCTAATGATAATGCGATCACAAGATATTTTTGCATACATAATGAGCCACATGACCTTTGACCTTGACCTCATGACCCCAAAATCTACTCAGTTCATCGGCTCTGCAAGTAACATACATGACCTAAGTTTGGCAGGAATCCATCAATCGGTTCTTGAGATAACTCGATCACGAGCTGTTTTTGCATACATAATGAGCCCTGTGACCTTTGACCTGGTGACCCCAAAATCTAATCAGTTCATCGGCTCTGCAAGAAACATACATGACCAAAGTTTTGCAGGAATCCATCAATCGGTTCTTGAGATAACGCGATCACGAGAATGGGACGTACGGACGGACAACCCGAAAACATAATGCCTCCGGCTACTTCGCAACAGAGGCATAAAAACGTTCAACTATTATTATTATTAAAGTCTTGTTTCAATTGACCACACAGTTACCCCCTCACCATCGATCAGGAGCTGATCTTCAACCTCCTCATCACTCTCCACCTCGTTCATATGCAGGAATGCACTGAGACTGTTACTGGCCTCTGTATACTGAGCCTTGGTCTTCTCCAGGATGGTGGCCTTCCCAGTCAGCTGCTGGAGAAGGTCAGCCGTCCTCTTACTCGCCTCCTCGTAGAGGGTATGCAGACGACGGATGTCAAGACGCTTGTTCTTGCAGTCGCTGTAGGTTCGGGCCAAGCAGTTCAGTGCTTTCCTGCAGGTAGGTGATGTAAGAATAAATGATTCATGATCAAGTTCAAGTTCAATTCTATTGATCATGCACAATGACATGGCATAAAAATCATTTTCCGGCTGTTTCTCAATTTATATAACATCAATTAACATAATAAGAGTCAAGTTGACAAGCATAAAACACCTTGTATAATATGCCTGAAAAGTTGTGGATAAACTTTCCATTGTACTTAATTCATTTATGAATGACTTGTTATGAGAGCAAGCATTATGTTTCACTAACTATCGTTCGTTCGTGTCTCCTTAGATCAAGATTACTGTAATCTTGATCTTCGGAGTAGTTGCTACAACCGGCCGTGTCAGACACGTTGCCCCGGGGTGTGAGATAGGACTCTTGTAGCGTGCCCCCATTTAAAACAATTATACAGTTACAGTTAATAATACATTTAATTAATAGTATGAAACTATTAAAATTACTCTCATGTTACGGGAAACTAGATGGAATTCGAGTGCGTGCAGTCGAAAATGATGCCTCCGTCATAGAGCAATTTTACAAACCAAAACAGAAGAAATTTTTCGGATTCAAGTTCAATTGTAATCCATTGACAGGTTCTCAGAATATCGTGATTACAAGTAATTTCTCATATACATATATATGACCCTTTGATCTTTGACCTCATGACCCTAAAATCTACTCAGTTCATTGGCTCTGCAAGATGTCCTGAGTTAAATAGTAATCCATCTGTCAGTTCTAATGAGAATGTGTTCACAAGCTATTTTTGCATACATAATGAGCCCATGATCTTTGACCTTTGACCTTATGAACCAAGAATCTACTCAGTTCATTGGCTCTGCAAGTAACATACATGACCTAATTTTGGCAGGAATCCATCAATCGGTTCTTGAGATAACGCGATCACAAGCTGTTATTGCATACATAATGTGTGCTGTGGCCTTTGACCTTTGACCTCATGACCACTCAATCTAATCAGTTCATCGGCTCTGCAAGTAACATACATGACCTAAGTTTGGCAGGAATCCATCAATCGGTTCTTGAGATAACGCGATCACAAGCTGTTTATGCATACATAATGAGCCCTGTGACCTTTGACCTTTAACCTCATGACCCCAAAATCTAATCAGTTCATTGGCTCTGCAAGATACATACATGACCAAAGTTTGGCAGGAATCCATCAATCGGTTCTTCAGATAACGCAATCACGATCTGTTTTTGCATACATAATGAGCCCTGTGACCTTTGACCTTTAACCTCATGACCCTAAAATCTAATCAGTTCATTGGCTCTGCAAGATACATACATGACCAAAGTTTGGCAGGAATCCATCAATCCGTTCTTCAGATAACGCGATCACAAGCTGTTTTTGCATACCTAATGAGCCCTGTGACCTTTGACCTTTGACCTCGTGACCCCAAAATCTAATCAGTTCATCGGCTCTGCAAGATACATACATGACCAAAGTTTGGCAGGAATCCATCGATCGGTTCTTCAGATAACGCGATCACAAGAACGGGACGTACGTACGTACAGACGTACGGACGGACAACCCGAAAACATAATGCCTCCAGCTACTTCGTAACGGAGGCATAAAAATATTGCATATACATATATTATGAATCAATCGATTTGGTCGATCCAGTTCGATGGCAGGCACTAACTATTAACAATAGACATATACATGAACATGTAGTGCTTGCGAAAGTTGATGACTCTCCCTCTCTTTCTTTCTTATTGTAAAGTGAATATGGTAAGGTCAAGAAAGCATTAACCAAAGACTCAGTGACCTGAATTCACATAGGAGGTTCCCTTTAAACCGTAGTCTAAACAATGGTCTCAACCTTCACCACACGCTTAAAGAGGTTTTAAATATGTATTAAGCCAAATTAACCTCCTATGTAAATTCGGGCCATTATGCATGCAAGCTCAACTTATCTTTCATACTATAAAGTTTTTCCAAGAATGTAATAATTGTACTTCTTTCTTACTTGAGTCTGCCCACTTTGGCAGTATTCTCTTTGCTCTTGTTATTGTAGATGTATCTGAAGCAATCCATGAATCGTCGGAATGTTCTGGGACCAACAAAGAGCTCTTGCTTGCCAGGGTTTCCTTCTAAGTAGTGCTTTTGCTGCCAGAGAAAATAGACGGAAACACATAACATATTCTGCAAAACTAAAGCTGGTGGTCAACTATTGCAATATAAGTACTTGTTTGGCCATGGAGCTTAACATTGCAAAAAGAATTTGCATACAAAAACATCAATATTGGATTCAGGCGATTTGTAAACACAATGAGCCTGAAAAGAGAGGCAGAGAGTTTGGAGTGCAATGTGTTCTACAATAAAGAGCCTGCAAACAGTCCTCTAGACTGTCCCACTTCTGCCTCTATATCATTGTTTCTTGTTCTCTAATTTATTTCTGTCTGTCTGTCTCTCTCTCTCTCTCTCCCATCCCTCCCTTCCCCTCTCTCCTCTTTCTCTCCTTTATATATTATTGTATGATTATGGTATACATGTATGTATAGATTTGTAAGATTTTTTTTTTTTTTTCCTTTTGTCATTCTACTTTGAAAGCTCCATGTAATTCAGCCCTTGGGCTACTACATGGAATTTCTTTTTTGTATCATAATATCAATACTAAAATACCAAAAACAAAAATGGGGATAAGTCAAGGCCTGAAATGGCGCTATGGCCTGAACACAAGCATCTTTATATGTCGTACCTTGATCCTCTCTTTCATGATGAGTTTGGTGTACGGGAGGTTGTCGACTCGCTGAGTGTGGACCTTGACGATCTCTTTCTTGCCATGTAATTTGAGCGTAGTGAGTTTAATCTTGTCTTCCACACTCCCAGCCCAGGGTATCTGGTTGCAATCGCCCAGCGCAAAGCTGTGTATGGTCGACATACAGGTCACAAGGTTTTCTCTGAAAGAACACCAACAAAAGAGACATAAATATCACAATTCCTAAATTTTAACACAAAGTTGGTGAAAATGAACAGGAGTTTTTAATCGAACAATTGAAGCAAAATAACACTAACAGTTTTTCTTATACTGCTACAATATTAAAAAAGAAATAATCATCTGAAATTTAAATTCAAATTCAAATTGGTCTCATAATAAAAATAAAATATGTTAGTGATTATAATGAAAAGTTTAAGGTGAAATGCTTAAATGAAAAAAAAAAAAAATGAATTGTACATTGTGTTGACAAATCAATATTTTCATTTTTTCTATTTTTCTCTTTTTTATTTTCGCTATTACTTGTTGAACTTTCTTACATCAAACGACATGTGGTACCGCAACAAAATGAACAAAACAAAAATTTAAGTTATCTATTTGTGTACACCTTTTAGGACCTTTGATTCATCAAGGAGTTAAAATGTAGGTCTGTGTAACATGGTATAGCATACACGTCACTGGACTGTGGATTGGCATGACATGAATCTACAAAAGCCACTCTCCATCCAGGTGAAGTAAATGGGTACCAGGGCAGCTGGGCTAAATGCCAGGGTAATAATAATACTATGGTGGTGCCCTAGGATGGATGTGTGAAATATATATGTAGCTATTATAATCATTTATCATTCCTGATGGATAGAGGGTTCGTGGTCGAGTGGATATGTCACCTCACCATGGATCATAAGGTCCATGGTTCGAGTCCCGCTGTGGCACTAATGTCGTTTAGCAAGATATTAATCTATACTTGCCACACTCGACCCAGGTGAGGTAAATGGGTACCTGGTAGGATTATTTCTTGAAATGCACTGTGCGCTGTTAACGGCTGCCGGAGCTAAAGCTAGGGTAATAATTTCAAAAGCTCTTTGGCAGCTCATAGAGACATTGTATAATGTGAAAAGCACTATACAAGAACCGAATATTATTATTATATTACCTTGTTTCGATTGAGCTGTCCTTGGCTAAGTGATGCTTCTGGATGTAGTAACCTCCTTCTCCAAGCAGAGCACTCTGAGACCAATCACATACCCAGTTCATCTGCATACCACTCAACAGACCAGGGTATTGACTGTAAGAAAACAATGAGGTTATCATTAACATTTGTTATAAGTTATTTACTTTTAGAAAAAGGGTATTATTCAGTGCAAAGATGAACCTGGAGAAGGGTATTCATGGAGCTTTCATTAAAAATATGATTTGAGAGTGTTTTTTCTAGACTAGCATGTCTTCAGCATGTACCACTTTGTTAATTCATGTACGTCCTAGTACCTTTCCCTTTCTCTAACTTCTATTCTACACCATCTTCATCATCCTCATCACCAGCTTCATCATCAAAATCCTCAACACCATTACCACTTTCATCAACAAGAAAAAAATTCTTTCACTGTCATCATCATCACTATCATCGCCACCATAGCCACCATGCACCATCACCATCATCATCATCAACAAGAACATTCTTTCACTGTCATCATCATCTGCACTATCATTATCATCATTGCCACAATCAGAACAATTCTTTCACTATCACCACCACCATCATCATCATCATCATCATCATCATCATCAAAATCCTCAACACCATTACCACTTTCATCAACAAGAAAAAAATTCTTTCACTGTCATCATCATCACTATCATCATCATCACTATCATCGCCACCACCATCATAATCATCATCATAATCATCAACATGCAAGAACAACAACATAGTGTACTATTAATAGACATGAAGATAGACCACAATGGCATTACAGTAATGGTGGTCATCAATGTTTGAAAAGGAGGCATACTATGGACCAGGGGCAAAAGTTGTCCTTACCTGGGAGCTATCTTCAGTAGCCTGTGAGTGGGTGGCAGGCAGAGGATGATATGCAAATTAGTCTTGACCCTAGACACAAAGAACTTCATGGGGTCAACCAGAACGTTTGGGAAACGTCTCTTCATAGCTGGAGTCAGAGCCTGGTAAGAAAATAAGTCAGATTAGAGATGTGCATAGCGAATCCACTGGGTCCTATCCCTAAAACTGTAGGTGAACGGGATAACCATGTCAAATTTGTCCCTTTTTTTGGGGGGGGGGGAAGAGGGAGACACTATGACCACTAGATGCATATAGTAATTTTCTTTACAATGTATGCTCTTAAGATCACTTTTATATTCTGCTGCCTCATACAACATTGATTATATATTCAAATAGACTATGATTCACATCAGAGCATACAAGGCAATCCCTGATAGATAGTGCATTAATAGTATGAATAAACTGCATGATCAGTGAGTGGCGGGAAAGGCAACTTTCCTTCTTCTTGTGGGTACTGGCCCAAACTCACCAACAGGGGTCATGCAAGCAAGCAAATGTCTTTAAGCAGAAAGAGACACAAATCAGAGGATATGAATATTACCTGTAAGAGTCCATCCAGTTCATCATTAGAGAAGAGAGGAGGGTATTCCCCACATATCAGGATACTGTTGATAGCATCCAGGTACACATCCTCTTTCAGGTCACGACCCTAGAGTGTCAAACAAAGAAACATAATACAGCACATGCCCTATAATCATTATTAGACATGTAGCAAGTGGATTTCATTTCTTTGTCTAATTGTGGCTTTTAAGTATCTTCATAAAAAATCTTAACACGTATATAACCATTATCTGGTTCAGGAAGATTACAATAATTATTTCTTTTCCAAACTTGTGGTAGCTAGAACCCAAATTTTGTTGGTAAAATCTGTTGCCCCTGTCACAGAACAGATTAAAGTTTATTCCTTTTACATCTAGGTGAAATGAACGACAAATCAATGTAGATGTCATTTGAAATATAGTTACCAAGGGTTGGTCAGCTATCAATTACGTATTCAATTCAATTCAATTTCTGTTCATTAATATCAACATATATAATGTACAATGCAGTAGTCCAAGGACCAATAATGCAATGTTTACATAAAATTTGCATAAAAACAGGATGATCATATACACGTACAATTAAAATGATAAGGAAATAAAGTTATGAAAATAAAGTTATGGAACTTACCGTGAACATGAGAGTGAGCATCTTGCCCTCTGTGCCTGATAGCCTGACTGCCGAGCGTAGGCCATCAAAGAATGTATTAGCCTTGGTTGTATCCATGGGATGGATAGGCATGTCGGCTACGTGGAGGGCAAGGTTGACCAGGGTGGTCAGGTGACTACCAATAGCACCTACTAACATCATGCTACCACTATAGGGATTGGGAAGAGGGGAGTGTGAAGAGGGGAGAGGGGAGAGGAAGAGAACAGAGATTAATTACATTGTATAATTTGAAGTACAAGGAGAAATTTAGGTGACCTTTTGTTATCATGATTCTGCTGAAATGTTTGTACTTTTTATACAGTCATACATGTATGTCATAACAATCAATGTAAGTATATGAAAATGAAGATTTGCAACCCTTACTTGGTTTTCCCAAACCTCAGTCAAAAGAATGACACACTATAATATATCAAATAATTTGAAGTTACACGATTACAGAGCAAAAACATTAAAGGATAATCAGCAATTTAAGGATGAGATGTACACATTTAGATGTTCCTCCTTCAAGGGAACATGGTACTATAGTGAAACCTGAATATACACACTGCTCAAAGCAGACAAGAAAAGTGATCTTTATGAGCAGGTGGTCTTTAGGTGTAGGTTCCTTTAATACAGATTTCAATTAGAAACTCTGCTCAGGGGAAACAAAAAATGTGGACTATATAGTGAGGTAGTCTTTCTACACAGGTGGTCGCTAAAGCAGGTTCGACTGTACTGATCTAACTTCGAACTGCTAAATAGAAGGGGACTATATGGTTGATTTCCCCTGATATTATAAATAGTTGCACTGTGCTACAATGCAATGCATTGAATTGCATTTATTTAATGACGGTAAAAACTTGTTTTCAGCTAGAACCTGCTTTTAATACAGCAAGACATACTTCCAAATGATTCCCCAAAATCCCCCTTTGGAAGGCTCGTTTGGTGAAACTTTTACCAGAATTAAAGGGAGTGTAGCTTGGGAAATACTGGTTAACGCCATCTACGTCTTCTTTTGGACAACTGCACGTAAACGAATGGACTTGATTAACGGTAGTCAGCGACTTAATCTCTCTACATGGTCAGCGTTCACGAAACAGACCGAAGTTCTCATCACGCTTCAATTTTGTGTATGTTGAACGCACTTGATTGCTGCGGTCGCATCGTCCGTAGTCGTATTATACCTGATCGGCCCCCGAGTCAGGCCACGGGAAAGACACGTAGTCTCCTCATGCTGCACCCCCTTTAAAATGAGTTCATCTTACCCATGATGGAAGCTGAGTACACGATGCATGCGGATCACATGATAGATGACATCATCGGACAGCATGATGTTCAGAGTGACGTTACCAAACTCCTCGTTGTATCGGGTCAGATGAGACAGGATGCATTTATGCACCTGCTCCAGATTGGACACTGGCTGTAGAATAACCTACATAGGAGTAGGTAGATCATTGATTAGTGAATCAAATTCATATGAATTCATTTAAAATGCAATTAAAGGTCAGTAACAATTTATTAGCTAATCATTTGATTGAGTTTTAAAGATTTAAAGTGCATTTACAAATACAGATATATACAAAAACAATAAGAATATTTAGGACATGAAAAATAGTTACCAAACATTTACTCAAATAAAGTAATGTAATTCTAACGGTAACACAAATATGGCCAATTAGAAATGTAATGCAGATACAAAGTGGACATTAGCAGAAAAGACAAGTTTTTAGGTGTTTCTTGAATGTGTCTAGATAACCTATTTTCTTGAGCAGATTGGGTAGATTGTTCCAAGTTTTCGGAGCAGTGTCTACAAATGCCCGCTTGCCAGCATTAGTGATTAACCCTTTCAGAACAGGATTTTTAAGGGGGTAAATTGATCACATATTATTCTTCAAATTGGAAACAGTCATATTCATCTTTTATCACTTCATTGTTAAATTATCATTTAATGTCTCTGTAAACAATAAACATGGGCAAGAATGTTGTAAAAAAGTAAAAAAATTGGGATAGAAAAACAATGATTTTGAATCTCTCAATATGTTGCCAACTGAAGGATTTTAAAGTTTATTTTTCTTTCTAAAGTTCCAGGCATCTAATGCAATATATTCATGAAACAAAAATTGATGCAGTGTGTGCAGAAATATTAGCCCTTACTACTCCTGCATCTGGTATATTTCAAAGGCTCTGAATAAAAATTTATCGAGCCAAAGGACAAAACGTGGGATGATAGTCTTGAAAGGGTTAAGTTGACTTTCGCCCTGGAAAGTAGAGAATACTCAAAGTACTTACCCTGACAGTCTTCTGTGACATGGAGGTGACTGGTCTCTGATAACCTCGATGCTCGATTGGGAACGTCACAAAGTGTTCAAAGATACCCTCATCATCCTCACACTGGGGGATCTCCTAAAAAAACATAAAAATTTATCAATTCCTAGTAAATATTTTCATAACTACCTTTTCAGACTAGAAGTTGGAAGGTATCAAACCCTTGTGGATGGAACATGGATGAACTTATCAAACAAGCCAGCTGGGAGGTATGTCAAGCTATGGGGCTCAAACCAACTTAACCAAGTAATTTCAAAGTATCTGAACTAATGTTTTGTAGAGGCTAAGAAGAGTTGAGCAAAATAAGGAAGTACATGTATGTACTTATTTATAGATACCACAACTATAAGAACAGTACAATGGGTACATGTACATCTAGACCTCCACTGTGAAAAAATAATGATTAATAATGGGGCAAATCAAGACAAGCCCATTAGATTTCAATTTGCCATATTCATTAAACCTGTGATACAGAGGCGATTTAACCATCTGAAAGAAACAACATGTTGTGTCCACAAAGAGGAAAAATACAGTTGTTTCTATAAACTATTAGTATTAATATTTTTTTAGTTATGTTTCAATTGTCAGTGGGATCATCAGAACTTACTGCTTTGCAGATTTCATCCAGGTTCTTGTCGAACCAGTTGATGTCAGACGTTCGGCAGAGACGATCACGCATGATCCTCTGCACCTCGTGTCGCCATAGCGATGACACCATGTTGATTTCTCCTCTGGCTTCTTCAGAGAGTCTAATCAGACACTGGTGGAAAGAACAAATGCACAAGGGATGATTATTTCAAATGTATTTTAGACCTCTCTTTAGAAATTTTCAGTAGTGTCAGGGCTGTGTTAGAGGCTCATCAATTCCGTTGTTATCAGGTTAAAGGGACTTACTGACTGACTAGCTGAATGAATGGCTTACTGCCCTGACTAACTGACTGACTGAATGTCTAACTAATTAACTGACTGACTATCTGACCAACTCACTAACTAACTAATTGAACGAATGACTTACTGACTGCATGACTGACTGAATGACTAACTAACTGACTGACTGACTGACTGACAAAGTGACTTACTGACTGACTAACTGATCCAAACATACCTGGAATGTCTTGGAGATGTCTCTGAGGGTGAACATGTAATGGTATCGTCCAGGCATTGGTGTGGGACGTAGGACCTTCTGGACAGAGGTCAAGAGCTTGCAGGAAGCATTGACGATAGCATCCTGGAGTTCCTGAGCCAGAGACTGACCGTTGTGTTTGGTCATGTTACCGTCCAGTACAGCATCCACAATGCTGCTCAGCGCTCCTTCCTTGGGCTCAGGAAGATGGATCAGTACAAAGTGACGCTGTGGAAGTAATGAAATTTAGATATACATAGAGATAAAAAAAAGGTTAAAAAAGTATGTTATATCACCAATTTAAGTACTCTAAAATCAGTTTTGTTATTGTTTCATCAAGCTTTCAAAACACAGCTCATCTCATAAGTACATGTACCTTGGGCAATTAAACAGAACAAATAATAAGTTAATATTACGTGTAAAGCTACGGTCACAAAAGTTCGTACTAATTCCAGAGTTTGTAGAGATTCGTAGATGGGGCATAGTTTCTTACGTCCTTCTTACAGAGTTTGTAAGAACGCTGTTTAATTAAGCTACCAAAACATTGCTCTTCTCATAAATACAGAGGGCAAATAAACATAACAAATACAAAGTAAATATCAAATGTTATGTACATTATAGACATTAAATCAAATATTAAAACTAAAGATGTAAAGTTTCATTTAAAGAGGAATTTTAGTTTCTGTCTGACCAGGTATACCAAATGGACAAATAAAGGAGGAATTCTTTGAATGTTTTGAGACAGCTGAATGTAAGTCAAGATTGAAACCATGGTAAATAATGGAATGCAAGAACAAAATATCACCGTCCTTATCATCATCATAAATCATCATCACCACCACACCATCATCATCTTCATCATTATCATTGGCACTATCACTATCGTTATCATTATCATTATCATAATCATCATCAGCACCTTCATCATCGTCACCATCATCATTATCATCATCATCTTCACCACATCATCATCATCATCACATCACCATCATATTCAGCATCATCATCATCATCACCACATCATCATCACTATCATTAACATCTACATCACCAAAATCATCTCCATCATCATCACCATTACTTTATCAATAATCATCATCCTCCTCCTCCTCATTATGATCATCTCCTTACCAGAAGCCTATCTGGTATCTTCCTGCTACTGGAACTGGGATAGTTGTTCATGGTGCAAGCAGACAAGACCACCAGGTCTTCAATGGTCCTCCATTCAAACGGCTTCTGCAGCGTGATAAGAAGGCGCTCATCTAGGAGCTGACGCATGAGCTCATTGCAGCGCTGGACGCCATGCTCGTCGCAGGGTGGCAGGTTGATGTCATCTACGAAGAGCTGGAAACGCTTGGTGTCACGGGCGCCATACACAAATCCTGCAAGATACAGAATTGGATGTTTGCACTTTAAGGAATACTGATTCTAATCATCACCATGCCTGCATTTCACAAAACTGTCCAAGTTCAAGTTCTCCGACAACCTACTGAAAAGTGTGTATTCAATTTAACACATGTTTCAATGGGATGTCAGTGAACTTGTACTTATGACGGTTTTGTGAACTATTGCCCATATTACCATGAATGGCATTGCAGTAATCCTACTATACACCTGGGCCCTGTCTTACAAAGAGTTACGATCGATTGATCCAAATCAATAGCAGATCTTCCAATCAATCGCAAGTTCAGTTTGCAGTCTCCTATCTAATATGTACATGGTTGCGATTGATATCAACTCTTTGTAAGACGGGGCCCTGATGTGTATCAGAAATTTGCCATTAAAAAATTTGTCAATAAGTGTAAAAGAGAAACATAAAGTGTGTTCTATTTCAACAGGCATTTAAAGTATAAAGTAAAAGCAATTACATAAATGGACACGTATTGGAAGGAGGGCTAGCAGTTTTGAAATGGAATCATACATGTTTATGGATAAAAGCGTTTTTTCAACAGATTTATCATTAGCAACTCCCAAGCATTGATATACACAAAAAGGGACTGGTAACCATTTCTCTTACCTTGCCTGTGGTGTATGTTGGTCTCAATGAACTGCTGTAGCTGTGAAGCAGTGGATGCTCCAGAGAATACCAGTCTCTTGGTTATCTGGTTGCTTGAATCTGTAAGGAAAAAAAAATGGCACTTAGATCGAGAAGTATTTCATTCCAAGATGCTTTCTTGCATTACAAGTTTGCAGAAATAAAGTTTATTATTTTGAATTGGGAAGATTACAGGAAGGAACAAATTTAGTTTGACAATCATTGAGGTCTATAATTCACAAGAATTTATTATATGTTAAGCAATAAAATTACACAGGTAGCTCCCTTGTTTTTTCTTTTCTCTCCCTCTGCTGATATTCTGATCATCCCTCTTAAGGGGATGACCTAGATAAGTATTCATACTTTTGTTTATCCCTGCACTTCGTTTAATTCACTTTGAACACTTTTATTTCATGTTTTGTGGAAATAAAAACTCAATTCAACCACTTCTCTCATCCGACAGAACAACCCATGAACTCACCCAGTGTATTGATGAAGTCATTAATCATAGCCGTCTTGCCGCACCCCGGTGGTCCTAGCAGCATCACATGCATGTTGGTCAGATTGGCAAACTCCATCAGAACTCGTGTACGAATCTAATAACATCAAATTACATTTTGACATGAAGTTATTATTATAAAAAATAATCGCTAGTGACATTCGTTTGGTCAACAAGGGATCTAAAAGATCACAACGTTTTGTGTGCTGCTGCTACACTTCGTGTTTTACACTCTACGGGTGGACCGGCGGTCAAATAATTTGATCAATAATTAGAACAATAACGGACAAGGCCTATTGGCTGAAGCACACCGGTGCTCAATCAATCAACGGGCCGCTGGCTCGGTGCGAGACAAATGAATGTCACTAGCGATATTATTTTTGATACTATATCCGCAATGAAATTGACGCATAAAAACATATGGTTACAGAATTCTAGATGGGTGTCCATTACTAAAAGTATGTCCTTAATTGATAAAATAATTGTTTAAACACTCTTCAGCATACATTCCATGTTCAATAACACAATAGTTTCATTTTCCACACTGGTAACTGCAGACGGATCTTCTACAGAGTTTTACAAAACGTTTGGGTATTCCTCAGACATTCTCTGATATATGTTTTTGAAAATTTCATATGAATGCCTGCTTGCATGTCCATGTTACTGAAAGTTGGATAGACTTACAGTGATTGTTACACTTGTAATAACACTGAATTATTTGAATGGTACAGTCAAACCTGTTTATAAAGGCCACCCAAGAGAAACAGACAAACTGGCCACTGTTGCCTTTCTAGACCGCTTCTACAACACACATTTCTTCTTTGATGAAGACAATATAGGTCACCACTATCAACAGGTGGCCTTTAAAGAGAGGTAGCCGCTAGGACAGGTTTGACTGTAGTAAAGAGAATACAGTCAAACCTGCTTTAGACCACCTGTCTACAAAGACCACCTGTCTACAAAGACCACCTGTCTACAACAAGCACATGTTCTGTTTCCCTTGAAAATGATTTCTTGTTGAAACATGTACTAAAGGAACCTGTCTACAAAGACCACCTGTCTACAAAGACCACTTTTTGTGTTTCCCTTGGGCGGTCGCTGTAGACAGGTTTGACTGCATATAGATCAAAATGTGATACACACGGAAGCTAGGGCTACTTACAGTATCGACGGTATCCACCAGGACATCTCCCAGTAGATCCCTGGTGTCTGTGTAGGCTACATCAGGTACCTTGGAGATCCAAGGATCCCATTCACCTGACTCATCAACATAGTAATCAAAGACAGAGATGTCATGGTCGTAGTCAGGCAGACTGAAACATAAATAGCAAAAATAAATAATAATAGTAGGTTCTTGTATAGCGCTCTAGCATTTTAAGGTATTAATTCCTGCCAGGTGACCATTTACATCACCTGGTTTGAGTGTGGCAAATGTAGATCAATGTATTGCCAAAGGACATTAGTGCCGCGGCGGGACTCGAACCGGGGACCTTGTGATCCGACTGTCCCATGACATATCCACTCGACCACGACACCTCTAAAGTTTAGAAAACAGCTCAAGCCATGTACTGATCAAAAGGGGGGATTCACAATTGACAGCGATAACACCAGAAAGCAATGACAGGCCAACGTTTCAGCTCACGGGTCGACATCTTTCAACCAGTGTAGCACGGCAAAATGCCAGCCAGCGCAAATTTTTATTTTGAATTTGGATGTCAAAACCGAACCATCAATTGATTCTGAATGAAACTTTGGCATGATTTTGGACATAATTAAATAACAATGGTCAGTGTTGGCCAAAGGGTGGCTAAATTGACCAAAAGTTTATGAGTAGGGTCAGTAAGATTGATATTTTTGGAATCAGTGCAAATTTTTACCCGGAAAAGCTATTCAAACCTTCCCCACCAAAAACTCTGATAACAATCCCTTATCCCCATGGTATATAACAATACCACAGCCGATTTATTTTTTTGGTCAATTTTTTTTCAATCATGCAGCACATGAAATTCACTATACAAAATTGTTTATGTGTAAACAACAGGGAATTCGGGATGAAAAAGTAGCTGCGCACAACGATGGTCCTGAGCACACTCACTGTGTGTTATACCAAGCAGAAATAAGGTGAAGCGTTTTACCCTCAAGTCAATATTATTATTTATTTGTTAATGTAATGTTTATCCAATACTATGTGAAAGAGCCTTCATTAAGAAATTCATTCCAGCATAGATGCAGTAAGGGGTTGAACACTTACGCTGATGTCAAGGTACGTAGAAGGTCACTGAATCCCTTCCTGTCTGACCCTTCTAGTAGTCCTCCAAACGTCCAGATCAGGCAGAACAAGAAGAGACGTTCAATATGAAGCTCTCCTCCGATCTCAATGTGTTCATTGAGCATAGACTCCAGGAGACCCAGGCAAGTCTTGAAGGTTCCTACTTCGGTCAGAGTGGCAAGGGGTCTGAAGGGATAAATTATATACATTGTTTGTTCTTAGGATCTCTAGATTTTTATCCTACAAAAAAAAAATCATCAACAGATTTTAGGTAAAGTGAGATATAACCCCCCCCCCCCCCTTCCTTATTTTATGATTGCTTTTTCTTTCTTAATGTTGAAGCAACTTGTTTTGTTAAAGGCAGCAGCAGAAGTAAACTGATACACTGCACTAACTTCAAATGGTTTACTGCCTCTTGTATTTTTGATATTTGTCACAAGTAAACTTGTGAAATAAATGTACAAAGCAGAGTTTGAATTGGTGATTACATATTTCACACAATTTATGCATTTTCTATTTAGTAAAGACAACCATTACAGCATGACGCTTTGCGTCAAAGAGTATAGATACACAAATTTAAAGAAAACCCTCTAATTTGTTACATCATTATTTTTTATTTTACTACAAAATTATATGTTACGTTTCCTCACGTACTACGGTACATTATCTAATACTCTAAACAGATACAGATCATGATTAAGAAACCAGAAAGTAGACAGGTAACTAAAGCATCTCAAATTCTTACTTGGTTTCAAAGAGGACATAGTTGACCACTGCATCCATAGTCTTGTTGAAGGCCTTCTGTAGACACTGTTAAAAAACATACACCACAAACCCATATAATCAAATATATTGATACCTTTTTCTTTGTAAATCTTTTTTTATACTTGTAACAACATTGCATCAACATCTAAATGTTTTGCATCCAGATACGCTTGCCCTGATATTAAAATGACTAGGAGAAATTTGTTTTATTATTTAAACTGGGTGTTAATCAATCTGTGATATATATTCTATGCTCTAAGCATATTTGCTCCACATCAATGTTATACCAACGCATCAAATCCTGATTGAAGTCTTCAATGGGTAATTAGACAGTATAAATATATTTAATCAAGTTTAGACTGAAATGGTTGTGAAGAAAACTGAATAGATGTAGATGATATCATGTTATTACATATTCTTTGAAATACACTGTACTGAACACTTTGCACATCGACTAAGAATGCTTTATATAATTTGCCATCCTCCTACTACATGTATGTCAATAATGCAATATGTGACTGTGCTAATAAGAGTAGCATGTTTTCACAAGTACTCACATGGATTTCTTGTTGGTTGCGGTTCTCTAACCAAGCTTGTGCAACAGGTCTCCAGCCAAGCACCTCACGGTCCAAGTAGACAATACCCTGCAATGGAATTGAAAATGAATTAATAAAAGCATTAAAGAACAATAGTATGGCAATATGAAACTTAACTTCAGTGGTTTACTTGTGAAGAGATCTACTCAGAAAACGTTGGGTTTAAACAAAGATATTGATGTATCATTGTTTTGATTCCTGTCACACTATAGACTTGATTGTTTCTCTTTATGATATCCATTTCTAAGTGCTAAAACTAGCCATCTAACACACTTGCAACTACATCGTAGGGCTCGACAGGTCTGGGAACAAATCATCCTGCACAATTCAATAATTCAGAATGATACACGACCTTACAATTATTCTATTCCAAGATACAGCATAACTTCTCCCACCCCCTTGGTGTTTTTTGTCGAAAATCCCTTGACATAGGGATCTGTGTGGTGCCCTACTAAATAAAATGACAAAACAAAAGTTAAAATGTTAGATGACTTTAACTCACAGCTCTCGCAACAGATGCTGGTGATGCATTGGACAGGCTGTCCGTTTCAAAGAGGAGCTTCACGTTATCAGCTAGGAAGAGCCTGTCTCCGTTACGGAGGTTCAGCACTCGGTCATTGTCCAGCACGGTGTTGAAGTTATCCGTCCAGCTGGGGGTCAAGGGACCGTCCAGACACAGCCAGGTCGTACTCACGTTCTACGGACAGAAACAAATATATAATGCTTAGGTTTGAATTTTTAAACGACATGTTTGACAATCAGTTACAGGTTTAAATCCTCCAAATTGAATGAAGAATTCACTATTGACGATAACAATACATTTTGCAACATTTCACTTTTGGCTTAGCCCCATGTTTAGTTCCATGATAACATAGCCATTTTGAAAAGGGCATGGTTTCGGAATAAACAGGCTTTTCAATGATACCAATGTCAAGTATGATAACATAGTGACTAGAGAGACATAAACTCTATAACTTGAATTGCAGATTTTTGTTTGAGGGGTTTATATGGAATTTTGTTTTTTTAACTACAGTGAAACCTGTCTATAAAGACCACCCAAGGGAGCAAAGTGGTCTTTATGTACAGGTTCCTTTGTATACATTTCATGAGAAACCATTTTTAAGGGAAACAACAAATGTGGCCTTTATAGACAGGTAGTCTTTGTAGACAGGTGGTCACTAAGGCAGGTTTGACTGTATATGGAATTTGGGGGGGGGGGGGATTACAGCAATTGCTACTTACCCTGTTTGCTTTCTTCCAGACGTTTGTGAAGACTCCGTCCGTCCAGTCATGGTTCTGATTGATGTACCCGAACATGAGTGAGAGATCATCCACCACCAGAGGGCTGATACGCTGCAGCTTGTGACTGATTGAGGTGATGCTGGAGACACTGCTGCGAGACTGACGTGACTGAGCAGGGTTCACGGCAGAGAGGGCCTCAACCAGGATCTGGATGCAGGTGGATTTGCCCGTACCAGGGCCACCGGCTACGATAACACCTGGGAGGGAGATTGATGATGGGGAGGTGGAAATAAAAAAGAAGGCTATAAATAATCATCATCAATAGTGATCTGTCAGTTTATGACAGGTTCAGTGACCCAATGAAAAATTTATATCAAGTGTCTCTCCAAGTTTCTCGGTCTTGAGCCATCCGTTTCAGCGTTTCATATAAATAATGCCATATGTTATTTTTATTTTTTTAAGTATGCCCATTGATATAGTGCAGCTACTCATCATCATCTAGTGCCGTCCCTTCGGAAGGGGTTGGCGGCTAGGCACCTCCATCGCTTTCTGTCATATAACCTCTTTCTGTCATGTAACCTCTCCGTAGTTAAGACCAGTCCATTTCTTGACATCATCAAACCAAGTGATTCACTGTCTACCCCTTTCTTTTTTACCCTCTACCATTCCTTCCAGCAAGTTCTTCTGCAGTCCTCCTCCTCTCATCACATGACCAACTAGTGCAGCTACTACTAAAATCATACTCTCCTGTGATTATTATAAAGTATCGTATTGTTACCCCAGTTTTAGCCGAACCACCATTAGGTGCTCACTTTAGCCATCCGTGTAGAGGGGTACATGCAGTGATCCTAGACTCACAGGCCAAGTACATGAAACAAATTGAACAACGTATCAAGAACTAAAGATGATGGCCTGTGAGATGGCACAGAACTGTATGACCTTGTGGAAAGACAAGTGTAATGGTTATAGACTTAAAATAACCACAACAAGGGGGGGGGGGTGTTTCACAAAGATCCAAAGTTGAACTTATCTCTGTAGAGGGGTACATTCAGTGATGCTAAGTTGGACATTACAATTATGGAGAGCCATTAGCATCATTGAAAATATTTTGTAGAAATTATTCTAAAAGACATAAAATGTTGATTCAAATTATTTTTTTTTTTCTATTATCTGGGGAGATTTCATGTTTTTGATGTGGAATATATGAAAAGTCAAAAATACTTGAATTTTGCTTTTGAATGTATTTCATTATAAGGCTACAAATGGCTCTCCATAATATTTAAGTCCAACTTAGAGTTAAATTCAACTTAGAATCTTTGTGAAACACCCCCAAGAACATGAAAATAAACTGACCAACCTCTCCAGAACTTACCATGATTAACCTGTGAGATGGCATAGAGCTGCATGACCTTGGCCACCCATGGAGAGGACGCAACGAGTCCATTCTCCTGAGCCTTCTCTATCACCATGTTCTCCACGCTCATCTTGTTGCGTCGGGCTCGGCTGGAGTGAGGGGTAGGTGCATCACCAACGCTGTTGAATACATCCTTGATCACGTTGTTGAAGAGGTACAGCGCCTACATAAAATCAAGAATGATAATAATAATATACCGTACTTACTGTATATAGCGCATATCATAATATGTCTCTATGCGCTGTAAGAAAGAGTAAGAAGTAACATAAGAAGAGTGAGATATGCTCAACATACTTTCTCTCGTTAACATTGGAAAGTATGGTTGAAAAGAAATGTTTTAAGACGCGCCTCAACAGTATCACAGTTTTTTAGATTTTCCGGTAGTCTGTTCCAAAGTTCGGCCGATGCAACCTGACAAGAGCGAGACCCGTAGAATTTAGTATGATATAATGAAGACAGTTGGATGGGTGAATGTGTCTTATTTGCTACAAAGGTGGCCATTAAAGGTAAATTTGATTGTACGTTTAGCTTTAAAACAAGACATGTGAGCAAGAAATTTGATGCTGATATGGGTAAGGAAGTGAACATGGTCTTACGTCAGGTTTAAGCCTTGGTCCCACGATGTCCTGAAGAGCTTGGGCCACCACCGCATGTTCAGCCTTCGCTGCAGGGGTCATAGGGTTAGTGTTTCCTGTCTTCCTGGGTTGCTTCTCAACGGTCTTTAACATGGCTGCAGAGGCTGCAAGATATTAACAAAATTAGTAATAATGATCATATGGCTTCGAGTACAGTGCTCATATTTGCCGCACTGCAATGCTCATAGCACTTCCACATTATTACACCAGTTATAGCAGAGCTACTAAAGTAACTAGTAACTCAGGTATATAACAAGAAAATTAGAAAGAAAAAGAGAAACTAGCTATTTATCAACAGGAATGAGAAAAAGGAAAAGAAGAGTTCCACTCAAAAGAGAAAACAGATTAAAAATGGATATACATATTAAGAGACAAAAATGTAGGAGAGAAATAGAAAGAGAGAGAGAGGGGGTAAGAGAGGGAGAGAGAGAGGGAGAAAGAGGGAGAGAGAAAAAAGGAGGGAGAGGAAGGAATGGGAAAGGGGGAGAAGATAAGATAAAGACTCGAGAAATGTCTTACGCATGGCGCTGCCCGGTTGGACCAGTGATCCTTGGCTGCTAGCCCTAGAGAGTTCCATTCTCTCTTCCTTGGTCAGCTTCCGTCCCATGTTAGCAAACATAACTGTAGCTGCAATGGATCCTATGCTGAACAGCTGGTGATATTCCTTAGACCTACAAAGGAATGTTGAAGAAAAGAACAAATATTAATTCCACTCATGGAAACAGCTTCAGTTTGTTTTCAATATGAATACATACTTTTTTTTTCTTTAGGGGGGTGGGGCGATTTCATAAGAATAGCTGGTAGTACTCCTTTGACCTACATGTACATTGGTAAAATGTACAATAGTAAGATAACCCTTGGCAACAAGTTATGTTTACCTCCAATACAAGTGTTGTCACGGGAGCTTACAATATAAAGAGTATCTATATGACTGTTTTTTATTATTATTTTTTTATTTTCTTTCTTGTATTAAAGTTGGACCTTTCTGGTTTTATGTTTTCATACATACATGGTATACCTTAGGTACCTCCGCCATGGGTTGTATGTGCTTAATTTGCAATTTCATCTAAACTTTGTTGTTATCATTAGATTATTGATGTCAAGTATGATGTCAAGGTCCCTATATACAGAGACCTCCAGCTTCATAGAAAGAAGGAATACCGTCATCTTAAAAAACAAATCCCTAGCATAAAAATAGCACCTCATTTTACATGATTCTCAGAGTTTAGGGTAGCCTTGTCGCATCATATTTAAGAGATAAACAAGATAACTTAAATTCAATATAATGCATCAACATATAGAAATAACTTGGAAGAAAAACGGAACTGAACAAGATTTAAAGTGTGTCAAAGAATCAAAAGCTTTCTACCTCTAAAGATACGTCTAAATGATAAGAAAGCAGATTTTACCAAATAGAAATACTGGAGATTATATCCCAAGTGGACTTCTAAGAATATGTGTTTTTTTTCCCCTTTTTCCATTAGGTGTATTTTATATAAAGCTTTAACCCAAAACCTTTGAGGCATTGAGTTTTAAAAAATCCAATGCTCTTTCTCATCCAATCAATAGCATTCAAACATAATAAAAATAGGCATTTGCAAATGTGAAGTGAACCAAAAACGTCTTCTCCAAGATTCATAATTATTAAATATACACTGTACTTCTGTAAAACAACAGAAATTACGCATTTTAAAACCAAACACATCTAAGAACACAAGTTACGCATTTCAAAACCAAACACACTTGAAAACACTTGAAAGTGTGCACCACTACAGGAAGAAAATGTGCATGTAAACAAACAAAAACACTAACAACATTGAAACAGTCATGTTTGCCAACAAACAAACATCATTTTTATCAGATCATTTAACTATGTTGACATCTGAAAAGCCAATTACTAAACTACTAAAATTCTATCTATAGGCATTCTCATTCACTGATAGAAGAATTATAGACATATCGTCCCTATTTTCACGAAGTGATGGTAATGAGGAAAATCGTCACGTAAATTGTATGCGATTTTCCTCAGTACCGTCACTTCGTGAAAATAGGGACAATATATATAATTATTGAATTGTCTTCATGTACTTTTGATATGTATTTTGGGTTATTAAACACACTAAAATAAAACATCTCTATATCCAGAAAGTCTCTACTATAACAGAAAGGGGTAGATTATCTTCAAAAAAGAAATTATGAATGATAAATTTTGAAAGAGAGAGAGAGAGAGAGAAGGTGGCGAGAGTGAAATGATTAAGTGAAACAAAACAAGCAATTCTACAAAAAAACTCAAAAGGAAAGTGCATATAATCTGGAGCATCAGAAAATCGGCAAACTGTTCTGTAGAATCACAACATTTCAAAATTGTCACATCTGGCACTCAAACAACACTTTGAATACATTTCAATTCACTCACTGAAACCCAAAGGTTGAGAAAAATAGGTGTGCCAACAATTTATATTAGAAAGGCAAAACAAAGTGCGACTATGTATTTTTTCTATAAGATTTACTGACTAATATAAAAGTTGATAAATCATTATGGTATTTTCCTGTTACTTTCTTTTTCTTCTCAATCTATTTAAGTGCCATGAAATTGATGAAAGGGATGATAGTTGACATCAAAAGTAAGTTGGAAAATGCTCCATTAATCAGAAATGCAAATAACTTTCTGATGAAAGATATATGATGTTCTACCATACAGCCTCAAAGTATGATGTCACAATATTGTCTAAGTAGCTGGTTCATAATTTCATGCAGTAAGCAAAGAATATCATGACATTCAATCAGCAATATAAACTTCTTAAGCTGTATACTCTGTCTACTCTCTGCCAAATAAATGAATGACAAATTTCCTCTGGGCTAACACTTTCAGTACTAAATTCTGTTAAAAAAAAAAAGAATTTAGACAGCAATTTGAGAACTGCAATTGTGTAGGTTGTTAATCATTGCCTCTCCATGACAATAGCATATCTCATAACAAAGGATACTGCATGAATTACATTGACCTTGATACCTTAGCTGTATTTTGAGTCATAAAATTCATTGAAAGTTACTGAATTTAGCATGTTACATAAATGGTGACATTAGTGTACCCTAGCCCCTTAAAAGTATTATAGAACCAGCCACCTTTACGCAAGCATGACATCATTAACTTTGGACCCTATGGTGCAGTGCACGTTTTCAACGCAAATAAACAAAAGTGCAAAAGGGCACATCTAGCTCTCAGGTCAGACCCAGGTCAAACCAAGGTCAAACCAAGGTCGAACCAAGGTCAGACTGAGGAGGTCAAAGGTCAATTGTTTACCCTTCCACATCTCGCCATGAGGAGACGGCATGCAGGAGGACGGTAACCATAGATTTGAGGTTAAAGAGCTCCACATCTCCGGGGTTCCTGTGTGCGTGTATGGGAAGGTATGGGGGAGGAGGTGAAAGTGCAGAGGGCAGAGGTCAAAGGTTGTTAGGGTTATGCAGAGAAAAGTTCATTGATAGTAAGGGTTGGTTACATAAAGGGGTGTAGAGTCATGGGTTAGTGAATTAAAGTTGGGTTGCAGAGGGAAAAGATGCCAGATAAAGTAAGGTCGATGAGGATAAGTTAGGGATGGTTATATCAATGAGGTATAGATTCACGGGTTAGTGGATTTTTGATAGGTTCAAGAACATGATGTAAATGAATTAAAGTTGAATAAGATAATTCAGGGTTGGTTATATCAAGGAGGGATGCAGCAATGGATTAGTTGGTTATATGATGAGTGATGATTGGGTTAGGTCAAGTATGGTTGGTTGGATGAGTAAAAGTGTCATACATTAACAATAATAAGATTGAAGAGAGTTTAGGTGTGCCATATTAGGAACAACATTAATGAGAGACAGAGGAGGTTAGACATGACGGAAGAGAACAATGTGTGTAAATATAGAAAGATGATATTAAATGGTTCATGTTATTAAATCAATGGGATCCCACAAAGACACATGTACACACACACACACACAAATGTACATCAAAGAAGATAATTTTTACAAATATAATGAGATATATCACAAGAAAAGGTGGAAAATTAATTAAGAAGGAAGCAACAGTGATATTTTGAGCAAAAATTTGTTAACAGTCCACACGCAGATTACAAGTATACACAGCAATCAATGTTTATGTCAATATTGGAGTGATAGAAATGAAATGGAGAAAAAGTATGGATAAGGGGAAACAAATAAATAAAAATTACTTCAATTGAAAACAAATCTACTGCATCACAGAAGGCCTCAAGTACATATATTACACTTATACGAACAATAATTGAAAAATCATATCACAGAGAGAGTTCATGCAAATTACATATTATTCATGCATCACTACAAAATATATCACTACAAATATATTTAACATGCAAAATATTTCTGTTATTAAGAAATCTGTTGTTGATTAGAAATCATGAGATTCAGGAAAATATCCAAAGAATATTAAATATCCAAATGACATACAGAGACTACATGATGAAAAGTTACTTGTAAAAGAAGTTTACGTATAAATGTTTGCACAAAACCTTCTTGTTACAACACCACAACATTTTGGACTGCCTTACTTTGCAATCGGTGAAGCTTCAATATTTACGAGTACATGTCATGACAGTGTTTTTTAATCTTTGTAGCCATCATGAACTATCGAGTATTCATGGCCAGTACCATGACCAACAAAAGAAATACTATATTTTTCATTTAATGATACAGAAAAATATGTTGGTTGATACTCGGGTTACAGAGCAACCATGCCGTTTTGCACAGTATTCGGTATCAAGTACAGAATTGTATAGCGTCCATACTGTAACGATGTGTTTTTATGACCCGTAATGACACCTCAGTAAAATCCAACAGACATACGCAAGAGTCATAATCCTCAGGTTAAGAACCATAATTGGTACATCTCTATCGTGTTATCGTGTGAGTCAAAAAAAGTTTACACTCAGAAATTTGTCACTTATTTTAAAAGTCAGCTATGAACGAAAGGTTATCATAAATGTTTTGAAAGAGTGTTACAGTATATCCCAAATTGTTTGGTATAATTTTTTTGTGGTATGTGTTCACTCTTGGATGAACAGGAGACATTGTTTGCGAGAGTGAAATAATCGACTAGCGCAAAAGTATTAACATGAGAGAATGAATGAGATCCATAGCAGAAACAAAGTCACACACACACACAAATGTTCTTTGATGTTTGATATTTGAAATATGTGGCATGATTAATTTTGTTAGGGATGTTTTTTTTTATCTGCAAAGACCAAATTAATACCCAAATCCCAATAGTTTTATTCAAACATCACATGTATTACTTTGGCGCAAGTAGATTTTGTATAAGATGTATAATAATTTACAGTTCATGGATGATTTTTAAAATAATAAGCGATTTTCTAGGTGTAAACTTTTTTTGACTCACACTGTATAGCCAAAATCTGCATGAATTTGATATGGTTTATCTTGTTATAGAAGTATAAAAGTTCAACTCACAGTTGATCTTTGCACTGTTGGACCACCATCTTGAGCCTGTCTGCCAGGACCTTGGGAGAGCGGAAGCCGTAGGCGGCGCAACGTGCCTTGAGGATCAGAGACATATCTGGTACAACCAGGGAGACGGTGCGGAAAAGAAGCTTGATGTCCATTGGTATATCACCATGGAGACCGGTCTCGTTGTTGACGGTGATGAAGAGGGCGATGTTGCGACCGAGAGTGATCTGGGAGAAGAATAACATTTTGGAAAGTTATACAAGCAATTTTTTCATTCTTAAAAATAGATTTTCTTCCTCAATCTGTATCAACATCCCCCTGGTTAGATGAGCAATACATATATGTGATTCAAGCTGGCTTTTGCTTTGGGCTAGACTTACTCACAAATACAGGGTTAAGAATAGGGCTGCAATTAGGTTTAAGTTAGGTTTTGGGTAAGGGTTGCATGGGTATGGTCTTAGGTCCATGATTAAAATTAGTATTTTGGCAACTTTAAGAAACTGACCAAGGAATAAATGTTACCAAAGCATGTTTCATAGAACCTGTTCGCAAGCCATATTTTTACTGCAATTCAGAATGATCTAAATATATCTTCCTGAAACTATTACTCAAAAAAATTCATATATTTGCGGTAAAAGAACCCTACCTCTTCTCCATCTCCTAAGACGGCAATCTTCTTCCTAGCCTGTAGGGCCGAGATGACTGCATGGACATGATCTAACACCATGGCAACTGCTTCCTTGTGAAGCAGCTGAAACTCATCAAAGCATCCCCAGCTCCCATCCTGAAACCATGCAAAAACAAAAGGTAATGTGTCAAGTTTGATTAGAGGGAAAGAGTATATAATGCATAGATCTACCAATTCTCACAACTATGTAACACCTACGGTATCTGACCATAGAGGGCAGCACTGGTCATGGGTACATTTGATTAATTTTTTCTACATCAACTTTTTGTATTATTAAATTTTGCTTGGGATAAACAATATGAATGAATTTGAAATTTAAATTTGAAATCTTTATTTGGAATATGTTAGCATTTGCTTGGTAAGAATAATTGACTCATGACAAATTATTACTATAATTATATCATTTTTGAATGATCGTTAATATTTTGTGTCTATGTTTGTACGTTGTATATTTATGCTCGGCACCACCCAGTGAGGAGAGCCTCTTGACAAAATTCCCAATCCTTTTTAATAGGCATTCCATAGGCCCTGGCTGGTTCCCATTATCTTTTATACCGATGTCTGTGTTACATTGCATTCTCCTGGATATTATATAAATAAATAGAAATGAATAATACAAATCATTATGCAAAAAAACAAGGTATATATGACATACATCATACAAATATTCCCCCATTCTGAACTTGAGGGATGAGTTGTATGACAAGATCTTCTTAATGCAGTTGCAACCATGTTAATGTTATCAACAGTACGATACACATTTGTTTGCTGATCTTACCATAGCAAGTCCTTGGACTACCTTTCCCAGTGCGGCAGGATCTGAATGAGGGGAGCAGCCAAACAAGGCAAGGTAGCGGCCCAAGAAGAAAGCTAGACCTTTGACTGTCTCTGTCTTACCCACGCCGGTGCCTCCCGTCAGGGCACTGCCTCGGAACTGGTTCATGCACTGAGGGTGGAGAAGGGTTAAAAAAGGAATACATGATGTGTTCTACAAACTTTTTAGCGTATAATTATCAAAGATGAATTAACAAGCAGAAATGTATTTGTAACCTGGCATATCTACTTGCTAATTTCACAAGGAAATTTTAGATTGCATGAACATCATGAAGCAATAATTCACACAGAAATGGGATTTCTTCAAGAGAATAATTCATGCACTGAGGGTGGAGAAAGGTTAAAAAAAGGATACAACATTTGATATTTACTCTGACAAGTTGTCTCAGTATGGATTATCAAAAGCAAATTTGACTGCAAGTTACCTCTGCAATATGGAGCAATAAAGCGCAAAGTAAATATATCTCAAAAAGAGCTGTACATATCCTTTCTTTACTACACTACCCAACTATTATTCAGGTACAACGTGCTTCTTCGAAACAAGTTTAAAGTACATGTGCCCACATATTCTATCTTGGGGGAAATACACATGCCCTCTAACAGTGGATATGTAGGGAATCTACCTTAATAAATGACTTTTGACTATTGTGTTCATCATTCATCATTTTGTTGGAAAGTATTGTCGATGTGGGATATAAAGCAAATAATCACCGACTACTATGGCGGGTAGGCAAACTATCATCGCCTTGGTGATCTCCTGGGGGTATAGAAGCCCCCAAGATCTCCTCTGCAATGTTAGTCTGTCCAATCGCCAGAGTATTCGGTAATTATTTGTTTACTATCACTATACAATCAAGTCTATCATTGTCATGTGACATCTCTTAGACCAATTGTGCTGTAAGATTCTTGGTATGTGAGATATGATGAGTATCTTACCATTGCCATAGTGAGGAAGCATCTCTCAGTGATGGGAGTGACAACAAGCGACGACTGCCCTCCAAAGAACTCATTACCGTACGGATGACGCTCCTCCAAGATGGTCATCTGAGGCTCATGGCTACCATCTGCAATTTATCAAGAAATATTACATACCGGTAACATGAATGACAGAATACCAATACAGTGGTGAAATGTGTAACGCGCAAGTTTAACAAAGAAGAGATGGAGGTGAGAAACATTTTATTGAATGATATTTTAAACACGATCGAGAGGGGATCAATACAGTTAAAGGGAATTAAAGGCAGAAAAGGTGGGAGTCAAGCTTAACATATTTCTATAAAATATAAAGTAAAGATAAAGGAAAAGGAATTAAGAATTTATAAAATTCAATTTTTTCTTAGTGACTTGAATTTGATAAAGAACAAACTTGGTAAACAATATTTGATGTAACATCACAATATGACATGAATAAATGCCGGAAATTAACAGATATTGTAATATGTTGACCTTTATTGATTTATATATTTTCAATCATATCAATGATTCATTTAGTCTTTTGCAAATTACATTTCCATACCAAATATCACCTTCACAACAAGCATGGTAACCTGATGAACGATGAAATGTAGTAAACAAACATTCCGACAAGAGGAATGAAAGATACATGGAATGAATGACAATGGAATGTAAGAGAATAAGACACACCGGTAGAAGACTGGAATTTGAAACCAACAAGAGTTGGAAGTAGATTTCATGAATAAACACTCAATAGGAAATACTGTTCCCTTTTCAAAAGAAAATGGTCTATGCAACTGGCCTCATCAGTATACATTTATATTTATACTGTTCAGACCAAGTTACATTAATCTTGATCTAAGGAGACACAAACGAACGAATACTGTTCGACCCGAGGGCCCTGCAAGCCTATTATTATCCCTGTGTATTTTGTGTAAAGTGAATTGAGATAAAGAAGGTAAAGCTAGAGAAAAACATCCCAAAACCCAGATGCATGTGCAATATTGCACCAAAGCACCAAAGGAAAGTTTTTCCTGCTGCTCATGCGAGTGCTTGCAGTACAATTATTTCCACTGAAGAATAGCCAGGAATGACGTTTAAAAGACTCTAACACACACAGAGAAAGGAAATCCATTGCAGTGATATGGTTCGTTGAATGATTCTATGAATAGCCCGATGACATGAATGTACACTGTATGATACAAGTATCATATACATACATTTACGCCTTGCTCTCCCTTTGGTAGTAAAGGAAGTATAATTTCATTAAACATGATATTAATCACAATTAATTGTACAGTAAACTTTATTTTCATTTTACATCATCGAATACTGACAAATTACAGATACTCTATACACAAATAACGGGCAAAGATGACTAATTAAACAAATAAAACTGTAAGTTTCCATTTTATCAAAAGAAAAGGATTCCTGCTTTACCATCAAACATTCGATATCTCATATCTAAAATAAATAATATTTAAAAAAAACTTTATTTCTACACTTTGCCCAACCTAGTATGTCTAACAAAGTTGATTCTTTACATACCAGACAAACAAAAAAACATAATGATAGTATTAAACAGTTTTACAATAGTGACATATAAACATTGTGTTATTTACATAATTATTCACTTTTCAATGAACTAAACATGTAAGATATAACTTGGGAACAATATTGCATTGTTAAACTAGGGCCGGACAGTGACAGTCATGTTGTATTAATTTGAAGGGAGGTGTCACAAAAGTTACAATCATATTGCATCTCTGAATGAGTATTACGCAAAATTTGATGTCACTGTGAATAATAAAAGGTTAATTTCTTGTTACCCTTGGCTCCACTATTTAATAGACTTAATAGAGAAGGACCAATGGCTCAGTGGTAGAGCAGTGGTCTTCTAACTGGGAGGTCCCGGGTTCAAAACCAAGTCAATGCGCTTGTGCCCTTTGGTAAGGCATTAGTCCTATTACCAAGTCCCTCGGAGAGGACTTAAAGCCGTTGATCCTCTAGTTAATTACTTACAGGTATATACATGCTTCCTTAGCAGTCAAGTCAAACAATCATCAAAAACATCAAACATCAAACATAATATACGATAAGCAGAAACAATTACATCCATGTAACAAGGCTCTGAGCAGAGATGACTGTTTTACGAGACCTACCTGATCTTTGCTTAGGATAGACTCTGATGCACCTCCGCCATTCAAAATCAGTGAGCTCTCGCAGCTTCCTGTTACCCATGTTATCCAGGATATCACGAAGATAGTAAGATTGCTGCGGGAGGGGAGAAAAGGAGAAACGTGTCATCATAATGAGACAAGGATGATGGTGCATTAGAACAAAAGGTGTACATGCCTAAAATGTATTAAAATCTACACACAGAGATTCTAATACTAGAATGTAATAACACATACAAAACTCAGCTGACTTAGAGCACCTATGGCTTCTGACAAAGGAGGATCGAGAGGAAGAAGCTAAAAATGGCCAATTGTCGAGATAGAAAAAGACTAGATGGAAATCGACTGCGCGCAGTCGAAAATGATGCCTCCTTCCTAGAGCAATTTTACAAACCGAAACGGAAGAAATTTTTCAAATTCAAGTTCAATTGTATGAATCCATTAACATGTTCTTAGAATATCGTGATTACAAGCAATTTCTCATATACATATATGACCCTTTGATCTTTGACCTCATGACCCTAAAATCTACTCAGTTCATTGGCTCTGCAAGATGTCCTGAGTTAAATAGTAATCCATCTGTCAGTTCTAATGAGAATGCTTTCACAAGCTATTTTTGCATACATAATGAGCCCATGACCTTTGATCTTATGAATCAAGAATCTACTCAGTTCATTGGCTCTGCAAGATTCATAAATGATCTAAGTTTGGCAGGAATCCATCAATCTGTTCTAATGATAATACGATCACAAGCTATTTTTGCATACATAATGAGCCGCATGACCTTGACCTTTACCTCATGACCCCAAAATCTAATCAGTTCATCAGCTCTGCAAGTAACATACATGACCTAAGTTTGGCAGGAATCCATCAATCGGTTCTTGAGATAACGCGATCACGAGCTGTTTTTGCATACATAATGTGCACTGTGACCTTTGACCTCGTGACCCCAAAATCTATCAGTTCATCGGCTCTGCAAGTAACATACATGACCCAAGTTTGGCAGGAATCCATCAATCGGTTCTTGAGATAACGCAATCACAAGCTGTTTTTGCATACATAATGATCCCTGTGACCTTTGACCTTTGACCTCGTGACCCCAAAATCTAATTAGTTCATCGGCTCTGCAAGATACATACATGACCAAAGTTTGGCAGGAATCCATTAATCGGTTCTTCAGATAACGCGATCACAAGCTGTTTTTGCATACATAATGAGCCCTGTGACCTTTGACCTTTGACCTCGTGACCCCAAAATCTAATCAGTTCATCGGCTCTGCAAGATACATACATGACCAAAGTTTGGCAGGAATCCATTTATCGGTTCTTCAGATAACGCGATCACGAGAACGGGACGTACGTACAGACGTACGTACGGACGGACAACCCGAAAACATAATGCCTCCGGCTACTTCGTAACGGAGGCATAAAAACTGCTTCGTACACAGATTATATGAGTCTTGATTATTTACTTCATTGTAATTTGGCATACCGGCACAATATCTCTTAATTTTTTTCTGCCATTTTCCCAAAGAAATCATGCGAGTTACATGCCTTGACACTAACAGGTTCAAGGACCTGTGGGCACCCAAAATTTAAGTCTAAACCCCAATTTTGAGTTTTTCCAGAGGGCTCATGCATACAGAATGTAAAAGTTCAATCCAGCCCTCCTTCCAAAAGGGTTAGTGTGGAGCCAAGCTGTCTGTATAGAGAAGAACATCTCTACTGTTTATCTGTGGTAGGATCTTCATCCACGTACAAATTGAGTAAATTTTCATCTCCGTGCAATATGGTTTTAAGAACAATCAAAGACAAGATCATCATTACACTGTATGTACATATCACCATCCCAAATATACATGGAACAATATCTCATAAATGAGCTAGCAACTCGAGATGCACTTATAAACTAAACATTTCTGAACACAAGGCTTCTCTTTAGTTGAATTAAATTATGAATTGCAACCTATGGACAAAAATTTGTCTCACAGATGCCCTTTGTATATCTCCTACAGCATTTACAAGTTTAGGGAAATATCACCCTTAGCCGTTCGCAGTGTAATTTTTGCATTGCAATCCCAAATCATTGCTTTAAAGCCCCACTGCACTACTTACAGCTACTTGCACCCTCTACATAGCAAACTATGCTTAATCGGTAACCATTGGTCCCCCATGATCCTCTTTTTCTTATGTTAAGTGAGAGCTGAGTTGATGAGATAGCCACCTGTCAGTGACCTTGCAGGGTGGTGTAATCCCTCCTGTAAACTAGTACAGATGGGCTTTAAAACCCCCAGGATGGACTTACGGCAATCATGCTCTCCAGACGCAGCCGATGGAGCGGTGTCACGTGTTCCTCAGTGGCCTTCCACGCCCCCTTGGTCAGGACCTGGGTCAACCTGGACATGGTGGTCACAAACTTCTTGGAGGTGTTAGGGATGGCCTTGCGGTCATTACGGATCTCCATGATGCCCAGTTCACACTCCTTGGTCCAGTACATGGTCAGGCCTAGGGCGGCTACTTGGGTCGGGTACTGGGAGGGAGAATGAAAATGAGGAATCATTGTACATGAACAGTTCTATTTTCATTCCCCTATCGATATAACAAGCAGTATTGTAGTGTAACAAAATAAGACATTTTCATGCACGACCATTTGCTTATCAACGTTTGCTAAACAAAAAGTTTAATATTACATTGCCACAAGTTGTATAAAGATCAATGAAAGATGCTATTAGCATGATGAGCTATGCTGATTATTATATATAATTACTCTCTCTCTCTCTCCGACATGCATCTCTCTTTTCTTCACTCTAACCCTGTCCCTGAGATCTTTTCTTCTTGTATATTTCATGGTTTTTACATGCTTTGTGATATATCTTATTAAACATATCTCTACAACCCTCTCATTTTCTGACACTTATCTCAATCACCCTTACAAATGTTTTAACCCCCTCCCCACCTCCTCTCTCTCTCTCTCTCTCTCTCTCTCTCTCTCTTCACAAACCTTCTCTTTATTTTTTCCCCCATATCATAATGCAACAGTCCATATTCAAACACACCAATCTATATTTCATTGATACTATAGGTCACCCCACATCATATTCCTCCTTTCCTAAAACTTGTTATAATATGAAATGTTTCCATACTGTTAAAGAATGTAGATTACCTTGTACGCCAGCTCCTCTACTGCTAGATTGTTCTCCATATCTTGGATCATGTTTGAGACTGTGCTACACATGGTCTTGGTGATGGATTCCTTCAAACCCTTCAGCCACACCTCTACGCCATCTTTGATAGGAACCTACAAAATAAAGTCATACAAATCGTAAGAAAACAGGCAAGTTTGTCAATATACGTCAACTGGGCGGTTTCAATGTTTTGCAAAGTAAAACAACTTTTACAACAACCTGCCATGTCCCTTCTTTAAACAAAATTTGGGCTTACAGAGTTTTATGAAAAAAGCAATTGGAACATGTCGATTATGTAAATTTGCATTGTAATTGCCATACTGAAATCATAGTCAATGGTAATAGACAATATCACTAGAGTGCACAAACCATTCTCTGTTCAAAAGAATTCTATGTGTCACTTTTTTTATCAGTTATCAATTATCATATATTTATACTTTTCTTCTTTTTTTGCAGCTCCATAGTTCTATTGAGCTTTCCAGAACTAGTGTATAAACTTGAGCTCAAAACCAGTAACTGATTGTGATATATAATGCATTCATACCCACTCATTTCCCTGATAACTGTAAATTTAATGAACCCATCACTCTTAATCTGACACTTTTGTTTGTGAGCGTGTGAAAACACAAGTGGTTCCAACCTCTTGGTCCAGACTAAGCATTTCCCCTTCCTTGGATGTGACTGCTATTGCCTGCATCAGCCCTCCCTCTGTACCATCCTGAACACCCCCCTCCATTCCAGTGGCAGCTCCCATCCTGCTGTCAACGGAGAGTCGTGATTGGATGCCTGCCAGCCCATGGCCTGATCCACTCCGCGTCGGGGAGGCATGTGGCTCCTTGGTGGGGCTGTGTAAGATGCCTTTCTCAGGGGATGGGGTACGCTGTGTCTGAGCGGTGAGGGGCTGGATGCGCTCCAGACGGATGTCATACACGTAGTTAAAGATGCATCTACATGTACACATGGAAGAGGAAGGTTATATGAAAAGGGGCATTGGTTAGATGGGAAAGGGGCTCTTTTTTGTAAATAGGGCACTTTTTACATAGGAAAAAGGGCACTTGTCATTAAAGGGGCACCTTTCAGATTTGAATAGGGCAATTATCGGAGGTGAAGGATACAAGAATCTCCCAATCTGATTAAAAAGTACAGTAAAACCTGTATATAAGGCCTGCTCAAGGAAGACAATAAAAGCTGTCTATATAGGTAGGTGGTCTTTATGTACATCTTCCTTTCATACACATTTCACTGACAAACACTGACGAGAGGAAACAGAAAATGTTGTCTTTATAAACAGGTGGTCTTACTATACAAGTTTTTACTGAAATATGATTCAGTACTATTGCATGTAATGCCATGGTGACTTTTTGAGTGGTAGAGTATTTCACACAATGGCTACATCTTGTCTTCTTTTTTCTTTTTTCCTGTGGCTATGTGGACAAGATGAATTTCTTTCTACCAGCCTGGCTTTAGGCCAGTTGCCTTGATGCTGCACTAAAGCACTCAAAGAATTTCTCCATATCGTGTACTCACTTACATGTATTATAACTAGGTTGACATTGACAGTGAGAAATATCTTATTTAAGGACAATAGTTCCATGGATGGAATTCTAAACAATTAAACCACTTGATCCACAGTAATCTCAAACATTCCTTAGACTACAACACCCTTAGACCCTTTTACTTCTCATAAATCAATGTGTACATTTCATTCATCTTTTTCTAGCGATATCTTGTTCTGTCAATAAGCACTGATGCTTCACCCAAGACTTTGCTAGCATTTTCAAATTACTGAACGTTTTAATACAGTTGTTCTTTGTGCGTTTGTTTAGTGTCACAACAATCATTTTTCTATTCACTCAAATCATTCAAACATTGAATACAAGAGACACCTACCTGAGATGAGGTTTGACAGATTCAAGGTCGAAAGGTCGACTGAGGACAGCCAGGAGGACAGGGTCAGACAGGAAGTAAAACCTTGGGAAGACCTGTCTCTTCTTGTCTAGGTAGCCTGTCAGAGACTTGAAGCAGATCTCAAGCTCTTCATGGATGTGACGCAAGACGACTCCTTTAGGCACTTCTCCACCGTAGGTGCACTGCAGAGGAACAGGATAGTATTAAAGCCCCACTGCACTTCTTGTAGCTACATGTACTTACGCCCTCTATATAGCTAACAATGCTTAAGTGGTACCCATTGATCCCCCTGTTCCCCTTTTTCTTATGTTAATTGAGAGCTGATTTGATGAGATAACCACCTGTCAGTGACCATGCAGGGAGGTTTTATCCCTCCTGGCCAAACTAGTGCAGATAGGCTTTAAGATGTAGAAAACAATCAAAGAGATTGAAACAACTATGGCCTATTAAAGAAATGAAGGAGATTGATCTTAACCTAGGATATGTGTTACGTCTCGGTCCTACTCTGGATTTCCTCCAGCAAGATACATCAATCAAATCAAATCAAATATGATACAGGGTTATGGAATAACTTTGTTTATCATTATTAACATCACTGATTAATTCATTACAAAAGCACATGAAGCTCGAAAGCTCTAACTGTTCAATTAAATAAAATAAAAAATACTTACTTGAAGGACATTCCTTGTGTCGTAAGCTCTTCTCTGGATCTTACTCCAGCTCTTATCAATCCTGTTGAAGCGTTTGGCCTCCTGGGGAAGCTCTTTGGCTGTCCTAGGAATACTGAAGACTGCCTCCAGGTACTGCCATAGGTCCTGGACCTCTAGCCACTGCTCCAAAACCTCTCCAACACCTCTGAGTTTCTCTGCCCATCCTGCAGCCTCCTCTCTCAGCGGTCCCACAAACCTTGATGTCAGCATGTTGGCCAGGACGGCCTGGGCGTTCTCCAGCTGCTCCAGAAGGTGCTCCATAGAGTCCTTCTCCAAGTAGATGGGTCCGCGTCTCTTGTAGTCTGTGAAGGTCATGACCTGCTCCGTCCACTCTTCCTCGGTGACCCTGAGCTTCACCTCCAGCTCCAGCTCCTTGCTGGCACAGTGACAGATCTCTTCAATCTCTGCCTGGTGCCTGCATGGTGAGTAGAATAACAACTTGTGAAATTAGTTTCCTAATGAATGATTTATACAATGATAACGAAAATATGCCCATTTCTATAGCACTAATGTCCTTTGGCAAGACATTTATCTACATTTGCCATTCTCCACCCAGGTGTTAAATGGGTACGGCAGGAAGGAATTCCTTGAATGCTGTGAGCACCTAAATTGGTAGCCTAGTAGAGCCGGGTAATATTGGAGCGCTTTGAGCACCTTGCAGGGTGGATATGTGTGCTATATAAATATCCAATACTATTATTATTATAATGCAGCTACTATCAAACTGCGCTGAATACAAAGTATCACATTATTACCCTGGCTGAAGCTTTACCCCCATGATAAGGCAATAACGGGTTCTAGAAATTACTTCCTACCAGGTACCCATTTACTTCACCTGGGTGGAAAGTGGCATCACTTTGCCATTAAACATACTGTCAATTTATTTGAATTCTGCCATCCAATTTGGTTTATATATATATATATACGGTTTTTCAAGCATCCCTAATGGAAATAATACTCACGGTATAAGGCCTATGTCAAGGATATGACACAGTTTGAAGACGTTAGCCTCAAGCTGGAAAGAGCTCCCAGTCACTCCCATCACTTGGAGCCAGTGACGATTGCGGATTTCCTGCAATCAAGAATAATATCAAAACATTTCATGGTCCACTGGATGAATCAAAGGACTACAGATCGAGTGGTAGAGATTTCATATCCCAGCCAATCCCAGGAATACAGTATATTTGTAAACTCTTTACACACAGAATTTTTCAGAAAAAGAGAGGAATCTATATGTATGGTTCAAAACAGTTGTTTGAATGCCCCAAATTAGGAATAATTCCCCCCAAAAAGGAATACTTGGCAGCTATCTTTTATTAGTGATTATGCCAACTTGCTCAATATCACCCACATGCATCATCATTTATCATGGATGAAATAGCATCTGACTTTTAGAACAAAATTGTAAACAGGGGTGATAGTGAGCACTAAAAAAAAAATAGGTTTTTTGTTTTCCCCTCAACCACGCCCCCCTTGAGTAAAAAAAAAAAAAGACGATTCGCGGGGAAAAAATGGCATCTAACAACATTCCCCCCTTTCGAGTAAGAAAATTGAGACAAACTTGGGAAAATTGGGGGAAAAATAGGGAAGAATAGAGATAATAAGAGGGAAATCGAGAAAATCAGGATAAAATAGGGAAGGAAAAAAAAATTGGTAAAAAAAAAAAAAAAAATGATTTTTTTTTTTTTTTTTTTTTTTTAAATCGGGAAGAAAAAAAAAATCGGGAAAAAATCGGGAAAAATAAAAAAAATCGGGAAACCGATTTAAATCGGGTTTTTATCAGGCCTGTGTAAAGGACAAGTCACATCTAATCATAAAAATCTCAATATGCTATAGAATATTAAAAGAATTTTGTTCCTAATAAAACATACATGAAGTGTGTTTTTCATTAGATCAGATACTGTACTGCATAAATATGGGGCAAAAGAACCATAACGCAAATTCCCATTTGTATAAAAGGGGAAAAAAAGTTTGATGTGATGATGCAAAATTGGATTGGACACATCAAACAAGCAGCTCGCATGCTGAAAATGTTCAATTTACAAACAAATTAAAACAAAACTAAAATATATATTGTAAGTCAACTTTTGCAGAAATGATTTAGCATTGGTAAGATGAAATCAAAATTGCAAAACTTTTTATATTGAAAGACCAACACGGTGGAAAGGAGAGAATGGAGAAGAAAAAATTAAAGTTGTTTGAGCGACAGAGTTGAGAAAGTATTTAACAATTGCTATACATACAATTATATTACAAAAATTTAAATTAAGCATAAAAATATGTATTGGAAAAGGTGAGGTTACGCCGTAAATATCAAAATGACAGCCTCTATTCTGTTTTCCCCTCTAATATAAATGTAATGACAGCATTCATCTTAATCAAGAAAGTTGTTTAATAAAATTAGAATGAGTATTTAAATAACAATATAGTGTGATTTAAAATTAGATATTGCACATTAATTGGAGAAAAAGGCCCAAATCAAATAATTGGCAAGAGCAAAATTATTTATTACTCGAATGATAGTAAAAATGTTTCTGGTGATTACCTTTGATGCCAGCTTGTGTAGGATAGGGAAGACATCGAGATAGAACTTGATGCTGTTCTTCATGTTGTTATATGCATCCCAGTCCTTGATCTTATCTGGTAGGCTCTGACACTCATCCCAGTACTGCTCAACCTGGTGGGAAAAGAGACAAGATTGTGAGTATGCATGGTGCTGGTCTACGAATGATCTATGAACCAGGGGTGGTATTCTCAAAACAATGTTATCTTTTGTCAGTGTTAGTTAAACAACGCTAATTGCCATAAGGCATCAAAATATGCCAAGTCATTGATAAATATCGCTCATCATCATCATCCATCTGCCTCACAAGAAACATACTGGTGAATTGTCTTTCCCATTGGTTGCTGCAAAACTGTGAAACCAAATACCTACTGCTGTTCAGACGGCCTCATCTGTTTACCAGTTCAAGAAATTACTAAGTCACATCTATTCTGCTAAAAATAACTTTAATACCAGCCTACATATACATGTACCTAAGTAACCTAACTGATCTCTGAGAAGTGATTAACTTTTGCTTATAAGTTCTGTTACCGCAAGGAAAGGCGCTATATCAAATGTCTTTTGATTGATTGATTGATGAAGTTAAGAGACATCTGTGCAAGCATGAAGGTAAGTGTTAGTTCCAAGTGAACTCTCATAATTGTTCTTGGACGGTTGTTTTAGACTTCAAGGTTTCGCAAAATTGAAGTTTAAAACTATGGTGGTTCCATATAAACAACTATAAACACCAAGCAAAAATAATGACGTTCTAGTGCCTTACCTCCTTGTTGGCCTTTGGTAGATCTGCATCGGCCCAGAGTCTGTCTCTGAACTGATTGTCAAAGGCTATGAACTTCTGGAAGAGACCATAGAGCAGTCCTAGAAGATCCAGTTCCTGTGGAATTAATCAAGTATTATCCAAAGAATAATGACATGTATGTTTATGTTTAGGGATAGTTTATCTTATTGAATTGAAGATGTGACTTTTATATGAATGGGCCTTGCAAGCGGACTGAACGCTGCGATTCTATTCAAAATATCACTCATTTAGTCATGTTGACGTAAATGTAGTTTCTCTGCAATACTTCACATTAGCTAAGAAGCTTATAATTGGGGGAAGGATAAGTTTAGTAGAGGCGAAAAAACATCTTAATCCACTTTCATCAATAAAGCAGAACAATTCTCCTTAAGGAAAGAGTATAACTCTCTGTCTTGCTTTCATGAGAATACTTAGTAGCGATAAGGTTGGATTGCATTCCTATTTTCTACACAAGATAAAATCTCCAGCTCAAGGCTAACGTCTTCAAACTGTGTCATATCCTTGACAAAGGCCTTATACTGTGAGCATTATTTGTATAAGGGAAGCATTACATTTATTAAAAGATAAAATGTGTAGAAAACGGCTATTATCTCAGAAAGCCAATATCATAATTCTTCCACTGATTATCGACGACTACACAAACATTTCTTTATTCAATACCTCTCCTGTCTTGTCCAGTTCAGGGAAGGGCTTACAGACAATACCAAAGAGCCTGGACACCGAGTCTAAGGTCCTCCTCTTAGAGTCATAGAGCTTGAAGATCTCCTGGAACTCATGGAGTCTTGCTACAGCCTCGGCTGGCTGGACGCCTGGGACGGCTGGACCCTGGGAGTCAAAGCTGTTTCTGAACTGTATCACCTCTACCACAAACATCTGTGACAGATATAGAGAAATTCAATTCAATTCAATGTATTTATAATAATAATAATAATATTTGGTTCTTGTATAGCGCGGAATTAATTCCTGCCAGGTACCCATTTACATCACCTGGGTTGAGTGTGGCAAATGAAGATCAATGTCTTGCCAAAGGACATTAGTGCCGCGGCGGGACTCGAACCGTGGACCTTAAGATCAACAGTCCGTACCACTACACCTCTGAGTAATAGAGCTGTGCACATTTTCCTCTTTTTTCTCAATAGAAAATATGTGTAGATAACATAGGAATACAACAAACATTCACGTATTCCTTTAATGGAGCGGCGTTGTGCCCGATAATTTACAAACATGCCTTTCTCACATGTTTTTATTGCTTTTAATACTTTTACAATATGTCAGGATTTAGCAAACAAACGGAAAAAACATACAAGCATGGCCAGATGATAAAGTGTACATTTTGAAATGCCAATTACAGAATCTTGGGTGGAAAAAAACTTGGTTTTGCAATAAATAACATATCCTGGAAAACTTAATAGGCTCCTGAGGAATTAATGGATCACCATGAATTTTCAATCTGTAATCTTAAGGGGTATTTCTGTCTGATGAGTTAATAATAATAATAATATTCAGCTTTTATATAGCGCTTAATACATCTCGGACGTCTCTAAGTGCTTTACAGATATACTATTACCCCGGTCATTGGATTCAGTGCTTGCCCGCACACACTGTGTGCACAATCTCCTCTCCCTGGGGAGCATTCCGGCCAGGCATGACTTGACGCTCAAAAACTGTTTGACCAACAATGACGGTAGCATCCTACCAGGTACCCATTTTAACACCTGGGTGGAGAGTAGCAAGGGTAGGTTAATATCTTACCAAAGGATATTAGTGCCGTGTCAGGATTTGAACCCTCAACCTTCGCATCTGCAGTCAAGCGCCTTAAACCACTCAACCATGACACTCCCACAGTTACTGCATAATTGTATTGCATTGCATCATTTGTGTTTGTTATTGCTTTCGCAAGTGTATTGGGGAGTCACTGACCTTGACTTGTTTGTCAAGCTCCTGCTCAAAGGCTCCACGTCTCTCCTTGAGGAGCCTGATCCGACATTTCTCAGCGAGATCCACCACCTCCTGCCAGTTATCTCTCAGCTTCTCCACCTCCTCCACCTCGGAGCGCGGCAGACGAAGACGGTAGCTTCTATAAGGTGGAGAAAATTATGAGGTATACATGAGAAAGTGTGAAATGTCAACAGGAAAGTCATGGGAAACTCACAACCAATGCTCACAATAATATACTAACATACAGTACCTGCCATTCCCGGCATGCTATACCTTGCGGCAAATTGCGGCACATGATAAAACAATCTTAATTTGGCTTTAGCAATTTTTTACAAAAAAATTATTAAAATCAAAATTTCGAAAAATTTGAAATATGTAGGTCTTTAAAGGTAAAGACCAGTATTGGAAACGCCCCAATTTCAAAAAATGAAATGGAAGCTCTTATTACCAATCATGTGAAAGAATATGTTTTGAATAATACATGATGATAAAAATGTTGATGGGAAACCGCTGACTAATTGATATATTTGGTAAATTAGTGTATCTCTTGCCTGTTGAGAGATACAAATGCACGTGTTGCGCACGTGTGTGTAGTCCCATATACATCTTTCTGTGTACAGTGATTCTAACTTCATGAAGTCTTGGCCAAATTTCTTATCATTTTGATGATTCCAGAACCTTGCAGTACATCTATGCTAGATGATCAACCTTTTCTGATCAATTTCACAATGTTTCTTACACAATGCAATCGCATGACCATAACTGGTCTTTAGCTTTAAAATCCTAAAAATCAGAATATTATGGATTATTTGGAAGGATTGGCAGGTATGTACTAATAATAAGAGCTGAGTTTAAGTTGAGGCATCGCAGTCAGACGAATTTTGCTCAAATATTCACGCAGGATTTAATATATACGCTCTTTCATGGTTCCTGTTGTAGATGCTGCCACAATTACTAGTTCTCAACTTCACTTTCCTTTCTTTAATAATAGAGGAGAAAATGTAAAATATTAGAAGAAAAAAACATTTCACTCAATATATTCCAGGCATGTCATATTTGAAATGCTTCTATTACACACATAATCAGAATGCTGAGACAATGGTAAAACTCATATCAGTGTTTAAATGTAAGATCAGGTATTATTATAATGACCTAGATCTAGATCTTAGCACGTAGAGACTTCAGTGGTAAGCACATTATAAGTAACGTTTTTATTATTATTATTATTATATGGGGAGAGAAAACGTTAAGAATCATAACAGTACTTACATGAGGTCTGCATACATGGTCTCAATGGGTAGATAGATAGCATCGATCTTATTCTCCATATCCCTGACCTCCTCAAGGAGATTGAGGGTGCCATTCAGCTGGTCAAGGGTTACCACATCGGCCATGAGCTTGGACTTGATGCTTGTCCGGTAATTGATGGCATTGTCCAGTTGACGCTGCAATTAAATGCAATAGGAATTAAAGTATTTCTTAAAAGATCTCTTCAGTATCATATCTACTGTGCACAATGTATGAAAATGGATCGTTGTACCAATATATTTTTCCACTTGCATATTAATAACTTCAACTATGTTCCTACAGTACTCGAATTTTTCTCTGACAATTAAAGTGACTGGCTTTTCTCATTTTTAACCTGTTGAGTCTTAAATGTTAACAGGAAATATATTCAACAAAGGGGCAAAAAGCAGCTGCTCAGCCTGAGCCTCTAGCCATGGACCCCACTGCAAGCCACAGGCAACCTAAGGTTAGCTGTGTTCACCGGGTGCGCTCACCAAGCAGCTGATCCAAAAAATAGCGGTAAAAGTTTTCTTCACTTTTCACTGATTATTAACTATCGACTTCGAAAAATATCGCTATCGAACTCAACTGACAGTGTGAAAACTCAGAAACAAATCAAGTTTGCTGTGTCCATATTTCTTCATTTTTTTTGCTCAAATTGATGACGTATTAAAGTTACGATGAAATTGACGTGAAATCACTCAATTCTGTGCTTGCAAGATTCTATTCTGGTGCCCGTACAAAAAGTGGGGCATTGTATAGCAAAACATCAATGCAGTCAATCAGATTCAGATTGCAGAGACATTTTCAGAAATCTCTGAAAGTTGACATTATCAACGATCCTTCTTTCACTTTGAGTAACAAACGCTTCAAAGCCCTGATCAAGAAGTTGAAATTGAGTGGCATTTAAGCCAACGTCAAGTACCACCCACCCATCAGCAAAGATGTCATGGTATTGATTCATAACAGTTTGGACACGAACACACCCGATGGCCTGCAAAGAAAGTCTTTATAGACGTAATGAGGGATGGAGAACCTGAGGAGCATCGAAGCCAACTGATTTCACTTTGCATGAACGAGAGGATGGAGATTTTTACACAATGCGAGACATGAATACCAAAAATCACCAAGATGGCCATAAAGATCGAGGCACAAGAAGGAGAAATGCACTCACTCCAGGGCCCAGGTAATGTCGATCACTGCCCAGTTAAAAATATGAAGAAAAACTTGTCAAAATTAAAGCCCAATTGTGAATTCATGTTGCAGAGGGGCAAAGGCAAATCAGGAAAGAAGTTTGATGCGGATGATTGCTGGTATGACAATCAGGTCTTAGGGAAAATCACTCTTGCAACCATGACTAAAGCAATCACTATGAATGCCAGATGTTCTAAGAACTATACCAATCACTCATTGAGGGCAACAAGTATCTCAATGTTAGATCATACTGGCTATGCCTCAAGAGACATTTTGTCGGGCCACTGATTTGAGACAAGCGTCAAGAACTATTCCTGTACAAGTGAAATGCAGAAGAAAAGTATGTTGCATGCGTTATCAACGATTCATTGTCCAACAACTTCTTCATCAAATGGTGAGAGTGGGGAGAATGATACTAGACCCTCTACTTCTGGTGAAGAAGACCCAAATTTTAACAGACAGTCAATGTCCTGGATGATATCACAAACACAGTTGGTAGTCCACCTCAACGTCACCCCCAACCACTTACTATGAGACCGTCAGTCGGCAACACTGAACATGAGGAACCAGCAAACATATCTCATGGCTGCACTGTTGAAGATGTTCATGCTTCGGTATGTAGTCGTTTGTGAAGTAGGCAACTTGGCGATCACTACATAACACTGAGCCAACAGGTATTACGCTCCTGTGCGTACGTCCGTGGGTTGCCCTTTATATACCCACGCTTTAGCAACTTTAACAATTACCACAACTAAAAAGGAGTGAGAATATAGCCTTGTACATTTGTTATTGTTTTACATTTATGCGTTTTGAATTGTTCCTGCTGTTAACTATTTGGTAAAAATTTCCATGGAAAACTTTGTTGAACTTTTGGACGCACTACTTAAACAACTTTGTTGAACTTTTGGATACATCAGGATCAGCAATATACTAGACTAGGTACTTAGGTGGAGGTAAGTTAGAACTGGTTCTTTTATTTCTTTTTTGAATGTGATGTGAATGTGAGTATGGTACATGTTATTATAAAAGTGTTCAAGGAATGATACAGGTGGAAGGGATATAAAACAAATATTCAATGACTCATTCTTGGAACAAGCTAAAACTATTCACATTCATGCAGGTACATCAATAGTACTATTTAATGTTCCTTTGATGCAAATAGTTTTAGCTAGACCCTCGAGTGCCCTCGAGTGCCATTGTATATTTGCATAATATCTCAAGACAGTGTATCTTATCATACTACAAGTACTTATGTATTATGTATCAAGCACTATAGATATATAATCTATCATTGTATTTTCCATAAAGCCAATGAAAACTCCATCAATCAAGGCTAACACTCATCAAAATGTCTTTCAAAATTTACATAAATGTGTAAACGATCTACAGATCTATTGCCTCTGTGTTGACAGGTTTGCATGAATTCTATCAAGACATGCCAAAGACAAGGCAACAAACAACTATTATTTGTGTTTTTTCTAACCTAATAATCCCTCATCCTTCTGCAAAACCAAGTGGCAGTGACCTCTCAAGAAAAGCCTGGGTCAACATCAACCGTATCAGAACCGGAGTTGCCCGTACACAATATTTCCTGCATAAAATTGGAGCTGATCCATCGCCAAACTGTGCCTGTGGGGAGATCCAAACTATGGATCATATCATAGATGCTTGTCCTATCTACAAATCCCCTCAAGGTGCTTCAGGACTTTGTGAGCTCAATGATGAGACAATCAGTTGGTTAATGAGGATCTTCCTATTTAGATGATGTACTCCTTGATATTCTTTGTTAGAACAAACGATCTCTCATTAATAATTCTTAACCGTTGTTAACTAAAGCTTGGTTTGGTTGCTTTGACATATATGAATGAAAATATGCACGGTCTTTGAGAGGCCTACAGTATCTAACAGTTAATGTGCGAGTGATCAAAACCCACCTTGCCCTCCTCATGCAGCACCTGTGCATACTGTGCCTTCCACTGCATGGCGAAACCATAGAGGGCGTCTGTGATGGGTCTAGTCTCCAGGGAGATTGGACCGATGGGAAGGATCTTTGGAATACCCTGGATCTTATCCTCGATGTGGAGGAGGCGCTCCACCTCTCGCTTGATGGCGAAGGTGCCAGGATCGTTGGCGATGAAGTCGTAGTAAGAGCCATACATGTCGTCCTTCCACAGGAAGTCGTAGAATCGGAAGTGGAACAGGTGCTTGTCAATGTCCCTCTGGAGGTCTAGATAGTGACAATTTAAAGGAAGAGGGTCATCAGTTTCCATGTGCAGAAGGTCCTTATTTGCAGAAACTAGACGTGGGGGGAGTACCATTAGTGGGTGAACAAATCTGCACACCAATAGTCCTATCAAGAAATAACCCCTAGTCTCTCAGAGTCATTAGGTGAGGGGAAAATATAAGATAATGACTTTACCATATACAAGTATGTGGGGGAATGTGGGGAAATGCAGAGCATTAAATAAGGCTGGTTGGTCAAAAAACTTAAAGCTAATCCTTGTGATTGACAACACCCGAATGGTGTCGAATTCCCCATGAGAGCTCACTACTATACATCCTTCTGTGAGTTTATTCTCATTGAATGTATTACATAATATTCAGGAAAAAATGTACAGAAGAAAATTCACATCAATACTTTTGCTTGATTATCATCTTTGACACATCATTTAAGATAATATTTGCATTAGGTTATTCAAAATATTATTAAAAAATTTATTGTTATTTGACATACTTTACACCTCTTTTTATAAGTATACATCATTGATTTTTTTCTTTCTTTATCCAAGAAATTGTTACAGAAAAGTAATTACAGTAAATTAAAGTCTAAATATGCTACTTAAACCTTAAAAAATCTTTTGAATGTCTAACCTTCTACGACACCGTCCAGCTGCCTGAGTGAGCTCTGCACCATGAGTTCATCTGAGATGTCTCCTAGCATGGTCTCCCCGACCCCATCCCCAGCCCACCAGGTCACCTTGTCTGCTACGCTCAGGATGACCTGAGCTATCTGACCCAACGAGGTCTTCACTGCATCCAGGGTCGGCTCGATGATGATCTTAGGGATGGCAAACTTGACCGCTACTTCAAACCTGTGGCAATTGAATTCAGTTAGGACCATTATAAAGTGAATTCACTAAGCTCTGTAGTTGGATGTTAAAGGTATAGACCAGTTTTGGAAACGCCCCCCTCTCAAAAAATGAAATGGAAGCTCTTATTACCAATCATGTGACAGAATATGTTTTGACTTATACGTGATGATACATATTTTGCCGGGAAACCGGCTACTAATTAATACATTTGGTAAATTATCATATCGATCCAGCCTGGATAGATATCGCGATTGCACTTCAACATTGAACATTTGGCATATATTTCTGCTTTTTTGCGAATTTAGGTTGAAGTTTTACCATCTAAACCTCTGAGGGCAATATTTAAACAATATTGAATGGATATTTTGCACCCAAAACCCTTGAACCGCAATTTTACCACTACCGGTCTATATCTTGAAGGATTTTGACAGTACAATATTTTAATTTGCCTCTTAAGATCTTCTTTTATATGCATAATAGAGTATCTATCAAGCCACTACCTGCAAGTATATAGAATGACGCTTCCTTCCTTCTATCCTGTGATTTGGTAAAGGCCACCTGTCTAAAAAGGCCACCTATCTTCAGAGGGTTTTTTTTTAGCGTTTCCCTTGGGTGCTTTAATAGACGGGTTTGACTGTATATTGTTTAAAGCCAAATAATTATGCTGGTGTCATTTGTAAGGCATCAATGTGACATAACGTAATCCATAAGAAACATGTATGTATTAAAACTGTAGGCACCTTAGCTAACAAACACGCATAAATTAAACTCTTTTATGTTTTAATTTGGTAATTCAAACAATGAAGTGATCAAATAAAAGTACAGTTTTACTAAGTTATAATTTTGCTACAATCCAATTAAATTTTAAAATCTATTCATACATGTACATGTATGAACACAACTAACAGTAGAAACATTCATCTCACGTAAGATTTTGTTTTTTCCAATTGTTTGGATCCTCCGACAGGCCATTTTATTCAAAATCTATCTCTGAATAACATATTTGAATACATGTACAAATGAATATCATATACTGCTTGAGAATAAGATATACACAATGTACATGTACATCAACCATAATAAGCGGTAACTGAAAGCGTAGCATATTGATAATAATAATATCTCACCTAAGATGGGTGTAGTCCCGGTTCTTATTCAGAGTCCAGGTCATGTCTGACATGTAGGACATAGACGAGTCTGGTCTGCTGGTCCTGGTCCTACCGGTGCTAGCCCTGGACCTGCCATAGTACGGCGTGGACTCCGGGGACATGGTGTAAGGGGTGCTGGCAGGGGGGGAGCTGGTCTGGTGGGTCTCCAGGTCCTCGGCTATGGTCTCAAGGACGCTGTCACAGCCGGCTGCCTCGGCAAGGGTGATCAGAGAACGACAGATGGCAGAGAGGATGGACTGGTAGACAAGCTCTGAGTGGAAGACTAGAAGAAAAAATGGCACAATAACTCAAATAAGTGTGTTGTGTTGTGTTGTGGACTAGTGGATAAGTCACCCGACTGCACATCACAAGGTACAGGGTTCAAGTCCTGCTGCAGAACTAATGTCCTTTGGCAAGACATAAATCTACATTTGCCACTCTTCACCCAGCTGTAAATGGGTACCTGATATGCTTGAGCACTAGTTACTTTGGCAGCTCGGCTACAACCAGGGTAATATGTGTAAAGCGCCATGAGCCTGGCGGATACCAATTTGGATAAATATCCATCTTATTATTATAAGGGACAAAAGCAGAAAGAACTTACAGAGAAGCTCTGCTACCAGGACATCATCAGCTGTGACATCAGTCACTCCTGCCTCTGACCGAGGGGACGGGAAGGCCTGGAGATGCTTAGTAGCTGACAGACGCTGCTTGGAGCTAGCAGAGAGGCTCTTGGTACCGGTAATAGAGGGCTGCTTGCCCTGGTGGGAGAAGAATAGAATAGAAGAGTCAATGTCAGAAATAATGCAGTGAGGGAGATAGGTGATCTTTGATGCAGTTACCTTATGCATGGTGGTGTGTATAAATTAATTCATGATTTTACAGTTTCACCATGTGAGTCCTGAAAGGGACTGTTTGGTTTGAAATGAGGGAAATATAGTGCCATAAACATGACACTAAAGGAATACAACTACATATACATGCAATAATTCTTCAGTTTCAATAATAAGACAAGATCCAAGCTTTTCTCTTTTTGTTTATCATAAAAACTGTTAAACTATGCTTCCTTTAAATTCAATTCAACTTAATTTATTTGGCATCATAGAAAAAAATCAAGTAAAAATCATACATAGAGAATATGCCAAATTTTGTTAACAATGAAAATTGAAGTCATATTGGAACAACAACAGATTTTTAATATGATTAATTCATTACTTGTTCATTTCATTTGAAACTGCAGAATTCATAGCTAGGTGACTGAAAAACTATGCGTGGTTAAAGCACTGTCAACTGTTTCTGAAAAACTGTTTAAATTTAATTCATTATAATATTTATTCTATGTCATAGGGTCAACAAACAAGAACATCATAAGAGGAGAACTTATTTCCATTCCTTCCAAATCGTGGATTTAAAGAATATAAAGTATAGAACCAAAAGTGACAATAAGTTTTTTCTTACCTGTCCAAGTAGTATGTTAAGGAGTTCATGGCAAGCGCTCTTGATATCATTGACGTAGGCAAAGAGGATCTCACTCTGATCCCCGATGCTGTCTAGCATGACCTCGGTGAAGACATCAGGGGGCTGGGAGAGAGAGTCAAAGCAGCGAGAAATTAAATGATATTATGATAGTTTTATGTCCAACTTGTGTTATCATTTGCTTCATTGAGCAAGTATGTGATCTCTATAAACATCAATGACAAAACAGTAAAATTTACTAGAAATGAACAATACTATCTTGTGTTGTCAGCCACTACTAATTTACTTGGTAATGATACATAATATAACCTTCCTAATTTCAATACAGATACGGTATACAGAACAGAGCAGTTAGTTTACTGGATCCTATTGTATAGTCACTAAACAATAGGATCCATAGTAGAGGAAGGATTGTTAAACTTGGGATAATCCCCTACCCGCCACCCACGTCTGTTGTTACAAACAATGTATCAACCTTGACTTTGCTTGAGGAAACAATGGATTAAAACTTCAACGATCAAGCGCACCCCCCCCCCCCTCCAAGAAGCTCATGGGTGAAATGAAATCTACATGTATATATCATTCTGCTTTAGGATCAGTTGAACTACATGTATACTAAGCTCTTTATCAAAGTTTTAAGCTTACTGTTTACCCTGCCTGTCTCTAGAGTTACTTTCTTATCATTATATAAAGCCACACAGTCATCAAGATTCCAGGTAGTGAAGATTAAATGGCACTATTCCTCGCTTCCTCTTCAATGCCATGATAGAGAATCCTAGCCTAAATCATTTATTTGGGTACTTAATATGACAAGTCATCAGAATGTTCTGGCCTAGCTAGAATAAACGAATGAGATTTCAAACAGCCTAATAACAGTATTCAGGTTTCATCTGAACTGCCTGCATAATTAATTACAACGAAGTATAGTGCTATCTACACCTCATCCCTAAGACTCTAGCTTGATATGACATAACATATCCTGAATGTTAATATCTATTGTACATTCTAGTTCCATATTTAATAATGTAAATTACATAAAATGTATTGAAGCATACATATTTCGTGAAACATTCAAGAATCCCAATTGGATCTGACTTCAAGATAAGACATTAATTTAAATAAAGGCCTCAATGATGACTAAGAGCGACTTACCCATGATCTTTCAAAAGACTTCTCCACATCAAACAGGAAGAGTTCTGATATCTTCTTGAGTTTGGAATCAATCTTGGTATCGATCACATGGTTGACCTGATCAACAATGCTCCTCAGCTTCGCATTGGCTGAAAAAAATTAATATTCAATTCAATGAAAATATGTTTTTATTTATTCAATTGTCTAAACAAAGAAAACTTCATATTTACAGGGGAAATCATGTTATGAACGGACAATTAAAACTTAAACATGGCCTTCCACTTCAAGAGTTGTTTATTTAAAGTCTATTGTCTGCCAAGAGCCAGAAGGCATTAACTCTATGCAAAAATCATATCATTAATGCCCTTCTGGATCTCGACTGATGGCATACAACTTATATTCATTTTAATTGGTTTAATTACCACACTGCAATTACATTCAAGAGTAATACTTATATCAGTCTATAAGGGACTGTAAGAGTGAAAACAAAAATGCACAAAATACTGATCTATATGAATATGTATTCATCTCTGTTATATATTTTTTGTCTGGAAATATATTCTGAATTGAATTGAATTTAATTCATTGCATTATCAAAAAGTCATGACCTTGACCCTTGACCTACCTGTATGTACTTGATGTAGGAAGGCATCGATATTCATAGAGTTCCAGGCCAGTGAAGAGAGCCCAGGCTGCAAGGCCACCATGACGGCTCGAGTATGGGTCTGGAACAAGCCATGGACCGGTTCCCTGATCTTGTAGCAGATGTCTTTGAACTCCTTCAGACACAGTTCAAGATGGTTCATGTAGCTCTTGAAGCGTTGCTCCTACCGTCGGAGGAAAAGCAAAATATTTTCATTGTCAGCTATAAAATAAAGATATTCAAAACTTGTTGCAACATAATGGCCATTAAAGCCCCATGCACTGCACTACTTGTAGCTACTTGCGCCCTCTATACAGCAAACAATGCCTAATTGGTGCCTGTCGGTCCCCCATGATCCTCTTTTTCTTGTGTTAATTGAGAGCTGAGTTGACGAGATAGCCACCTGTCAGTGACCTTGCTGGGTGGTCTAATCCCTCCTGTCCACACACGTACTGACGAGCTTTAAAACTTGTCGCAACATAATGGCCATTACAAATTAAAATGGAAGTAATCATCAAAATTATTTTGATCTCTTTATGTAGAGGCGTCATAGTCGAGCACTTGACTAAAAAAGCATAGATTATGGATTCAGTCCCTGACATGGCATTAGTGTACTTTGGCAAGGCATTCATCTACATTTGCCACTCCATACCTAGGAGAGAAATGGGGACCTTATAGGTGACGAAAGCATTTTTGATAGTAATTGCCATATGCCCTCATGTTGACCATATGGTAGGAATACTCCCCAGGGAGTGGAGATGGTGCACACTGTGTGCCTGAAAGAATCCAATGACCCCATGGTAATAATAATCTGTAAAGTGCTTAGGTACATCTACCTGTGTTGCGCGCTAAATAAATCCAGATTTAGTATCCTACACCATGATCAGTCTACTTTTTCAGCTTTTACTTTAAATTCTATAAGGCGACTGAGAAAAGGTTTTAATAATCTTGAGAATATCTTTATTATAAAAGCAATCATCAACTAGTAAAGCACCAAAAAGTTTTCATCATTTGGAAAGGAGCTAAGATTGAAAGAAGAAGGAAAAGAACATACCTGTTTGGCTACAGCTAGGGCAGACTCTGGGATCTCGATATCCAGTCTCTTCATCCAACGACATTCTTGAACTAGCTGCAGCACTCTGAAAGGTCAGGCAAAGATAGGGAAAATAAACCGTTGATGAAACAGTAGACAATAATTTCAACAGCATCACAGTCTTTAAAACAATGCCAAGTTACCAGCATTCATGTAAATGATAATCGCATTGCTCTGACAGGCATACATTTACAGGTAGCAATATTACAAGTCTTCATCATCTCACATAGACGTATTCTGTACAAACTATAAATCAATGATATGGTAAAACAGATGTAAAAGGTTTTATAGATATGACACAGGAGTATCGTTAAGAGACTGTGATGACGATGATAACGATTATGATTACCATGAGGTTCATGGTACTGATGATGATGATGATGATGGTGTTGATGATGATACAATGGGAAACTTGTAAATATTTGGAGGTCATCCTAAATTTTACAGGTCCTCATTGCCCATGAACCTTAATCTTATTAAACCCTACTTACAGTCTACGCAATTAGGCAAAATAAACTTAGTTTGCAGGCACAAACGCTGTCTGTGCGAGACTATGATGACTGCAAGGTCTACTGCACACCACAGGCTCTATAAGGTACATGTATAGACAAGTTTTGGAAACGCCCCCTCTCAAAAAATGAAATGGAAGCTCTTATTACCAATCATGTGAAAGAATATGTTTTGATTAATACATGATGATACAAATTTTGCTGGGAAACCACCTACTAATTGATATATTTGGTAAATTATTATATCTATTCGGACTGGATAGATATCGCGTAGTCCCATATACGTCTTTCTGTGTACAGTGCTTGTAACTTTACCAGGACTGGGCCAAATTTCTTATCATTTTGATGATTCCAGAACCTTGCAGTACACACCAATACTTATATGCTAGATGATCAACCATTTCTGATCGATTCCATAACGTTTCTTTCACAATGCGATCGCATGACCAGAACTGGTCTATATCTTTAAGCTGCTCCTTCACACTGCCAGAGACTGATAGAGCTAAGGTCGACTCAAGGTTTTAGGAACAAGAAATACCTGCAGACTAAACTAACCTGTCATCAGCATTGACGACCACCTCTCCAGTATTGGGATGCACTACAAGCAGCGTGGCCCTCAGTCCCAACTTGGCTTGTTCAATACACCCCTTCCACTGCTGAAGCCAAAGACTTTCAAAGGTCACTAGAGCCGTAGCGACCCTGTTGTAGAACTTGACGATGCGGGCGAATTCCCGTAGGTGGACCACGGCTCGATTCTCTCTGAACACCTTCATGGGTTCCTCGATGCGCTCCAGGAGCTGCCGGGACCAGTGGACGGCACCAGAGACGGGAGGTGCATTGCGTACCATCGGTGGATCCTCCTATAATTGGAAAAATATTCAACATCATCAGTGAGAACTTTAGCCATTACCTCCCAATTCCAAAGCAAATGCCTCCCTCAAAAGCTGATGCCAGTTTGTACTGTTCTAAGTGGCCACTTTCATCTTTGTCATGCCCATTAATACAAAATTTACACTAGTTGTAACTTTAGATATTGAGAAGTTATCATTGTTGTTAAAGCAAAACCAGTACCAGATTTTTTGTGTGTTTGAGGGAAATATTGAAACAATCATTTTTATGTCAAAGTTAACATTCTATCATATTTGGAAGACTTGAGTACTATATCTACAATCCAAAGTCTTATCAGCAGGAAAACTATCAAATCAATTCAGAATATCATTCCTTTGTTGATTCATATAATATGTCCCTATAATATCACATCAATACCGAGGTCCCTGGTTCTTTACATGTACAAATGATTACAATACTTCCCTATCATCAAACAGATCACAGCAGACAACACCACAACCATGTTTTTATCAATTTAGTCATAGCATTTTTTGTCAGAAGGTCAAGGGTCAACCTACCTTGTTCTTCTCGTAGAGTTCTTTGACTTCTTCCAGATCTGTCTCGTACCACTTGAAGATATCAATGTACTTCTCAGAGACCGTACGCTTCATTCCGTAACGATGCATCACTGGAAGAAACCTGGTGAGTGATAAAAGGTATAGTCATCAATCATCAACATATTATTTTATTAGACAAAGTGACAGGAGAAATGATTTTCAGGTATTTTGAAGCTTGAAGACATCGGTCAAAGTCAATCAATCAGGATCTCTGCTGACTACTTGAGTCATCTTCATCAGTCTCTTTAATTGTATCGTTTTTCACAATTTATTCCAGTCCCTAAAATTGTACAGTAAAACCTGTATATAAGGATCACTCAAGGGAGTCAAGAAAAGGGTTGTTGGTTTGTTTGTTTTCTTTGGGGGGGGGGGAGGGGAGTTCAGCTAGTCTATTAGTCTATTATGTAAAGGTTGCTTTGTTCAATGGTCTTTAAAGATCGGTGGACTTCTAGGTAAATTGCTGTTTCGTCTATAACCACTTCATCAACTACCCAAATAGTCTATTCCCATATGGTCTACACCCAACAAAATGACAAAATGGGCATTAGTCATGCTGGGAGTTAGACCATCTCGAAATTAGACCAAATGACTATTAGCTTAAATGGTCATTAGACCAAATGACTATTAGCTTAAATGGTCATTAGACCAAATGATAAGAAGACAAAGTTATTTTTAGACCATGTGGATAGTAGACAGGCTGGGTGTAGACCAAACGGCAAAGCAGGTTTGATTCTGCATGGTTCCATCAAACGTACACCTCATTATTCAACTCACCTAGTGAGAACATCGAGGCCCTCGTGAGTCTTCATCTTCCTCACAAACACAGCCTGTAGGTACGCACTGAGGTACAGCTCAATCTGCTGTACGGTCGTCAAGAACTCCTCGTACGCCTCATTGAACTTGTCCTTCTCCCGACCTTCGACATCTAGCATGATCGCCGTGGTGATGTTACTCTCCAGGAGCTTCTTCATCGTCTGCATGTGATCAACGACGATCGACATGACGCTTGGACCATCATCATTCACGTCATCGACCTTGTACAGCTTACCTGTAAGTAAATGATAAACCCAGAGGATTTTTTTGTATTAACTTTTTGTTGTTGATGTTAAATGACACAAGAATTACTGCACGTTGTGGACCGATTTTTTCAACGATGAAATACTGTATAACACACATTTTCCCTTAAGTCTGGCCCATGTAAACTCTAGCTTAATATTCAACATTTTAAAGAATACCATAAAAGTTCCAAACTGCAACACATGAAAAAATCCACAGACACATAAATGTAAACCTTACAAGTATCCTAAGTAGATATGACACACTCAAATCTTTATTTTACTCACACTATGACAAAGCTATAATTTCAGGAGGGTAACCGTATAGTGGCAAATATTTCACTCTTCTTATGTTACTCTATCCACCTTTCCATCTTACTCTTTCTTAAAGCGCATAGACATATTGTGATATGTGCTATATAAGTACGGTATATTATTATTATTATTAAATAGAATAGAAAATATCTTACGCAGGAGGGCAGCATTCTGGGCCGTCAATCCAGTACCATTGCTGTTCATTTCATTGATCTCATCTGCGTTGGACAAGGCCTCACTCATGGAGGGATCATCATTAGGACTGTCAGCCCTGGTGCTCACCCCTTCTTCCTCCTCCACGATGCCTTCCAGCACTCCTGCGTGTGTCATGGTGGCTGTCTTGGTGGGACTCACAGATTTGGGAATGTCTGGATGGATCAGGGGAACAATTCACAAAATTGTCTTATCTGCAATGTCTTGTTTTATCTTGTCCTGTTATGAATTGTTTTGTCATGTCCTTGTCTTATCATATTATGTCATTTTATGTCCTTTGTGTCCCGTCTTGTCATTCTTTCGATTATTTAGACACTTTAAAATGGGTTATGAAAATTTGTTATTATATTATATCTATTTTACTGTGATTACTAAGACACTTTAAAAAGATTTATGAAAACAATGTTCATAATATATTTATTCTTAGGAACCTACAAAAACAAGCTATGCTTTCCTGTAGGTTCCTGTTTCATTTCATAATTTGTTAACTTACTTTGTCAACTATGTTCTTTATCGTGTAAACAATTGATATGAAATAGAATAAATTTGAATCAATATACAAGCAATGCTAGACTGTCATTATAAACTACAATATATAAATGCATTTGGTAAAAACTCTCTGTGCTACACATGACAATAATCTTCACTTCATCTGAGCTTTTGTCCTAGGATATTCTCATTTCAAATACCTTGCATTTCTTTGTGTACTTCATACTAAAAGTTGATTTCTTGTAATGTTATTTCAAAGAGGAACCCTAGGTAACTCAAATTTTCACGCAAGCTGCAAATTCAAGTCTTATCTAAATATGAAATGGTAAACCAAACAAACAATAGTTATTTTCTTCTAGTGACATATTAAAGTGCAATACGCTTTACATCTTTTTAATGTTATAACACAGAGCTCAATGAATACGCGGAGAACCTTGTTGTGCGCAGTTGACATTTATTTGCACGTTAGTAAAAAACAAAAAACATAGTTTACCAATTCATATCTGAACACGCCCCTATGTTTCCAACATCTTTTCTAATAATGTCAATCAATCAAAAATCAAGTAAATGAACCAAATTCCCTTCCATGGTGAAAAGACTGCCGTGGTCGGGTGGTTAAGTCGCTGGACTGTCAATCACAACGTCCGCAGATCAAGACCTGCCGCGGCACTAATGTCCTATGGCAAGATACTGATCTACATTTGCCACTCTCCACCCAGGTGTTAAATGGGTACCCAGTAGGATGCGAAAGCTAAATGTGATTAGATTAGCAAGCGTGCGCTTGTAAAAATGATGCCTGGCTGGAATGCTCCCCAGGGAGTGGAGAATGTGCATACATTGTGTGCGGGTAAGCCTGAATCCGATGACAAGGGTAATAATATATATTTCTGTAAAGCACTATGAGGGCATAATTCGGTCCTGAAAAGTGCTATATAAGAACAAACTATTATTTTTATTATTATTTTGATAATGTCAATCAATCAAAAATCGAGTAAATGAACCAAATTCCTTTCCATGGTGGAAAGACTCCACCAACTCACCAAGGGAGTCACTGGCCACACTACCTCCAGGTCCAGCCAGCTCCATGAGCTCATCAGAGGCATCGTCCTCCAGCAGTAGGTCCTCCTTACGAGGGCGCGGAAGACCTTCTGCATTCTTGGCCAGCTTGCCGTACTGGACCAAGGTGTAGACGGCATCAATGACCTGCCGGATGCGGGCGCAGAAGGAGTCCAGGTGACCAAAGATGGATTCCTCATCATTGAAGGCCACTCCATGACCCTGCTCAGAGTCACCTGAGAAAGGAGAAAGTGGAAAAATGTTAAGTTCGTTTCCATAAATATGTATCATTAAGATCTGATTATTTTCATCTGAGGACTATGACCTTATAACTTCACTATCTGAAAGATTCATATCTGAATCGTCTCACTAGACTAATTCCTATCCAAACTACAGACATGTTCATTTCAAGGTCTCTGCAACATCACTCTATACTGCCATGGTTATATACAATGTAGGCTTTAGAGACTTCTTGTTCAATGTAAATGTCTTTGTTTTTGATAATCAATTATTGGTAGTTAAGTTATCAATCTTAACAATAGAATTTCAATAAATAAAGTGAAACCAGTAGGTCTTCCCTGCTAACAAGCATATCCAACAGTGAACATGCACAAATGCAATCTCACACCTCAAACTAAGTCTGTTTCATCATTTCAGTACATGAGATCAATATACAAATGCTGTTCATATTGGAACAAAGAAAGTATGTGCATATCATCAATCCTGACACCATATTGTTTTCCGTCAAGAAAACAAACAAGTCCCTGGAACAAGAACCAAATATGACAATCCACCAACAGACGGAATAACAATGCATTTATTTTAAGTTTACAAATCAATATCATTACTATTCTTAAGACAAATCTCTACACTTACCAGTCAAATTAATCAAGCAGAATTAAAATATCATCAGATTTATAGCAATTCCCAATAGAAAGATTTTTATATACAAAACAAAGCCATTACCTAAAGGATCTATAACCATCTTCAGTGCATGGGACCAAAACAAAAGGGTGAATAATGTGACTGAATGCTCACAGTAAAATTCAGAACAACCTTCAATAAACGTGTACATCAGCAATCGACCCTGCTATCAAAACTTCACCTAACATTAATCAGACTCACCAAAAGACAAATTAGGGATATCTGGAGAAAAAAAGATTAATCATAAAACCAATATGTCATCATCAACAGTAAACAAGGTAGCTAAGTGGAACCTGGGCTCTGGCTGTTTCACCTAGCTACCATAGTGCAGACAGTGTGAGGGGGGGGGGGGCGGGGTGAAGATTGTTGCTAGTACTATATTTAGTATAAAAAGCAAACAACATGGTAATAGAAGATTAAGTGAATATATTACAAGTTTGAAAATGACTATTTTGATCTTATTTTCATTTAACAATTTAATTTATGAGGCAGAGTTGGATTTCTTTATTTAGATTTCACTCACAAATAACTCCAGTTTATTAAGCTTCATTTCCCAAGCACTCACTATCCTTTCAATGGTTCATTAACTATATTCCTCCTACACCTAATATGAAATCACATTAAACATAGTAATACACATTATATACTATATAATGAATATCCAGTCAAACCTGCTTTAGCGACCACCTGTATAGAAAGACCACCTGTCTACAAAGACCACATTTTTTGTTTCCCTTGAAAATGGTTTCTCATTGAAACATGTACTAAAGGAACCTGTACATAAAGACCATCTGCCTATAAAGACCACTTTTCGTGTCTCCCTTGGGTGGTCTTTATAGACAGGTTTCACTGTAGTAATATGCAAAGCACAAAGAGTGAACTGACCTGCAACAGAGGGTGTCTTGGAGGACTTGCCATGGCTGAGCCCCGCCCTAGAAAGCACACCCCTCTGTAGCCTTGAGGAGGGGGCACCTAGGGAGCTGATAGAGGGGAAATGGGTCAGGTTATGGGCCCCTCCTAGTCCGTCCCGTAGGCTTCGTACCATGTCCTTGTATGTGTTCTGAAAGAGAGGGATCATAAAGCGATTACAGTCATTTTCTGTTGAAAGCGGTTATAGTGAATTTCTGTTGACAGCTAGGAATTGCACCATATCCTTGCATGCGTTCTAAAATAGAAGGATCACAAATGAGCAGTTAAAGGGATTTCCTGTTAAATTTTTGGGCCCCTCCTAGTCCATCCTGCCGGCTTTGTACCATGTCCTTGTATGTGTTCTGAAAGAGAGGGATCATAGATGAGCGAATATAGAGACTTTCTGTTGCCCGGACTTATCCAGCATGAACATGGGGATTTAGACCCTCAAAGCAATACGATGGTTACAAGGCTTTACTCAAGATAAATACAATGAGTGCTACAGCTAGAATGATGGTCCTGGAAAATGTGTATCTTGGGTTGGACACCATGTAAATGTGCTAGTGCCTTATTTGATAGGATTTCAAATTGCTAGAAAGCCTAAAGAAATGTCAGTATGGTCCCTTGGAGCATATTGAAAGCATGCAGGCATATAGCCTGCATGCTTTAAACTGTGGCCATATTAAATGAGAAATTATGGTTTAATTTTTTTTTTTTTTTTACTGAAGAATAATGTTTATGATACCAAGGCCACTAGCTTGATATCAAGCATCCTGCAGTTCCAAAACAACTGATAACCTGCTAAATAATGTAGGGTAGCCTGTATGGCTAAGGTAAGAATTAGGTCTAACTTGCAGAGAACAAGAAACATACATCTTCACTCCATGCTTGCCTGTGGGGAACTGCCTGGGATTATGCATGCTTGCAACCTCAGGGGCATATATCTATATTACCTAACATGTACATTTTTATCACAATATTCAAATAACAGAGCTTGTAAATGTAAGGGGGTTCATGAATATACATATATTTGTGTGCATATAAATGACCTGTTCTGATTGTACTGAACCATGAACATGAAAGAAGGAACAAAAGACACTAAAGTTGAGAGAGTGAACATAGCATGAGAGAAGGTAATGGGGATGGTGATATTTTGCATATTGATGAATGCATTACTGAACAAATGAATATAATCCTCCTTAATATCCTGAGAATATAATAGAACCTCACATAGAGAGTGATGCAAGCCTTCATCCTTCCAAGGAGTGTATCGTCTGCAGGCATGACTTCCTTGCCTCGTTTCTTGACAGCCCTGGTCTTGCCCTGTGGGTCTGTACTCAAGATCCTGGTCTCAATCTCACTGTAGAACTTGGGCCAGAGAAGGTCTTCTTGGCCCGGTCCCTGGGTCTCCGAGAGAAGGAACTCCTTGCATGAGTTCACCAGCTGGTTGGTGACCTGGAGTCATTATCAAAGATAGATGTGGGATTGTTAGGAGGAAGATCTCAAGTTATATATTTATATTTCATTTTTTTTTAATAATTATTTCAATATTATGTGTTGGTATATAAGTAAACTATGACTTCACATGCCCTAAGGACTTTATTTATGTAGATCCCTCATCTCATTTTGTTAATGCAAATTATTTGTACTTATATTCAAGGTATTTTTTAATCAATAATGAAATAAATGAAATAAATGAATGAATTTGAATAGGTACAAGTACAATCAGGCCTTCTCATCTAAAGGGAAGACAATTTATTTGATATGATTAGATCATTTATTACCAAATTTCCTTTCACATAGATACAATAAACATAATATACGTATGTATGTAGAAATATGCTAATTGAGGTTAGTGCCATCAATATATATATATATATATACATAGTTATTTGAAATTAAAATTTATTTACAATTAACGTCAAAATTTAAAATTGACAATATTTACAGAAAAATGTTACATTTGAATCAAAAATTTTCTTTCATCAATATTTGTTTGGGGTTTCTTCAGTCAAACAAGTTGAATCACTCCCAAATAAACGAATGTCATATGATACTGATAGGCTCTTCAAATTAAGGTTACAATACAAATGAAATCTCATTCAGTATACCACAAGAAAGGAACAACTGAATTTCGATAATAACAAGACATAACACTTTCAAACTGAATTTCAATCAAAATAAAAACAAGTATTTAGAATATCAATAAATACATGTAGGCCTAAAAGGTGTCCTATTTTCAACGAATCATGATGAAATTATACCTTGGTGAAGAGGAGTCCAAGGTAGCCCTTCCTGGCGTAGAACCTTGAGATAGAATCCATCTGCTTGACGCTGCTCATCAGACCTGGTAGGGCTCCACTCACGATGGATAGAGGGGTAGCTCCATGGTAGAGAAGCTCAAAGTGCCTCCGTAGGGCCTCAAGGTACTTCACCTTGTCTTTCGTCTCATTGGCTGCGTCCGTGATGCTGCAAGGGTGTGTCAGGATTAAAATTGCAGGAATTGAGAATTTAGGAGAGGTATACTGTATTAGAGAACCGGTAATGATTTAATAATATGTCATTATTGAATATAAATTAAATCTCAGTAATAGAGCAGTGGTTCTGTAACCAGAAGGTCCCGGGTTCAACACCAAAAGGATACGCTAGTGACCTTTAATCCTCATCACCAAGAGCCTTAGAGAGGATTTAAAGCAGTTGGTCCCCCTGGTTGCTTACTTGCAAGCATGTTTTCTTAGCAGTCAGGCAAAAGAAACAAAGCAATTTAAAATTGGGGGATGGGCAAAAAAGGGCAACCCCCCCCCCCCCCAAAAAAAAAAAAATGGGTATGCTGTCATTGCTGTGTGAATGAAATGTAAACAAAAACTGTTTATTCATTGCAATGTGTACTTATCATGGTTATAGACAGTAGGTATTATACTGTACATGTATGCATCAAAATAATTATAGTATCCTTGGGCTATATTTTTCATAAGTATTCCAAGGAGCACTGGCACATGGACTATAAGTTCATTAGCCAGGGTGTCCTATCACAAAACCAAAGCTCAAACGATCAATACCTGCCACGTACGTTTGGCGATTGCTAAGCTTTGTGTTCCTGGGCCCTGATTGGCTATTATTGACTAGGCTGTTCTAAGTACAGAACATTGATCAGACTATTTCTTACCTTGCATCAATGGCTTTCCATTTCTTGATGATCTTAGACTTGGATGTGATGAGGACACCAATAACAGTCTTACACTCCTTACCCTTGAGCTGCTCTATGATACTGGACAGCATGCGCTGACGACGCCTCCATCGTTCCAGCTCGTTAAGAGGCCCAGAGGTAGGGTCCATGAACCTACAGTAGAAAAGACAGAGAGAATGCATGATAACCTAATACAGTCAAACCTGTCTATACCGACCACCCAAGGGAAACACAAAAAGTGGTCTTTATAGACAGTTTCCTTTAGTACATGTTTCAAAGAGAAACCATTTTCAAGGGAAACAGAAAATGTGGTCCTTGTAGACAGGTGGTCTTTGAAGACAGGTGGTCACTAAAGCAGGTTTGACTGTTTGTCATATTCAGAAAGTATTCTAGTTTAAGCAAATAAAAAGATGGGACTTTCTTTACCCGGATTTCTATGGGCTAATGATTGAGAAGTACAGAGAAAATATAGAATAACATAAACCCTGTACACGGAACCCATGTCGGAATTGGTTCAGTGCGAGATCTATTTCAAGCAAGTGCATAAAGGTGTGTCGATCAGTCTACTCACAAGTCACTTCTATGTTGATTGAGAGCACATCTTAACTTGAAAAGTCTCTATACACAAGTAAAATTGCAAGCTCATATGTTGAAGTATTATGACATGGAACTACAGTGAAACCTGTACATAAAGACTGCTCAAGGGAAAGATGGAAAGTGGTCATTATAGGCAGGTGGTCTTAATGTGCAGGTTCCTTTAGTACAGGTTTCTATGAGAAATGATTGTCAAGGCCAAGGGAAACAAAAATATGTGGTCTTTACAGACAGGTGGTCTTTATGCAGGTGGACGCTATAGATTACAAAAACAGGTTTCATATACAAAACAAATTATATTTGGGTGATCGATAGACTTTAAGCCTTTCTGCATCTCACCTCTCATCTCCCCCATCAGCCAAGGCATTGTCGATGGTTGAGATCCACTCAGTGACTAGGGCCTCGTACTCACTGACGATACCCTGATCATACGATGTCGTACGATGCTTGCTGAACTCCTGGCTCACGATGTTATCTGGTCTTCTCAGTACCTGCAAACAACACCCAGAAAGTTTTCATAAATAATATAAATCATAACATTTTCTTTCATAAATTTCTTACATAAACATTTTATGTAATTTTATTTAGTCTAGGAATCACCTTATATGCCTGTTGGCTTAATTGTTATTCCTACCAAATCAAGAGTAGTACAAGTTTCTATTTTATCTTTGTTATTAATTGTTGATTTATTCTTTTTGTTTTTAACCAAATGTGGAAATAAACTTGAATTGAATTGATATATTTCTTATAACCCAGTGCACTTATAGCAAATTGCATTTAATTAAAAGTAAATGGGTTAAAAACAACCAAACCACAAAATTAAAAATATATTTAAGTTCAGAAGCAAAAGGTGCATACTACATGTACAAGTATATGATTGTTAAACTTAAGATGAAGTACTGTAATTAAGTCATCAAATTTTGAAGAATGTTCATGGTCTATTTGCTTCTCCTGAAAGAACTATTCTTCTGATGATATAAACCACTCAGTCTAATCACTGAATAACTTTTGTCTGGTAAACTAGTAATCCCTAAATCACTTTCATAAATTGCAAAAGCATAAATACTTGACAAGACATGTACTAATGAAGTCCTTGCCTTCTTTTCCCTTCTTTTCCCTTACAGACCTGAGCATGAATTCTTTTTAAAAATCTAATTATAAATGATTACAAAGTAGATTTACATCTACATACAGTACATGGACGAACAACATGCAACATTACAGCAAAATATCTAATTTTAGATTTCCCTTATGAAAAGAGAGCTATGAATGGATGACTAATACGACACTAACTATTAAAGAACATACAGTAAACATCATACAAAACAGGTACATTACTGACATTGTTTACAAAAGCTGGTTGGAAATACTTAAATAGAGCAAAATTGATGTTAATCAGTCTACAGACATGTTGCCAGTGTATGGGCAAATGTTTTAAATGAGCTTGGCATAATAAGTGAAGCGAGTGATTGAGCATTTCAAAGATCTCTCTCAGAGCAAGTTCTGTTTGCTGTATCGAGCGATTTACTACAAAACAAGTACACCCTATAAGGAACAACAGTAAGTTTTGCATAATATGACAAAACAGATACCCTGATATGTTGGATCCCTATGTACAATTGAATGAATAGAACCTGAAAAATACTCAAACAAGAGAGGTGTTAAACCTGAAATCAATAGAGAATCATTCATTTGATAACTGACTTAAACAGATTCAGGGAAGAAAAAGAAAATACCTAGAAAAGAAAACAAATTGGGAGGAGGGGGTCTACAACATGCAATTTTTAACTAATCTTCGATTCTAGTATGATTTTTTTTCCTGAATGTACCGTACATGTACACTGATGCAAGCACACTAGAGGAGGGGGGGGGGGGAAGGATGGTCTCATTGATTAGCTTTGACAAAATCATGTTCAAGCAAAGCACAATAAGCAGGCATAACATTAATCTACCTTCTGACACATATTCCTGGAAGAAAAAATGTATATATTGCTGGCCTCTTTATTAATACAAATTATGACATATTGTAAGAAAAAACGGGTTATTTGAAATGCAGATGGAAACAATTTTTTTTCATGCGTAATCAAGCAACATGCACATGCATATAATACAAAGTCCCTCACCACCGAAGTATAAAGTAAAGGAGACCCTTGTCTGGAAATCAGAAGCTGTTAGTATTCAATCGAAATGGCAATAAAAACATTATTATTAGTATCACATAGGTTTAAATAATATATATATCCTCAGTGATGTTCATCCTTTTTTTTTTTTTTTAACTGCTAAACAAGGTATAGATGAATGTAGATCGATCTAGACCTTAATGGTTTTAGATCTACCACTAGTATCAGGAAAGATCTATCAAACCAAGAAGTTACTTGATTAAACTAGATCTACATCTAAAAGTACCCAACCACCTACGGACAGAGTTAAACTTCTCCTACAATCCTAATTACCCAAGGTCTCAGCTCAACCCTCTGGAATTCACAGCTCTTAATTCTCCTCTTTCCTCAACCTGAGCTCTTCTCTCTCGCCAACTCTACCCTTGCAACTATTGTTTTACAATACATCCACCAAATTCATTCTACCTGTGCCTCCTGCTATACCCTCTCACTACCAGTTTTAGGGACCTAATCAGACCCTTGCAGCAGTATACCACCAATCTACAAAGTCAACGAAGGAAGGAAGAGAAGAAGAAATACTGTATCTCCATGCAATGCACCCAATGCCACAGTGCTAATCTCTATTGTTTTTGTGCCAGCCACAAATCCCCTGATCCATGGTTCAAGTGCGTGTATTTTAAATCTTTACTATCTGATCCACTACAACTTCTCATCCGTATCTTGTACCTGACAAAAAAAAATTGTACATGAAAGTTCTAGGAAATTTCACCCTCTTTCCATTGATACCAATATCATTTCATAAATTTGTAATTTTGCTGATGTGAATTAGCACTATCCGTCAGTTGTCAAACCAATCTGTTGTCTCATATGGTCTCTGTATTGAATATGTACAGTGTACAGTGCACGCAACAAAGTACTTTGACACTGTGCTTGTTACACTCTTTTGTTTTTTAAATATCCAAGTGTAACTGTTTTATTCATGGAAAAGAAATTGAATAGTCTGTCAGTCCTGCCACAACCTGTGCTGTGTTTGTTTGATTTTTTTTTCATATAATTTAGCTTTCATGTACGCACGCAATGCGCATGGCACAATGGGCATAAACAATTGGCGTTAGTACTTTTGCACAAAAATGTGTGCCTGTACGTGGCACGCAAGGAATGAGAGATTCTGTGTGCACGGCAAGCGACCGGAAACCTGATTTAATATGTGAGCGTGGCACATCAGTGCATTCACAGATCAGTGTTTTTGGCACGATATGAGTAAATAAGCAGTTGAAAAAATTGTTTCCATATAATCATATATATGACATTTTAACTGAGTTTAAAAGAGTATAGTTAGGCCATAAGCCCTCTGCCATCTGTGTATAGCAGCATATTTCATGCAATTTTTAATCAAAAGCAAACTTGTTAAAACATTTTCTTAATTTAACATTGCATCGTCACTTCAAAATTTGCATACAAAATGTGATGGATGGAGTAAGACATATAAATGTTTATGTCAGAGGAAATGCTTAGGCACTTTGGTGATTTGTAACAAGAGTCTACAATACAATAAGTAGCCTAGATCTAGATCCATCTTTTAATGAAGATTTAATTTTGTACGGAATAAAGTTATAGGCCTAGATATTAGAAAACAAAAACAATCCAGGGCAACGTTTTCACGAACACGTCATATGTATGTAGTTCACCGACCTCCCATTGAAACATGAATGAAGGCATTTCAATGGGCTGTCAGCAAAATTGTACTTATTTATGAATTTATGTCAGTATGACCGTTTCGTGAAACGCTGCCCAGGAAGCCAAACTTGTTGTGGCAAAATCAATTCTTCTTCTCTTTTTCTCGTAAAGTACAATCCACCATCAGGTGTATGAATTCTTGAAACAATAATTAACAAATTAGTCCCCCCGAAACAAAAAAAGTATTAAAAGTCATTAACAAGTATAATATTTAGGAACTTCACAAAAGAAATCAAGGACTAAGTCAGACCCTAACTTATTTGAGGTTAGTCTTAATATGTTAATAAACTCTGCACACGTAACTGAAGACTATCAGAATCGGCGCTAGTTCAAAAGTCTATCCAAAATTTGACCCGTAACTCCAGTGTGGAGATACCCTACTAAAACATACCCAAAATGAAGTACCGGTAAATATTCATCAAATGTCCAAATAAAACCTAAAGGTCATAATTTAAAAGTCGATATGTTTGTTACCTGTTTTGTGTCAATTTTCTTATCTCATCTTATTCAGAGTATTTTTCCTAAAAAACGAAGACTTACAATATCCACTTTCTCACGGGATTCACAGCAAACTGAAGCACAACAATTGCATACCGTCCCCATACTCCATAGGCCATACCGTCCCGATGTGTGTTACGTTAGCGACTGTAATCTTAGTAATACGGTCGCTAACTGAACACATGCGCGCGCCCGCACCCCACCGTCGGTACGGTATGCAATTGTGCTGCAGTTTGCCGTGAATCCTATGAGAAAGTGCATATTATAAGCCTTCGTTTTTAGGAAAAACACTCTGATTATAAGATAAGATGAGAAAATTGACACGAAACAGGTTAGGCCTACTTTTAAATCATGACCTTTATTTGGACATTTGATATTGTTTACTTCATTTTGGGGAGGTTTTAGTAGGTTAACTCCACGCCGGAGTTACGGGTCAACTTTTGGATAGGCTTCTGAACTAGCGCCTCAGAATCTTCACTCTTCCATTTAGAAAATTAGAACTTAGTCAAACTCAAACAAAGATGCAGACCTGCTGCCTCGCAGATGAAGGAACGTTGACGGTCTCGCTGAGAGCAGCAGCATAACGTTCCAGATTGTTGAGGCATTGATTCTTATTTTCTTCACTGCACAAGCCCCAGTCTTTCTGAGCCTTCAGAAGAGGAAGGAAGATGTCAGACAGTAAAGTGTTCAGGTTGTCCAAAACACTGTGTCTGAGCTCCCCACAGAAAATATCCTTCTCCATGCGAACTGGATCCACTTCTTTCTCGACAGAATGCCGCAGAAAATACAGACATGTGGTTTCCTCAATGTTGACATCATTAAGATTTGCGAGCGAATCAACAACATGCAATTGCCTGGTGCTTTGCAAGCCACTGGGCTGAAGAGCTGAAGTTTGAGGGCGATCCGAGTAAAAGAAAAGTTTATTCAGACCTCCCTGTCCCAGAAATTGATTGATGAGTTCCAGGGTCCGAGGCTCGCACAGAAAATCTTCCAGCAGTGTCGGGTTGTCATTGAATCCTCCAATGTGGAAAGACTCTTGAATTTTGGTGGCAATCCACCAATGTCTTTCATCCATGTTTGAATACGTTCTTTAGCAGTCACTTGAATACATGGTTATATTTCACATTGCTGTCAAAGTTTAACTAGAAAATACTTGTGAATCTTCTAAAGTTTCGGCTTCGCTGTAAGGCGCCATATTGTGTACGGTAGTTATTGACAACAATCCGGTCTTTTCAGATATCCGACCTAGATCTATCCGACCAATTTCGTATTCATGTAAACGCCCTCTCCGTTATGGACATTACACTTTCTGATAAGGTTTTTATCATAACATTTTTTGTTTCTGTTTATATTTTCAGTATTATGTCATTTCTTTCTTCTATTAAGATCCATAGCGAATCGATTTTTTTTTTGTGCTCAAAAGGTAGTGCGCAGTCCAGTCTCCACAGAAAATGTCCTCCCGTGGCGCGTATTGATATCCATAATAAAGGCGGGGGCAACAGCCGGGGACAAAATTGTATTGACATTTATTTTTTCCCTTTCAAATATAATTTCGGGGAACCCATCCGCCCTCTGCTTGTCTGCAGACCGGGCTGCAGACTACCTTCATGGAGTAGTCCTATATTTCACGGGGAAAAAGCTCATGTGTTAAATTCTTTTTCCATGGTAGTTCAAGCTCAAATGTGGATATTCGAACCTCCCCTTTTTAAATTTGTATAATCACATTTTTTTTTTGGGGGGGAGGGGGTGTTTAAAGTGAAATTGTGCATTTGAAAGACTGAGAGCGAATTAGTAGTCATGGACATGAAGCATCTGTTTTGATAACAAGTTTATATAACATTGGGAAGGAAGGACTGTAGGCCATGGTTATTTAGTCTACCAATTCCAGGCCACCTGTTAGGGTGCTGCAGTGTCTATACCTTTTGTCCTTCTTTTTTTATTTAAAAATTGTATAGAAAGTGACAAATAAATAATAATATTAGTATGTCCGTGATCATGATAATTCACTGGCGAAGAAGCATATAACGAGAAAGAAGATAAGTTACAAGAATGTGGTACTAAACTAACTTGGGGCTGCTGCTTAAATATTTCAATCTGCTTCCGATTAAAACAGAATGTACAACATTATTATTTGTAATTATCCTCCTCGAAATAATATTTCAAGTTGATAGTGCTGTTGGTGCATAATACGTTTTATTACATTTCTTTCTTTTTTAATAATAAAATGAAAATTAATAATGATTTATTTGTATCAATAAATACAGTTTTTGAAACCAAGTTTTCGGAAGAATGACAAGAGCGTGTATGTCCACTAATAAACAGATACAAACTAAGCCAAATTTTCGACGACACATGATTGATGTGTGACATGGAATGAGGACGTATATATAGCGCTAGTGTTTTTTTTTTTTAATAATCATGTTTGATTTTCGAGAAGACTGTAAATATGTTTTTCACAGAATTGGAATAAATTTGGTATTCATAAGTATTACTTTCCGTAATGTGTCACAGCGTTCATAATTGTTATGTGATGCTTAGACTAGATTACTCGGATCCTTTTGATGACGAGAGTGATCAAAATAATACACTTCGACTAGATTTCTAGTCAGAATACTTGACTAGATTTTCCGGATCGTTGTGCAGGTGCCCGTGCATGGGATCACTTTTTCTAGTCAAATATGATTAGATTATATTTGTATTTGACTGTATTGTTCTTAGATTTTTTTTATTATTATTTTTTTTTTGGGGGGGGGGGGGGGGAGTGATTTCACGTTGAGGATTTATTTGGATCAACAAGAGAAAAGAGGTCGTAGGCATCCCCCCATCACATTGCCCCCATTATCCCTTAGTTTGGTCTGAAATTTTTGAAATTCATCCCTTTCCTCGGCATCTCACGAGCAGGTCCGACAATGTTTTGTGGTTGATGACAAGGTAGACAACTCTCTGTCCTCACATAATGACGTAATGACTCAAAATAGGACATCATTTATCTATAGGGTTTGAGTCTGACAAGGACAACCTCATCGATAAATTAGGACGATCTACGTAACAACTTCAAATCGGTTGACATGCTTTAATGAAGGAATGACGTTCATTTATAGAACTACAATGAATTATTTAACATTTCGAAAAGAGTTTTCATGTGCAGGAAAAATAAAACTAATTTATGTGTGGTAAAATTAGAATCCAGGGGGTGTTTCACAGAGATCCTAAGTTGAACTTATCTCTAAGTTGAACTTAACATTCATGGAAAGCCGTTAGCATCATTGAAAATATTTTGTAAAAGTTATTTCAAAAGGCATAAAAATGTTGATTGAAACTCATTCATATTTTCTATTATTAAGGAGATTTCATGTTATTGATGTGGAATTTATGAAAAGTCTAAAATACTTCATTTTTTGCTTTTGGAAATATTTAATTTTACGGCTACAAATGGCTTTCCATAATTGTTAAGTCCAACTTAGAGTTAAGTTCGACTTAAGATCTTTGTGAAACATCCCCTGGTTAGATTGCATGACCATTTTTTTTTAAAGCCCGGGAGAGGGAGGGGGAGACAGGAAAAGTCACAGAAGCAGAAGATAAAGAGAAAGGGAGGGAAAATAGCTTGTGTGTATATTTGAGAGAGGGGGAGAGAAAAATAGAGAGGGGAAAATGGAGAGAAATTAAGGAGGGGGGGGGAGGTAAAGGGGGATACATATAGGGAGAGAGAGAGAGGGGGCGGAGAGGCAGGGAGAGTGAGAAAGAGGAAGATACAAGGGAGAGGGGATCGAGGAGGAGGATGACGATGAGGAGGAGGAGAGCCAGAGAGAGAGAGAGAGAGAGAGAGAGAGAGGGGGGGGGGGGGGGGGGGGGTGGGGAGGATCGAAGCAGATCGAGGCAAAGCAGATGGAGGAGGTTGAGGGATCCATTAGATGGAACAATTGAAAATCAATATTCTTCATCTATTGAATGATAAATCGAAAGGAATTAATAAACACACATTATCATGAAGAAATCATTGGCTTTTGTCATACTCTAATTTTTATTTATATGGCCCTGACATTTAAAATATCACAAAGGACTTCATCTGTTTTTAATCATTATTTTGTTTAATCGTTCTGTGTGTCGAGATCGACACTTGCTGGGAAGTCTGGCCTGATATTAAATTGGTTTCAATAGAAGCAGAAAAATGAGAGGATCAGGTCAGTGAAAGTAAGAGCAAATTCCGATTAAAAATTAGAAAGTTGTGAATTTTAAAAAGTTACAATCAATCAAACACAAATTGGCAACCCTGTAACGTATTTTGAGAGCTCTTCTCCAATTACGTAAAGTCTCATAAACTTTAATTTTCTTCATTATTGATTACGGCAGTGGCGGATCCAGGGGGAGGGCCCCCCACCCTCTGGGAAAAAAATGAGTATTATTACATTTTGTAACGTTAATTTTACCTTTTCTTGGAGATGCCCCCCCCCCCCCTGGCGCTCAAGGGGGGGGGGGGGGGTGCAATTTTTCAAATTTAGTGCTAACTATACCCCCCCCCCCCCCCACTAAGCGAATTTTCGGCTGGCGCGATTCTTAATTTTTTAGGAGCCAAACAAAAATTAGTGCTCACTACCACCACCCCCCCCCCCCTCCATTGAGCGAAATATTGGCCGGCACGATTTTCATATTTCAGCACACTAAATTTTAAATTGATTTCAAATTTGGGCCCCCACCCCTTAGAAATCCTGGATCCGCGCCTGGATTACGGAATAGATTTTTGAAAAGAAAAATATTTGCAATAATTGTATCTAGGGTGTTTGCATGTTTGAAAATTTTCTTGAGGGAAAATAAAGAGTTTCGATAAAGCAAATGAATAAAGCAAAACAAAAAAAAGCCAAGGGAGCTCGCAAGATACCTCACAGAGCTACCAATTTGTGTTTGATTGATCGCAACCTCCTAATTAATAACTTTCTTATTTTTAATCGGAATTTGCTCAAACTTTTGCTAACATGTTAGTTCCTCTCATTTTTTCTGCTTCTATTAAAACCAGCTTTATATCAGGTTAGACCTTCAATATGCATGCAAAATTAGTAGGCATAATCAAAGCTCATAAGTCTTTGAATGGATCTGAACTGGGTCTAGTTTTAATTCTTCTAAAAAAGATTCCATTATTATACAGCAAATGAATGCGTATTGGAGGCGGCATGGGCGTATATGATGACAGATATCCATTAGATGCCCCATTCCGAGGTGGATATTTAGGTTGATGGCCGTGAATAATGCATATACTTTTGCTACCCCCATACATTTGCTGGGAAGAAGCCGGGAGAAGCAGAAACAATATCAGTAAAATGAAGATGGCTCCTGCAAATATATACGCGAAGCGCCTGACGGGAATGAAATGTGTTTATCTAACGAAGATTGTGTCAATGTTGTGAAACCAAGCAACATAGCAGCAGAAAGGTAGACCAATGAAAAGATACAGGGTGCATGGTGTGAGGTAGGCTGAAGAGGTAGAAGAGGAGACGAAGAAAAGGAAGAAAGAAGTAAAGAAGAAGAAGAAGAAGAAGAAGAAGAAGAAGAAGAAGAAGAAGAAGAAGAAGAAGAAGAAGGAGCAGAAAAAGAAGGAGGATGAGGAGAGGAAGAAGAAGGAGGAAAACAAGAAGAAGGGGAATAAAGATGAGGAGAAGAAAGAGAAGAAGGAGAAGAAGAACAAAGAGGAAAACATTTTTTCAAAGAAAGAGACATAATAAAACTGACAGAAAAAAAAGTATTCAGTGGTTTTCCTGTTATTGTCAATTTTATATTTTCCTTACAATGTTATATTTTCATCAAGCTTTGAAGATATTTTTATATTAAAAAAAAAATACAAACAAACATAAGGGGTCAGATAAATATCAAGTCTTTGGCCTTAAGCGGCGGAAAAGCAATAACCATCCCTTTTCCTTGCACATTTATTTATTCTAAATGTTTTGAATGGGACTCTCTCTCTCTCTCTCTCTCTCTCTCTCTCTCTCTCTCCATTCCCTCTCTACAAAGTCCATCTCCCTTTCCCCTCCCCCTATCTCCACCCTCTCCATCTCTCTCTCCAATCTCCCCTCCTCTATCTGTCTCCCTCCCTCCCTCTCTTTCTCTCTCATCTACTCCATATTCTTCTTTCACCTCAAGTAAAATACTAAACAGAGCCTCATATATATTATATAGCATATTCCTTTTTTCTTGAGGATTTTATAATCTTTTTAATTTTGAATTCAGGGCCTAG